GCAGGTCAGCAAGCGTAGCACGCAGCGTGTCGTGCCACTCACGAGGCGCCTGGCGCAGGCCGTAGACTGGGCGCCGCAGAAGCCACTGGGTCCCAGGGGGGAAGGTGCCAGTAAAGCCCTGAGGACGACGCAGGTAGACCTGCTCGTGAAGGCTGCCCTGAAGAAAGGCAGTGGAGAAGTCGAGGGAGTGAAGCTCGTAGTCACGCTGGGCCGCTACGTGTAGCAGAACCCGAAGAGTAGTCATCTTCGGGGTAGGAGCGAAAGTCTGAAAGAAGTCCACCCCCTCGCGCTGACTGAAGCCTCTAGCCACGTAACGCGCCTTGAACACAGGCGGCTCTCCAGGAGGGCGCTTCACCTTGAAGAGCCAACGGCCATCGACCACGTTCACCCCACGTGGGGGAACTGCGTCGACGAAGGTGCCGGTGGATCTCCAAGATGCCATCTCCTGCTCCATGGCAGCTATCCACTGAGAGGCCCAAGGTCCCGAAACCGCCTCAGCGTAAGTACGAGGGGTCGGGATGTCAAAAGCGTCTGGGTCACCCTCAGGGACTAGCAGCATGGAACAGAGATGGGGAGCAGCCTCGGACAGGAAAGCAAGCTCAAACTGGCGGTCCTCCAGGACGTCACTGCCGAGGGCAGGAGCACCCCCGACAGACGGAGGACAGGCAGGGTCAGAGACCAGAGCGGAGGCGTAGTCAAGGCGGCGGGTAGAGGCGAAGTCAGCGACCGCAGCGACAAGGGCGTCAAGACTCGACACTGGAACAGACGGGTCGGTAACGAGAGAGGCAAGGACCCGAGGAACAAGAGGACGAGCGGCACGAAAGTAGTCAGACAGAGGAGGAGACGCAACGACAAGAGAGGACGGAGGAGGAGACGGGAGGAGGGGAGGACGAGACGCGTGGGAGCGGAGCAACATAGGGTGAGTGCGCGGGACGGGGGAGACAGGACGAGCACGGGAGGGGCGGCGAGACCAGACGTGAGAGGGCGGCGTCGGGTCAGGAGACAGAGGAGGGGACACGGGTGGGGAACGAGGGGGAAAACGAGCCGGGGACGAGTCCGGCGGAGGGAACACGGGGCCGTAGACGGGAAGAGGGGGAGACGGCCGGAGAGGAACAGGCGCAGGGTCAGGGGACGGAAGGCCGAGCAAACGGAGGGCGGACACCGGCGGGGACTGCTGCTGCGTCGACACAACACCAACGCCAGGGCCACAAGCTGCGCGACGGCTACCTCCCGAACCCTCCACACCGGCACCCCCAGAAGGGACACCCCCAGAGCCCGAGACACCGCCAGCACCGGTACCACCCCCAGGCCCGCGGGGACAAGCCACGACAGGAGCCCCGGGACGAGTACCCACCTCAACTCCAGCACCCCCAGAGTCCACAAACAGCGGCAGCGACGACGGCGGCGGCGGCGGCGGCGGCTGCAGCGACGGCCTCGACGGCGGCGGCGGCGGAGACGACGGCTGCAGCAGCTGCGGCGACGGCGGCTGCGGAGGCGGTGGAGGAGGAGACACCGGGGGAGGGACAGACGGCGAGGACTGCGCCAAAGGACTACCAGAGTCAGAAGACTCGTCGACCGGAACGACCGACGGGAGGGGGGTGACGTGAGACACACCAGAGGGGGCCGGACGGGGGGGCGGGGGGGGGGAGGGGCAGGGGCCACCAGGGAGGGAGGAACCAGGAACAGGGGGGAGTAACCGGGGGACCACGGTGGGGAAAGCGGCGGTAGAAGGAGACGGACTCGTCAAAGGTGACGTCGCGAGAGTGAAAGAAACGGTGAGACGGCGGGTGGTAGAAGTGCCAGTCGGACGCGTCAAGGGGGAAACCAAGGAAGACGCAGGGGAGGGTGCGGGCAGTGAGCTTGTCCGTGCCAGAGGCACGAACGTGAGCAAGGCAGCCCCAGACGTGGAACGCAGACGCGTCACCAGGGGACCCGGTCCACAGAAGGGTCGGCGAAACCGGCGGCCGCTGGGGGTGCGGCCACAGGTTAAGCTGGTGAGCGGCGTAGCGCACGGCGAACGGCCACAGAAAATGGGGTGCACCGGCGTGGATCATGGAGGTGCGAGCCACCTCCATGACCAAACCGATGCGTCGCTCAGCGACCCCATTCTGCTGCGGGGAGTCCGGCAGGGTAAACGTCTGGGTGATGCCCTCCGCACGACAGAAGCGACCAAGGACACCTGAGGCGAACTCGCCACCCCGGTCGGAGTGGAGGCGCAAGGCAGGGAGACCGCGGTGGAGACGAGCAGAGACAAGCCAGGGGATGAGAACGTCAGGCACGTCGGCCTTCCGCTCCAGGGGAAAGACGGTGGTGTAACGTGTGAAGTCGTCGACAAGCACTAGGAAGAAGCGCTCGCGACGCGGCCCATGAACCGGGGCTGGGCCCCAGACGTCCATGTGCAGAGTCTGCAGGGGTGCGGTGGTAGGGGGAAAAGAGGAGGAGTGAGGGGCACGGCGGAGCCGGCCCTCGACACAAGGCGTGCACGGTGGGGCGGGGGATGAGGGAAACTCAGGGAACGAACCGGGGAGACCAAGGACGAGACCGTGCTGGGACATGTGACGCAGTCGCGGGAGTGCAGGGTGACCAAGGCGGTGGTGCCAAAGGAGAGTCGGGTGAGTGAGGGACCGACAGGAGCACGCAGCAGCAACCTGGGTGGACGCAGCTACCAGGGGGGAAGACTCAGCCGGGGACGTCGCGGTGTCAAGTGTGAACAGGCCGGACACCGGGTCCCGGGGGAAAGTGGTAAGGGGGGCACCAGTGGCGGCCTCGGTACAGACAGCATACCGCTCGTGACCAGGGAACGTAGTGGTGACGCCAAGGTCCTGGAGGCAGCCGACACCAACTAGGTTCCTGGAGAACGAGGGGATATGCAGACCGGTGAGCGAACCTGAAGGAACCGCCGGACAGGGAAGGGAGGTGGAACTGCGGGCAACGACGGGACCACCGGAGGGGTCAGCAAGAGTAACTGCAGCGGGAACAGGCAGCGGCGTCAGCGTCGTGGAGTCGCGGAAGAAACACCGGGAGGCGCCAGAGTCCAAGGTGAAGGAAAGCGCAGCAATCGCGCGGGGGCGACAGTGAAGCGGTGGAAGCACCGAGGCTAAGCAAAGCAGGAGATCCTACGCCTGACGCAGCAGGGGAGTCTACGCTAGGCACAGCTACACTAGGCAACACGGGGTAATAAGAGGGAAGCACACTAGAGTCATCGGCATACATCACATGCAAGGCTGCTACAATGGCATCCATGTCCAAGTCAAAAATCCGAATGCTACGCCTAAGCAAGCTGTGCCAGTCCGGGAGGTCGGGCGCCGGGCCAAAGCGCTGGCGGAACAGGTCGTCCAGACGACGAAAACAGCGAGGAGTGGAATGACCGATCTTACCGCAAACGAAGCCGCGGCGAGGACCGGTCTGGATCTGGTACTGACAGGGCCCGCCTCCAGAACCACCACCCGGTGCACCACCACGCGCACGACCACCACCAGCTCCAGGCCACCCAGGCGGGAGAGCACTCGCCGGCCTCGTCTGCGGCGGCTGCTGCGGGCTGGCTGCGGAGGCTGCTGCTGCTGCGGCTGCTGCAACGGTGGAGGCAGCGGGGCAGCTGGACCGGGCAGGGTCCCCACGTCCGCACCGGCACCGGACGACCCGCCTCCACCACTACCCCCACCCGCACCCCCGCCACCTCCGCCGCTCCCAACCTTGGGGCGGCGGCCCTTCCCCGAGCGGGACTGCACTGCAGCAGCAGTCTCAGCCACAGCGACAGAGCCGTCGGAGAAGGTACACTGAGCGGGGGCACAACCCTGAAAGATAGGGACCGGTACTGTACCGCTCGCCTGGGCTATGGAGCGGTGACGAGTCTCTATGGCAGTCAGGGTGTCAACAAAGTCGGTGAGGGTGAGAGCAGCAGGGTGGATGCTAAGGAACTGGTCGCGGGCGGCGGCAAGGCGGTCAGGGAGGCGGGTGGCAAGGAGGTAGAGGGTAGAGGTCATGGGAGGCTGGTGGACTCTAAGCTGTGCATCAGTGCAGGCAGCGCGCCAGGCCTCATCTATCGAGCGCAGGTGGGCAGCGAGGTCAGAGACAGTGGGGAAGGACGCCAGGTCAGGAAAGAGCAGGGGGAGGATCAGGCGACCCACTGAGGCAGCAGGAGGGGTGAGGCAAGGCTAGGAGACGCGACGGGAGGAGCGGAAGCGGTAGGTGGGGGGGGGGGGGGGGGGGGGGGGGGGTCGAAACCTACTCGTGATACCATATCAAACCTAGAATTTAATGATAAGAGAGAGAGAGTACACAAACATATACGTAAATGTTGTACTCTCTAGAAGGTGACCCTATACAGTCTATACAAACATGATAACTACACATGTTTGACAGAGCGGGGGGGGGGGGGGGGGGGGGGGGGGGAGGGGTTCAAGAGGGACCCCGTGTCAGAAACCCGGTCACTAACCACTGAGTTAAAAGGGCTTGTTAAATAGCGGGTAAGTGCGCCCATAACCCCCCAGGCTCTGCACTTGTGGCCCTTCTCCGAGGATCTTTTCAAGGGTAACCCAGCGGGTCACTCGACACCCCGCTCTGCTATTCCTGTTTTTCGCGGGCTCGCTAGGCGAAAATCAAGCGGAGGCCCACTTGTTGTCCAATTGGAGCCCAATTCGACGTGGCAAAATCACGTGTGACGTTGTGCAGCCCACGACGCGTTACGCTGTATGAATTTCGCAAGGCAGAAATATGCCAACTGGACGTGTTCTGAGTATCGAATTGTGCGGGCTGCTGCCCAGCTCCAAATATAAAAAAGCTTCTCGACACAAAAGGGGCCCTGATCAAGAGGGGTTCCAACTTGAGAACCCCTCTTCTATTTTGCCGTGGGGTTTTAGCAGTCGGCTCCCTCGACAATGTACAACCTTGTATGAATTTGCTATGTTGAGACGCTAAAATCCTTAATGTCCTTTCTCACATTCATTCCGAATTCCCAGCAGCAATTTGTGTAGAAAGCTTGCTTCCATGAACAAACAATTGACATTCTGTACATTTTATATATGAGAAAATAAGGTTTTATGAACAAAGATACGTAGTATTTCTACTTCATTCTTCATCCGCATACCATCCGTCCTTGACTCTCGCGACTCCTCTTGTCGGGTACGCGCGAAAAACTTGCCGAGGGGTCATCTGCACCCCACTGCCTTCCCCATCACCTTCTGCCGTTTCCTCACCATTCGCGGACTCATTATCGTTAGCTTCCATCAGTAGATTAACTACGTAGTCGTCCCGAAAGCCCCTGTCCCGATGCGTTCGAGAGACGACGCCCGGCGCCTTAGTCCTCACGTCGCCTATGTGTTGAAACAGCGACGGCACGTGCACGTATCCCGTCCGATTGAAGCCAGTCAGGTACTGGTTTAGCAGCCAATCCATCGGAGCCTCCGTAAAATGCTCCTCCACAAACCCTAGCAAGCCTTCCAGCGCTGATACGTTGAAAAGCAGAGCCTGAGCGCAGCACGGAACCAGGTAGTTTTGGCCGTGCTGATACGGCCACAGGTACGACTGGGGGTAGTAGAGGGCTAGGACGGTCCACTCTTGACCCTTCAGTTCCTCGTTAATGAATTTCTCGATACCGATGTCGTAGAGCCGGGCCGGCTTTGTATCGTCTTGGAGCAGCAGGATGTATTTCGGTTTTGTCGCCATGCATTGTCGCATGACGTAGACGAAATCCATCACCAGTTTCGTTCGCCATCGCCAGGGTTCCCATCCGTCGCTTGCCATCTCGTCTGTAACACCGATTTGTCGCACGTTCTCCTCGTCCTGCTGAACGAAGTCGCACGCGTCTTGGCGAGGTGGTAACACGGTTATATCCAGGGAAGACTTTCGCGCGGCCGACTTCAACGCTCGCTCATGCATCGCTGCTGCCAGTGTCTTCTTACGCTCTTCCAATTCCTCAGGAGATATTGGTACTACCCCGTCCTCCTTAGTAGTGCTGCTGCTACTGGTAGAACGATCCCGTCCGTTTGTCGTAGACGTCTCCGCTTGAACGTGTTCCGCTCCGTCAGAAAATCCGTCAGATCCGTTAAGTCCGTCGGAGACGTTACTCTTCGCCGTCGCCCTCGGCGAGGCTGCTGTCGTCGCCGCGACGGCTCCTGCCGGTTTCCCGTTGCAGCCGGAGCTGTAGACGACGACGCGCATGTCTTTAAAGCCGTCTGCGCTTTCAGGCGGGGATCGTCGCTCTTCCAGCATGCTGAGGAGGGACACGGGGAAGTGCCACGGTGGGCAGCCTCCGCTGCTTCGGAAAGACACGTGGCATGGAAGCTATTGCCACGCAGACTTCGCTAGTACTGGTAGGGCTTTTTCCCTCCGGAGGCTGTCTCCGCGTGAAGGTCTCGCTGTGTTTCGTTGCGGACACGTGGCGTGGCGCTTGGCTGGAAATAGTCGGGGCTGACGTGGCGACGCATGTGCAGCGGACCCGCGTCCGGGGGGTACGCTGGCGGAGTGGCTTCTGAGGCATCCCGGGACGGTTGGAGATGAAAAGTATTGGCCCAGCGAAGAATTGCGGAAACACGGAATGTAACCAAGTTACGGACGATGACGCTGCTGACGCTGACGAGAGCAACCGTCGCCGGTGGTATCGCCGAGGCGAGGTTTCGAGAGGCGAGCCGAAAATGCCTGCTCGCCCAAGGCGCGGCGGTCAAGAGGGTTCGAGTAAGAGCAGCAGAATCGCGAGCCTGAGAGGTCTACTAGACAACCTGTTGCGTGCTGCCGTGGTATGCCGGTTAAAAACAAAGCTTGCTTGGGTGGATCATGGTGCTTGACTCACGGAGGTAAGTCGGACTTACCCGGTAACGACGAATACTGTTACTTATAGTCTCTGCTACTTCAAAGTTACAGCTACTAACTTAGAGAGTAAACGATTAAGGAGTCCTTGATCTCGGAGACTCGGAGAATGTGATGAGGGAACAGGTCTGGTCTGGGAATCTATCGAACTCGGGAACGATAAGTATTTTTTTCCCCTTCGTCCTGCCAACTCGTTAACCCTGTGTCGGCAAGATATTGTCATCTGATGAGCTACAGCGGCGCGATAGCTTATCGTGCCCCAGGCACTGCCCTGATCTTCCCGTGAAGAAGACTTCTCAACGGAAGGGAGGCCGACGGGGGGACTCGCCATTTTCGGCCGACCGACAGAAACCCCGACAACCTCTAGGCGTTCCCTCCATTTCGCAAGCAACCTCCACTCCGCCACCCTCCGATGAGTGCATGACAGGGATATGCAGCAGTGCAGCGACGGGTGCGCTTCTGGTGCGTGATTACAGTACTACCCGTCGCCGTCGAAAAGAGTGAAGTTGGCGGGGTGGCTGGGCGGGAGACGCCAAACCCGGCATGTGATTGCCGTTAGTTGAAAGGCAGAGCAGTGCAGCAAGCTTCGGCTCGGTAGCATGCGCTGCGTCGAGCCTCGACCATATCAATGTGTGTCTATGGCCATGGTGGTGCCCCGAGCAACGGGCCAGTGGGGTTTTGGGAGACCTGGGGAAATTCGTCATCATTCATGACTGATGACCCTTGGGAGCTGTTTGGGGAGAAACAGCTCGTGAGAGTGCAGGGGGACGCATGACTTCTGGTGAAATGAGGAGGTCTGAAAAAAAATTGCGCAACCAGCAGATGCTCTCACTTCACCGCCGCCATCCCACTGCAGCACCACCAACTCCTAGGCTAGCGAGTGATTTCACAAGTTACATTAGCTCCTCAAGCGAAGGCGAAGGTGGCTGAGGAGGCCCATGACGAATTTTTGACGAAATTTGCGAAACTATAGGTAGCGATGTTTCTCTGGGGGGCACTTCGAAGCGATCCAGCTCGACCTGATCGCCGACAAGCGGAACCCGAAACCGGCAAATGTGGAGCTGGGTTCGGGCAGCAGCAATGGAACTGGGCCAATGGGGAGGATACATGCGTGCAGCGGAGGTTGGCGGTTGGCCGAGAGGGGAAACTTGGCTCGGGAGTTACCAAAAACACTCAAATTATGCCAGGCGCTGTGTTCATCTGTACTCAAGCCAATCACGGTGTTTATTTCGCTGCCCGAAACGAGTTTAGGTTTGATGGCTCCCGAAGTACAACCAGGTTCCCTTTGGGGTTAATATTTTTTGTCTGCCCAGAAACGATTTGATTGGCTTCAGTACAAGTGCAAAGGGCTCTGGCATAGTTCAAGCTTAGGCGAAGTTGTCCCAACTTGGTTCGACTGAGCTGCCTGCCAGACATCCCCCAAACCCCAACTGCCAAGCCTCCCAATAACCGAACCAAGGCTCAAAACACCAAGCCTCCCACTTGCTTGCTGTGCCAGGTTTCCCTGCCGTCAGGCGAAATGTTTTGGCTTTCGCGCGCTATTTTTTCGGCGTCGTCTTGTCATGCCCTGTGTGCTGACGATGCCCGGCAATGGGGGGCCGTTCTATGGGAGAGGCTTTCCGGAATTTAAGGGTAAAAAAAGGAGGTTCGGCTCCTGAGGCGGAAAGCACAGTCGAGGAGCGAGAGAGTCAGACAAACTTCCCGAATCGCGGAGGCAATGTCAAGGTCGTCGTTTCGCATGGTTCGCCACGGCAAATGGGACAGAAACGTGGAATTTGTAACAATATATTTGTGTCTGGTCCATAAATAGAGGTCCCAACGGGCAATTGTGTGGTCATTTCGTTCCGCCCTCCATCAACGTAAGGTGGTTCGGTAGCTGTGCGGTGTAGATGTGATTGTGTGCGTTATCCCATTGCCCCTAAATCTGAGGTTTTGGGAAGTGATTCTGATTGGAATAGGCGCTGCGTACGAGATTGGATGAGCATCGACTGTATCAAACACCCCACACATTTTCCTAGTTGGACCATCATATCTAGGCGTGAATATCCCAAGTTCGATTTATGGTAGCGTCAAGTTGTAACGAAACTCGCTCCTGTCGAGGTTTCCCTGAGATTGCGGTTGAATCTCCCTCCCCGCACTGGTTTCCCCATGTTAGCTAGTTGACCCAGCTTCCGCCAGTAGATTAACTACGTCCTGGTGCGTATACGAGATCACTCTGGCGCGTTGGTCGTTACGTCACCGGCGCGTAGAAATAATGCCGGCACGTGGCGTAGCCTGTGGTTTAATCTAGTGAGGTACGGACCAAGGAGCAATTTATAAGAGCTTCTGCAAATTCTCTAGCAAACCCTAGCAAGCTCTCCAGTGCTGGTATCTCCCGGCAGAAGCTTAGTATTTGGGTAAATGCATTCACGATCAGCAGACACTTCTCTTAATCGGGCATGTTCCGAGTTACAGTACCAGCCACGGTTACAATTGCGAACTGCTTTCCCCATTATTATCTCAACTGTCCGTCATCACCACCAGTTGATCCCGCGGCTCCCACCACGTAGTCTTCATCAAACTTTCTGTCTATATGCGTAGAGGAAACCACCCCCGGCGCTTTAGTCCTCACTTCACCGACGTGTTGAAAACAGCGACGGCACGTGGACATATCCCGTCCGATTAGACCGAACGAGGTATTGGTTTAGGAGCCAATCCATAGGAGCCTCCAGAAAACGCTCTTCCACAAACCCTAGCAAGCCTTCCACCGCCGATGCGTTGAAAAGCAGAGCCTGAGCGCAGCACGGAACTAGGTATTCCCCGCCGTGCGGGAATGGCCCAAAGTACGATTCAGGGTAGTAAAGCGATAAGTAGGGCCACTCTTTCCCCTTCAGATCATCGTTAATGAATCTCTCGATACCGATATCGTAAAGCCGTGCTGGCATAGTGTCGTCTTGGAGGAGCAGGATGTATTTCGGTCTTGTCGCCATGCACTGTCGCATGACGTATACGAAATCCATTACCAGTTTCGTTCGCCATCGCCAAGCCTCCCAGCCGTCGCTTGCCATCTCGTCTGTAACACCGAGTTTTCGCACGCTCTCCCTCGTCCTGCTGAACGAACTCGCACGAATCTTGGCGAGGTGGTAACACGGTTATATCCAGCGACGATCGTCTGGCGGCCAAGTTCAAAGCTCGCTGATGAATCCCTGTCGCCAGAGTCTTCTTACGCTCTTCTAATTCCTCACGGGAAAACGGGTTCTACCTTCTCCTCCTTAGTAGAGCTGGCACTGCTACTATTTCCTGCTGGCGTCGCGGCACGGCGTGGCGGTTTCCCGTTGCAGCCGGAGCTGTAGACGACGACGCGCATGTCTTTAAAGCCGTCTGCGCTGTCAGGCGGGGATCGCCGCTGCTCCAGCATTCTGAGGAGGAACACGGGTGAGTGCCATGGTGGCAGCTTCCGTGCTTTTGGAAAGACACGTGGCATTGAAGCTATCGCCACGCAGACATCACTGCTAGTAACAGTTTGAGTCCCCTTGCTGCTTCCCCCGCCCTCCGCATGAAGACATCGTTGTCTTTCGTTGCTGCGACGTGGCACATCCGAAAGTGCGACACTTGGCGCAAAGTAATCCGGCCGGACGTGGTGACGCATGCGCAGCGGGCGTGCGTCCGTGTGTGCTGGCGAAAACGAGTTACCAGCTCCAGATGTATCGCTTCCTCGGGCCGAGCTTGAACGAATCTGCGACGGTTCTTGAGAAGAAACTAACGAATCTTGTAAGGCTTTGCCGGCGACGGATCCATACTGAGCAACTGACGCTGACGTTGACGTTGACGTTGAAGTGGTGAGTTCCGGCGACGATAGCAGCAGCTGTCGTCTGTGTCTAAGAGGCAAGGCTTCGAGAGGCGAGGCGAGAGGCGACTCAGAGCCGAAATGTTGGGTATGCCAAGGCGCGGAGATTAAGACGAGGCCAAGTAAGAGCAGCACGACGGCGAGACGCAACGGTCTAGACAGCCTCAGGGGCGTGCCACGTGGCGTCACGTACCTGGTGAAGCAGAGCTTGTTTGGCTGGACCATGGTCATAGCGGTGAACTACAGGTGATCTGCTGGCAACAGCTGCTAACACAAGCTGAATCGGAGCGTTCTTGACAATTGGCAATCACAGCTGCTCTAGGATGGTGAGAAATGGCAATTCAGAGTGGGAGAATGAGCGACTCTCGACGAGCATATCACCTGGGAAACGATAAGCAATGGGCTTAGCCCGCCTACTGTACCGCCAGTGTCCGCTCCCCCTGTCGGGGGAATAATGGCCATCCAGAAGCCAGTGATAAGGGATCGGTTTCCGTCCCCCACGCGTTCCAGAGTGCGAATGGATCGCCCCCAACCGTAGAGCACTTCACAGAACCGTACGGAAGTGAGCACTTCACAGAACCGAAAGCTTATCGCGCAACTGTCACTCCCCATATCATTCCCTGACGGTATGGCGAGAGCCACTCCTCGCCATTCGTGCATGACATGATCTGCAGCAGCTTTGGATTGGAGTCCATGCTGCAGCGCTGTTGGTTCTCTGGCATATGATCGCCCTTCCCTCACATCCCCCATCCCTCCCATTCCTGCCTTCTACACCTGTACTCCGATAATTTGTCGTTATACTGTACCATGTTGTTATTGGAACTGTAGCTTGTCGTTAGTGGGAGGGTGAGAAGTTAGCGCCAACCAGCGTGTTGGCGCTAACTTCTCAAAAGGGAACCATGTTGACCGTCCTGCTGACTGGGTGCCTACAGAAAATCCGGGTCACTCAGCAGGATCGAGAAATCTTACGGTTGTAACAAGTGTAGCCTCATCAACTCATCACAATGCACCACGTGTTTGCTCACGCAAGCACATCCTTTCGAGTTGCGAGGAGTCTAGCTCTCACCAACGGCTGCGATCTGCGATGCTGCGCTGCTGGTAGCTGACATGGGGAACTGAGCTGAACTTTCCCCATAAATTTTTAGCAGCATCTGGCAGCTGGTCAGAGTATGCGACAAAACCTGAGAAGTTGCCGCCAGTGAAATTGGCGGAGGACAAGTGTACTGTACTGTAATTGCGGCGTGGGAGGGGACACGCCCTAGGGCGCCAAGTGGCAGATTGCTCGGGTTTTGTTTTCGGTGCAGCTCGTTTCGCTGTAGTTTTCTCCAGTTTCTGGGAGTTGCAGATATTTCCAGTACGGTAGGATTTTCCGTCCTGAGTTGTGAATCGTGATGGTTGCTTGCGTCACGTCTGGATGTTATTTTCCCTTTGTCTCCACAGTGTGATGTGCGGTGCTCAACGGTTGGATGGGATGGGCAACTGATGGACGAAATGTCTGTGCCTGGGTGCCCCCTTCGCCTCGCTGCCACTAACTCCAGCGCAAGTGAGTGGACCCTGGAGACCAGTTCTCAACAGAAACGTCGGACAGGATTTCCTTGTTTTTTTGCGATGGTTCTGTTGAGAAATTGTCTTGTTACTCAGCACGCATGCGAAGGAAGAGGTCGTTTGGTGGGCCCGTGACGAAAGTGTGGCGACGGCTTTGGCGAAATTGCTGTCAACGATGGTTTCCCAGAGTCCAAACTGGCTTCACCTGATCCCGACAAGCGGAACCTGAATCTTGGTGCATGTGTGGTGGATATGGAAAGGTTGGGGGCAGCTATGTGCAGGTGAGCAGGCGCACGGGCTCACCTTTTCTGACATTCTTGCCGATCTGCCAAAGTTTCCCGCCTGGCAAGCCTCCCATTTGCCCAAATCTCCACCTGAAAGTTCCTACTGATCGTCGCCAGGCGAAAATTTCTAACTTTCCCGTGCTTTCTTTTCAGGAAGGATTTTGTCGCAATCTTGCAGGGAAACACGTCCCACTCGCGAAGCGACAAGAGATGAGATAACATCGAAGAACTTGTGAGCTCGAACATCGATGTGATTATATTGAAGTCTTATAGACCTGTATCGGAAAATGCTTCAACTGGGTATGCTCTGAGGGGCTGTCTCCGAAGCTCCAGCTCGGCACTGCCTTCCCCGATATCCACATTTTCGTCCCTAGTAGATCCAGCTCCCCTTGGTAGATTAACTACGTAGTCGTCGCGGAAGTTCCAGTCCCGATGCGTGGACGAGACCACTCCTGGCGCTTTGGTCCTTACATCACCGACGTGTTGAAATAATGAAGGCACGTGGACAAATCCCGTCTGGTTAGAACTAGTGAGGTATAGACTTAGGATCCAATCCATAGGAGCTTCCGTGAAATGCTGCTCCACAAACCCTAGCAGATCTTCCAACGATGTTACGTTGAAAAGCAGAGCCTGAGCGCAGCAGGGAATGAAATATTCCCCTCCATGTCGGTATGGCCAGAGGTACGATTGCGGGTAGTAAAGCGATAGGACGGTCCACTCTTTACCCTTGAGATCATCGTTAATGAATCTCTCGATACCGATATCGTACAGCCGGGCTGGTTTTGTGTCGTCTTGGAGCAGCAGGATGTATTTTGGTCCTGTCGCCATGCACTGTCGCATGACGTAGACGAAATCCATCACCAGTTTCGTTCGCCATCGCCAAGCCTTCCAGCGGTTGGTGGGTACGCCTGTAATACCGAGGTTTCGCAGGGCTTCCTCGCCCTGACGAACGAAGTCGCAGACATCTCGGCGAGGTGGTAACACGTCGATTTTTAGCGAAGAGTTTCGTGCAGCCAACTCTAGGGCCTGCTGATGCTTCGCTCCAACCATCCCTTTATACAAGAGGAGCTGGTTTCCCGTTTCCACATCTCGAGGAGGAGCTGGTGCGGGCTGCTGGTCCAATCCCTGCGTAACATTTCTCGTATACGTAGACTGGCCATTGTCTGACGCTTCTGGTGTCGCGCGTGCTGGTTCCGCAAAACGTGCTGGTTTCGCAACGCGTGCTGGTTTCGCAATGCGTGCTGGTTTCGCAACGCCCCCTGGTTCTGGCTCCCCGCTGCACCCGGAGCTGTAGACGACGACGCGCATGTCTTTAAAGCCGTCTGAGCGGTCGGGCGGAGACCGTCGTTGCTCCAGCAGGCGGAGGAGGGACACGGGGAAGTGCCACGGCGGAAGCTTGCGCTTTTCTGGGAAGACGCGAGGCATCGAAGCGATTGCCACGCAGACTTCAGTGTTAGTACTGCTCGTGCTGACACGTGGCGGATCTTTGGGCGTGACGCGCTCGAGGTAGTAGTCCGGTCTGACGTGGCGACGCATATGCAGCCGGTCTGTTTCCCTGTACGATTGTGAAGTCGATGAGTTACCTCCAGAGGTACTCTCTTCTGTGAAAGAATCAGGCGAAGGTGGCTTCTGAACAGGCGTTGCCGTTTCCAAGCCGGGCTTGCCGTACGTGGTTAGTAACCGAGTTACCAACTCTGACCTCTTAGCGATCAGCCGCAACAGGAGCAGCTGTCGCCTGTGAGGCAAGGTTTCATAAGGCATGCCGATGTATCTGACAGCCCAGGCCGCGGAGATGAAGATAAGACCAGAGAGCAGCAGCAAGAGCATGAGACGGTGAGGTTTAGACAGCCTTGTGCGCGCTGGCGTAGAGTGCTTGCTATAGCAGAGCTTAGAAAGGCACCGCTTGCTAAAGCAGAGATTGCTCGTACTGGGCTGAATCATGGCGCCTGCTCGAACTGATGCGACGAGAAGCTGAACACTTTCAGTGAGAGCTGATCGGTCGGGTGGGTAAACTTACCGTATAATGTTAGGAAGGAGGATGAGCATGGGATAAGTAAACGTAGTCGGCCGTCGTATCCTTGCAGGCCTTCTCAAGCAGTTACGATAACCGTCCTGTTGGTCGACCCGGGCTATCAGGCGCCCTATCCGCGTGCCTCTGATACGCGCGGCGATAGCTTATCTTTCAACGGTATTTCCATGGACTTCCCTCGACGAGACGCGAAGCGACGCTACCGGCGGTCGGGCATTGAGCAACCGCCGCTTACGGGCGCCTCGACAATATTGAGGCGCAACCATAGCGGTGACGGTTGGTCCGAGAGACTGGTCCCCTTAATCAAGTTACTCTTACTCGCGAACAGGTTGGCGATCGTTTGCGAAAGGGAGAGTGCTGAGACGAAGTAAGACGAAATGTGGTGTACTGTAAACCCTTTCCCCGTCCAGATCCATGACCCAGGTCAGGGGTGTCGCTTGCCATGCAGCGCAGATGCCCTGCACACAACCTTGCAAGTTCCCCAATCGCCTGGCGAAAACGTTTTCGCGCAACTTCGCTTGGCGTCGTCGCCACCTCCTCAGTCAGTGAGGGCGGCAGCAGAAGGCGTATCCCTTCCCCGCACGGCGAGCTGTAACTTCGCCAGGGTACACTTCGCTAGATTTGTGCATGCTCAAACCTCCACCGCACTGCATGCCATCGCAATTCACCGAAATACACAATACCGTGTAAAAAACCTCCAGAACGTCACATTTCCGTCCTCGCCTTCTACTGTACTGTACAAGCTTTGGCTCCAGTAAACTGCCATTCGATTTTGATACGGTAGGGTCGAAAGCACTGAAGGTGAATTCCAGTTCAGTACGGTCGATTTCGGTTGGCTCCGAAGGGCATGTACCCTGGCATCACAACCGTTCTGGAAATTTATTGAACTGTTTTGAAACGCAACGCACTCATCGAACGTCAGATGGTCCTGGGTCTTGATACAAAGTGAACAGCGGTGAGCAGGTGTTCTTGTTTGTGCAGCATCTACCCTAGGTTCTGCTCTGCTGGCAAGCTACAGCTAGCAGCTGCTGCTGCTGCTACCAAGACCGTCGACCAAGCTTCCACTAACCCAGACGCTGTTGCTGTTGCCACCAAGCCTCTTCTAGACCAAGACTGTTACTGCTACTACTACTAGTAGCTGTTGCTGTCGCTGCTAAGTCTCTAGACTAACTGTTGCTGATCATCGTTTCTCCAACTTGCATTGCGTTGCGACTCGCCAGTAATTCCCAGCAATTGACCTGGACGTAGTTTTCATACCCATCACGTTCTGGCTATTACGGTTTCACTTCGATCCATGGCTCAGCAGTTCCAGCAATTTCCCGCTCAATTGCTCGTCGAAGGTCCCTTATCCCAGCGGCGAGGGTGGAGACTCGGAGTGTGCTTCGGTCGAGATTCATGGCGGGAATCTCGCCTCACAGCGCTGTGTGTACGTACGGACTGAATGCATTCTTCTTTCATGCGTCCCTTTCGATTTGATAACTGTTTCCAGTCAGTGTACCACTTCGGGCGTCGGTATAGCTGGCTTATTATATTTTCAGAAACAGTGTGCGCTGTCACGTACACTAACCGTCCAACGACATTTGAAAAAGCTTTGCCAATTTAATTTGGGGTGAATAGTTTTATTCTACCCACACAACTTTCCGTTCTCACCTATGCTCGCTTCTTTCTAACACCCTTCCCCTCCCCCCCTCCTTCCCCCCTCCTTCCCCCCCACACCCTCCCCTCTCTACCAACCCCCTCCCTCCTTCCCTTCTCCCTCCCCCCTCACCCCCCCCCCCCCCCCCCCCCCCCTGGTTCCTCCCGCCAGCTTCTCCTTCTCCTCATTCGGTCATCTGCGTCCGAGTGCAATGTAGGCAGCAGCAGCCGCTTCGACCCTTCCAATGGCAACCTCAGTTCTTTTAACACCCTTCCCCCCCTTACCCCCTTCCCCCCCTTCCCCCCCTTCCCCCCCTTCCCCCCCTTCCCCCCCTTCCCCCCCTTCCCCCCCTTCCCCCCCTTCCCCCCCTTCCCCCCCTTCCCCCCCTTCCCCCCTTCCCCCTTCCCCCCCTTCCCCCCCTTCCCCCCATTCCCCCCATTCCCCCCCCCCTCTCCCGCCCCCCCCCGGGCTCCGCACGCCAGCTTCTCCTTCTCCTGGTTCTGCCGTCTGCAGCTAAGAGCAATGTACGCAGCAGCAGCAACGTCAGTCTCGACCCTTCCATTGGGCTGAGACACTCTGATTTCTTGGGACAGCAGCACAGGGAGATGAGACAGCTCCAGAGTTTGAGAAAGTCCAAGTGCAATGTACGCAGACGCAGCAGCAGCAACGTCAGTCTCAACCCTTCCATTGGCGTCAGACAATCTGATTCCTTGGGACAGCAGCACAGGCAGATGAGACAGCTTCAAGACTCGAGAAGCCTCCAGAGTCTGAGACAACCCCAGGTTGTTGGGCCAACGCGCTTCAAGCCAAACAACATCGCACCCACTGTGCCCGCGCTCGCTGCCAGGTGCGCCATGCCCTTTTCTTCCCTCCCTCCCTCCCTCCCTCCCTCCTTTTCCTTTAATCCGTCTCTCCATCCCGTTTTAAGGCGCCTAAGAAACAACGTTGCACCCACTGCTCCCTCCCTGCCAGGTGAGAAATATTCGTTTCGCCTGTGGCCGGTTTTTTTAACCAACAATTAAAGGTTCTGCTCTCCCTGTTATCTCCCCATCCCCCGCCCTCCAACGAACAACAATTGACAGCCAGTCACCAGTCATCCCATCAGAGATGGGCCCGGACCCGGAGATAGTCTCCCAATGCTGGCAGAGTGTTTTACCCAATGATTAAAGGTTGTGCCCTTGCTTTACCTCCCACCCTGCTCCTTCCACCCTCCATTTTCCAGCCAGTCACCAGTCATCCCATCCGACCTGGGCCCCGAGATAGTCTCCCAATGCGGGAAGGGTATTTGCGTAAAGAACTCCAATTGGTGTGGGGTAATGCACAGCCCAATCCGAGTGTACCTCGTGTGGTACAGCCGCTTCACTGAGTCCCAGAAGAATGTTCTTCGAACGTTCATCCGCTCCCTCAGCAGCACTGAAGGCACGGGTGAGTCTTCACTGAAGGCACGGGTGAGTCTTCACTAAAGGCACGGGTGAGTCTTCACTGAAGGCACGGGTGAGTCTTCACTGAAGGCACCGTTGAGTCTTCACTGAAGGCATGGGTGAGTCTTCGCTGAAGGCACGGGTGAGTCTTCACTGAAGGCACGGGTGAGTCTTCACTGAAGGCACCGTTGAGTCTTCACTGAAGGCACGGGTGAGTCTTCGCTGAAGGCACGGGTGAGTCTTCACTGAAGGCACCGTTGAGTCTTCACTGAAGGCACGGGTGAATCTTCATCATCACCCTGAGTACAGTCTCCTCCTGGCGGCGCACCACCGCCCTCTACTACGGCTGCTGCTGCCACCATGTCTTCACTTCTATCACTCCGTCCCTACTCTCCCCACCCTCATGCTAACCCTCCTCTCCCCTCCCCCTCCCCTTCCGCCTCCAGTCTCTGCCTGGTGGCGCACCAGCACCCTTTACTATGTTCGATCAGGCACTACGTGCCCACTTCCATCACTCTTAAGCCCCTATTTCCCCACCCCCACATCCCCTACAACTTCTCCTCGCTCTCCCCTTCCCTATGGGCCAGTCGTCACCTGGTGGCGCACCAACACCCTTCACCCCCTCAACCCCCTTAACCCCCTCAACCCCCTCAACCCCCTCAACCGCCCAACCTTTTCCCACCCCTACAACCCCTCCTCCCTCTCTGTGGCTCCAGTCTCTGCCTGGTGGCGCATCAACACCCTTTACTATGACTGCTCGGGCCGCTATGTGTCGATTACTGTCATTCTGTCCAGGGAGCACCACGTGCAGCTCCCATACAAGCTGCTGTGGGGGCTCAAGCCTCCCCTCCCCCTTCATCTCTCCCCACCCCCTTTCTTCCCCTTCTCTCACTCCAGTGTCTGCCTGGTGGCGCACCAACACCCTTTACTATGACTGCTCGGGCCGCTATGTGTCGAGTACTGTCATTCTGTTCAGGGAGCACCACGTGCAGCGCCCATACAAGCTGCTGTGGGGGCTCAAGCCTCCCCTCCGCCTTCCTCTCTCCCCACATCCCTTTCACTCCAGTGTCTGCCTGGTGGCGCACCAACACCCTTTACTATGACTGCTCGGGCCGCTACGTGTCGAGTACTGTCATTCTTGCCGGGGAGCACCACGTGCAGCGCCCATACAAGCTGCTGTGGGGGCTTGGGTCGATCAAGCGAGTGGTCAAAAAGAGGATCAAGTCCAGGGCGTTTCCGCTGGATGAGAATGCGGTCTACTTTGTGATGGGCGACAAGAGCGTGGCTCAGGTGGGTAAATAAGAGGTGCTGGGTTGTGTGGTGCGGTGCGGTGGTTGTTGCGGTGTGTGTCAACAGGAGGATCAAGGCCAGGGCGTTTTCCCTTGACGAGAGTGCCGTCTACTTTGTGATGGGCAACAAGAGCGTGGCTCAGGTGGGTAAATAAGAGGTGCTGGGTGGTGCGGTGCGGTGAGGTGGTTGATGCGGTGTGTCTCAAAAAAGAGGATCAAGGCCAGGGCGTTTGGCCTTGACGAGAGTGCAGTGTACTTTGTGATCGGCGTCAGCAACAAGAGAGCGTGGCTCAGGTGTGTTCTGGCTCTGGCTGGTCGGCGGTTTCGTCATTATAGGGCGAGTGGTCAACAAGAGGGTGCAGGGAGGAGGTGCCATTGGCCTGGATGAGAATGCGATCTACTTTGTGATGGGCGACAAGAGCGTGGCTCAGGTGGGTAAATAACAGGTGCTAGGTGGTGCGGTGGGGGGCAGTGGTTGATATGGTGTGCGTCAACAGGAGGATCAAGGCCAGGGCGTTTCCTGCGTTTCCCCCTGTTGACAATAATGCGGTCTATTGAGTCGACTCAAAAGTCACCTTGTTGACAATAATGCGGTCTACTTTGTGATGGGCGACAAGAGCGTTGCTCAGGTGTGTGCATGTGTGTCTGTGAGGCGCCTCAGTCCTCTCAGGCAACCAGTGCCATAGTGATAAACGATTAACAAGAGGGTGCAGGGCGGGGCGTTTGCCCCTCGATCAATGAGAGTGCAGTGTATTGTGGCTGGTGATGGGGGCGTGGCTGCATGCCTTTTTTTCTTTTTTTCTTTTTTTTCTGTCTCCTCCCCATTCTTGTAACACCCATGTACCTCCCCACTCTCACCTCGCCTCTCCCACCTCCCTCTTGTGCCAAGGAGAGGGACATCAGCGGAGGGAGGAGCCATGAGCAGAGAAGGCTCCTCCTCCGCTGTAGGTGCTTGCTGAGGAGGAGGCATGTGCAGCCAGAGAAGGCTGCTCCTCTGCTGTAGCCACTCCACTGTCAAGCAGATGTACAGTAGGGGAGGAGCCATGTGCAGAGAAAGCTCCTCCTCTGCTGTAGGCACTTACTGGGAGGAGGAGGCATGTTCAGAGAAGGCTCCTCCTCTTCTGTAGGCGCTTACTGGGAGGAGGAGGCACGCGCAGCGCCTACTGTGGCTGCCATGACTTTGTCTCTCTGTGCACTGCATGCATGTCCCCATGTCAGTTAAATTCACTGCATGCATGTCCCCATGTCAGTTAAATTCACTGCATGCATGTCCCCATGTCAGTTAAATTCACTGCATGCATGTCCCCATGTCAGTTAAATTCACTGCATGCGTATCTATCCCCTTCTCAAGTCCCTTCGTGTTCCTCCTCCCCCTCCCCCCCCCCCCCTCCTCCCACCAGAGGGACACCAGCGGAGCCAAGTGCAGCGCCTGCTGCGGCTGGCACGACTTTGTTTCTCTGTGCACTGCGCGCGCATCTATCCCCTTCTCAAATTCCTGCATGTTCCTACCCCTTCCCCCTTCTTTGCCACCAGAGGGACAGCAGCGGAGCCATGTGCAGCGCCTACTGCGGCTGGCATGACTTTGTCAAGATTCGCAAGAAGCTCATCAAGGTTTCTTATGTGGGCAGCCCGGACAAGGTGAGTGTGTTGCCTCAGGCTTGCAATATATATATATATATATATATATATATATATTTTTTTTTTTATTTTTTTTTGTGGAAACCCCAAGTTACCCACACCTGCCATTGCGCCAGAACCTGGGTGCGCCAGTGCACCCACACCTTCGCCCACGAGCCAGCTACCCTGTTTCCTCACCCATCCCCTCTTTTCCCCCCCGTCCTCACCCTCCAGTGCCCCAGCAGCTGCTGGCTGTCCGCCTTTACCTTCAAACCCAGCCCCAACAACGACAGACAGCAGCTTTGACTCCCTGGTCAGCACCTTCGCCCACGAGCTGGCTGAATCACCCCACCCTCACCCACCATTCTTCCCCCCCATTGTTCCCTCCGTTAACAGTGCCCCAGCAGCTGTTGGCTGTCGGCCTTCGCATTCAATCCCAGCCCCAACAAGGACAGCAGCTTCGACTCCCTCGTCAGCACCTTCGCGCACGAGCTCGCAGAGGCCACCAGCGACCCCTACATCAGCACCTGGTTCGACAGCCTGGGACGAGAAAATGCCGACATATGTGCCTGGAGGTGAGCAATGGGGAGGCGAAGGGCGTCCAGGATGGCAGGTGGGTAGTGGGAGTGCAGAGGCCACCAGCGACCCCTACATCAGCTGTTGGTTTGACAGCCTGAGACGAGAAAACGCCGACATATGCTTTTGAGTCGACTCAAAAGCAGTTGGTTTGACAGCCTGAGACGAGAAAACGTCGTGCTCAGGGCGGGGGCTTGACATATGTGCTTGGAGTTGAGGAAGGGACGAGCTCAGGGGAAAGTCCACTGCTGCTTGAATGTGGAGGTTGTTGACTGTGCACGCGTGTGTCGGTGTTATTTTGCCCACGAGCTGGCAGAGGCCACCTGCGACCCGTACATCAGCAGCTGGTTTGACTCGATCGAAGGCCTGGGCCGGGAAGACGCCGAAATATGTGCTTGGAGGTATGCAATGGGGGAGGCGCGAGGGGGGAGTTGGGGGTTATTGGGTTTGCAGAGGCGACCAGCGACCCCTACATCAGCAGTTGGTACGACGGCCTGGGACGAGAAAACGTGGACATATGTTCCTAGAGGTGAGACAGCAGGAAGGGGAAGGGCTTAGGGTGGCGGCAGCGGGAGGGTAGTAGGATTGCAGAGGCCTTATCGCCCCGCACTTGCACTCAAGGCATAAATGAAAGGGAATCATGTCATGTAGTACACCCATGTGTCTTCCACTCTCTCTTTGTCGTCACAACATGTCAGGGCAGGAGAGCTCTCCTTCACATCCAATGCCACAGGCAGCCTTCAATCGAGAAGGGCGAACGGGTCTCATCCAAAGGTCTTCCACCCTTTGTCCTCACCTCTCACCTCTCCGGTAATTATCGCAGGACTGGAGAACTCTCCTAGACCTCCAGTGTCCAACTTACAATCCAGAAGGGTGAACGGATCTCATCCAAAGGTCTTTCACTTTTTGTCCTCATCTCGCACCTCTCACCCCTCCGGCAATTATCGCAGGACTGGAGACCTGCCCTTCGCTGCTGATGGTGCAGCCTACAACCTGGAAGGCAAGGGGTGAAAGGGTCCTAGTGGGTTTCCCAAAGTATAAAACCGCCCTCTCCCTTCCCGCCATCCTGTCTGCCCCCATACACCTCGCAGGACTGGAGATCTGTCCTTCACGGCTGATGGCGCAGCCTACAATCTGGAAGGGGTGGACGGGTCCAAATTTCTCGTCCAGCAGAATTACGACCCGGTTCAACGAACCTGCGTCACCACCACTGCGTGAAACCTGCTGCTGTGTGAACCTGTTGCTGCGTGATTGGATTCGACGAACCTGGTGCTGCTGCTTGACTAGCTTCAATGAACCTGGGCCTGCATCACCCCCGCTGCTGCTGCGGCTTCTGCGTGACTAGGTTCAATGACCCTGGGCCTGTGTCACCACCGCTGCTGTTTCGTGACCTGATTCAACGAATCTGAGCATGCGTCACCACCTCTGCCTCCCCCCTCTCTCAAGCCCTAACTCGAAAGGTATTGCTGGTTCTGGAATCTTGAAGTGTTCAGCATTCTTAGTCCGCCGCCCTCCATGACACCCGAGAGGAGTCTGTGCCGTCAGCTGTGTGAGCAGTGGTGGTGGGGGCAGCAGCCGCAGCAGTACTGGCAGCAGCCGCAGCAGTACTGGCAGCAGCTGCAGCAGTACTGGCAGCAGCCGCAGCAGTAGTGGCAGCAGCTGCAGCAGCAGCACTGGCAGCAGCTGCAGCACTAGCACTGGCAGTATCTGCAGCAGCGGCACTGGCAGATCGGTATCCCTGTGAAGGCAGTGGAGAGCAAGTGTGTGGCGCAGCAGCAGCAGCAGCAGTGATGGTGGTGGGGGTGGCAGCAGCGACAGCAGCGGTGCTGGCGGTGGTGGGGGTGGCAGCAGGAACAACATCGGTGTTGGCGGTGGTGGGGTTGGCAGCAGCAACAGCAGCGGTGCTGGCGGTGGTGGGGGTGGCAGCAGCAACAGCAGCGGTGCTGGCGGTGGTGGCGGTGGCAGCAGCAACAACAGCGGTGTTGGCGGTGGTGGGGGTGGCAGCAGCAACAGCAGCGGTGCTGGCGGTGGTGGGGGTGGCAGCAGCAACAGAAAGGCAGGAGTGAGGCAGATGAAACAGCACGGGCGCGGGTTACAAGCATAAGTATGCTCTACAGGCACATGCATGCACTACAGGCACATGCATACACATGTGCTTGCAATGGGGGCCAGTGTATTGTGAAAGAAGGCAGGTCGAGCTGCAGTGGTCTCCATTAGCATCACAGCAACAGAAAGGCAGGGGTGAGGCAGATGAAACAGCATGGGCACGTGTTACAGGCAGATACATGCGTAACAGGCAGATACACTCGTAACAGGCAGATACATGTGTTACAGGCAGATACATACGTTACAGTCAGATACATGCTGTAAGGAATTAGGAATTCCTTACTGAGGCTTGCTACAGGGCGTACGACTCGAACAGTCCCGAACCAGCGATAGGGTTCCAGACCTTTCAGTTCGAGCCTCCTGGGCCTTTTCGGACCTCGCTACGACACATTGAGGCCCTTCGACACTTTTCCCGAACCTTCCGATCCTACGTCAAGGATCACCCTAGGCTTTCTATATATTGTATTGTCTTTCATTTTATTGTCATTCACTCGTTCACAGTTTCGCCATTGCCCTCCGCGCTACTCGGCAGTCCCATTCATAACACTTGTGCCGCTGCGCCGCCGCGTCGCTCTGCCGCTCCCGACCTCCCGGCCTTGGCTCCCTTCTGAGCCGGCACTCCTGCCGGCAGTCTCCACCGCTCTCCAACACACTCCATCGCACTCCACCGCTTTCCACTGCACTCCACCGCACTCCACCATACTCCACCGCTCTCCACCGCACTCCACCTCACTCCATCGCACTTCGTCGCCTTCCTCCGCCCTTCCTCCTCCCCTTGTCAGCGGCAGTCAACTGCTGCAGCCGTGGTGATGGCGGGCTCACTGCTCCACCAGGACGCGGAGGGTCGGGCGATCGACTTCGAGGCGTGGCTCGTCGACCTTCGCCGTCACCTTACAGGTCAGCCCCAGAACGGTCACTCCCTGGCTGTTCATATCAATGGCCTACTTCCCCGCCCCCCTGCGCCTGTTGCCCTCCCTGATGCCCCCACCACTGCTGAGCGTGAGGCCTTTTCAGCTGCTGCGCTTGCTCGCGCTGTCTGGGAGTTGTGCGACGCCGTTGCGCAGCTTGCTATTAGTCACGCGCTACCCCTGTCTGAGCGTCCCCGCTTTACCACTGTAGGGAACGCCAAGGAATTCTTAGAGGCAGTCATCGCGCACTATTCCACCCCCACCTCAGCCTCTGCTGGCCGCTTGACCCTCCCTATGCTGTTCCCTGATCTTGCGTCCTTCCCCACTGTTGCTGATCTTGCCACTCACCTCTGCGTAGTTGAGACTAGCTACCGCGCCGCTAGCACTGAGGCTCAGCTCGCTCCCTTTCCGCTGCCGCTTTGCGCTACCCTCTACCTCATTGCCACGTGCCTTCCGGACCGCCTAGCCACTGCCCGCGACCACTTCCTTAGTCAGCACCCGGGTGACATCACCCTTCCGGCCTTTGTCACCGCCCTGTCCGCAAAAGAGACCCGTCAGCGCACTATCGCTCGATTTAGCGGTACTGCGCCGGTCCCTATCTTTCAGGGCTGTGCTCCCTCACAGTGCACTTACTTTGACGACTCTGCCGCTATGGCTAAGACCACCGCTGCGGCCTCAGCGCAACCGCGTCCAGGTAGAGGTCGCCGCCCCAAGGGGGGGCGTGGCGGAGGGAAGGCTGGTGGGGGTGGGGAGGGTGGAGGAGGTGGGGGCGAGGACGATGGTTCAGACGAGGGGACCAGGGCTGGTGCCGCGAAGCAGCAGCAGCAACAGGCGCAGCCTCAGTAGCAGCAGTAGCAGCAGCAGCAGCAGCAGTCGCCGTGAGGACCCCCCCGCCATGGTGGACTGGCGGCACTGGTGGTGGTAGTCGTGGCAGTGGGGGGCGTAGCTCGGTATCGGGTGGCGGCACCAGTGCGGTCACCTGTCAGTACCAGCTTTAGACCGGCCCCCGCCGCGGTACCGTCTGCGACCGTCCTGGCCACACCGCCGCCCGCTGCTACTGCCGCCTGGATGGTCTCTTCCGTCACCGCTTCGGTCCCACGTCGGACCCTCCTGACTCGTACGCCCTGGCTCGCCACCGTGTGCATGTCTTTGAGCTTGACATGGATCAGATAAGGACTGCTATGTCTGTCATGCATACTGATGACTCTAGTGTGATTGGACCCTATTACCCGGTGCTGCCTAGAATAGGTGTGTCCTCTGTGTATAGTCTAGGCTCCTCTGCTGCGTTAGGCATAGGACCCCTGCCTTGTTTAGCCTAGGCTACATGCTAGTCCCTTCGCCGGCTGGCGCTACTGCGTCGCTCTCCTTTACGCTTGACTCTGGTGCGTTCGCCTGCTTCTTTCGCGGCCACACTACGCTCATGTCGCTTGCTGCTCCCGCCACTGTAGCACTTGCTGCACCTCCTCAGGTCTGGTAGTTGCCCGTAGTTCCACTACCCTTCCCTGTCCGGCGGTCCCCTCGGACTCAATTAAAGGCCTGCACGTCCCCTCGTTCTCCCGGAACCTAGTACGTGTCGGTTGTCTTCAGGACATCGGCATCACCACTACGTTCCCCCCACATGAGCGGTACGCTGTCTGTACCGAGGCCGTTACTGGTGCCCCTCTAACCACGTTCCCCCGGAGCCCTGTGTCTGGCCTGTTTACGCTTGACACTGCGTCCCCCCCTGTAGTGGCATTCCCCCAGGTGCCTGCGGCGACCCAGGTCGCTGCGGCTTGCTCGTGTCGGTCGCTCACTCACCCGTTGCTTCTGTGCCACCACCGTCTAGGTCACTCCGCACTCCCGCGTCTGCGTCACATGTCCCATCACGGTCGAATCTTTGGTCTCCCTGTGTCGCTCCATGCCCTTCCTTCCTTGCTTTCGCCACCGTGCACGCCTTGCGTCGAGGGCCAACTGCGCCGTGCTCCTCACTCCTCGCTTCCCCCTACCACTGAGCCACTCCAAACCCTGCACCTGGACATCTGGGGCCTAGCCCTCGACACGGACAAGCTTACGGCCTCTGGCACGGACAAGCTTACGGCCCGCACTGTCCACTGTGTCTTTCTTGGATTCCCCCTTGACGCGTCTGAATGGCACTTTTACCACCCGCCTTCGCACCGCTTCTTTCACTCCCGTAACGTCACTTTTGACAAGTCTGTCTCCTTCTACCACCGCTTTCCCCACCGAGGTCTCCCGGTTTCCCCGCCCTTGTTTCTGGTTCCCACTCCCCCGGTAGCCCCTGCTCCTCTCCCTCCCCATCTTGCCCCGTCTGGTAAGTCTCAAGTCACTCCCCTCCCGTTGGTGGTCCCGGTGGAGGATTCGGCTGAATCCGGGGGCCCCGCGGCTTCGTTTTCGCCGCCTGTCTCTGCCTCGGCGTCTCCTCCTCCGCCGCTGCAGTCACCACTACCGCCACCATCGCCGCCACCACGGCCGCTGCCGCCGCAGGGGTCCGTGCGTTCTGGGGGTGCTGGCATTGAGGAGGGTGCTCATGCTGGGGATACTGTCGTGGCTTGTCTTGGCAGTCTCGGGGATGGCACCGGTGCTGGAGAGGGTTCTCGTTCTAGGGGTGCTTGTTCTGGGGGTGCTAGTCCTGGGGTTCTTGTTGCGGCTCGTCCCACCGGTCCTGGGGTGGGCACCGGTGCAGGAGAGGGTTCTTGTTCTGGGGGTGCTGGAGTGGAGTGTTCCTGAGGTAGCCATGGTGCAGCTGGAGGTTCTGGTGTCGTTGTGGCTCAGCAGCAGCAGTTGCAGCCGGTGTCCGCCCTTTGCCTCATCGGTCTTCCCTCCACTGACCGCCCCTCTGCGCCTCTCCCGCCGCTGCCTCCCTTGCCTGACTACAGCCCTGTGTTTCCTCCGCCGGACTCGTCTCCGGCTTGTTTTCCCCCTCGTTCCCCTCCTGTGTCTCCTCCTCTGTCTCCTGGTCCGACGCCTCTGTCTCAGGTCTAGTCTCGCCGTCCCTCCTGTGCTAGTCTTGTCTCCCCTGTTTCGTGCTCTCACCCTAAGTTGCTTCATTCCCACGCGCCTCATCCTCCCCTCCTCCCGTCGCCTCCTCCGTCGTTGCTTGTTGTCGCTCCGCCTCCCCTGTTTCACTTCCTTCGTGCCGCTAGTCCTCTTGTTCCTCGCGTCCTTGCCTCCCTCGTTACCGACCCGTCTGCTCCTGTCTCAAGTCTTGACGCGCTTGTCGCTGCCGTCGCTGACTTTGCCTCTACCCGTCGCCTTGACTACGCCACCGCTCTGGTCTCTGACCCTGCCCATCCTTCGTCCGTTAGGGGTGATCCTACCCTTCGCAGTAACGTCCTGGAGGACCGGCAGTATGAGCTTGCTTTCCTATCCGAGGCCGCGCCTCATCTCTACTTCATGCTGCTAGTCTCTGAGGGGGACCCAGACGCCTTTGACATCCCGCCCCCTTGCACTTACGCGGAGGTGACCTCAGGACTCTGGACCTCTTAGTGGATAGCTGCCATGGACGCAGAGATGGCATCTTGGAGATCCACCGGCACCTACGTCGACATTGTTCCCCCACTTGGGGTGATCGTAGTCGATGGCCAGTGGCTCTTCAATGTGAAGCGCCCTCCTGGAGAGCCGCCGGTGTTCAAGGCGCGCTATATTGCTAGAGGCTTCAGTCAGCGCGAGGGTGTTGACTTCTTTCAGACCTTCGCACCTACCCCGAAGATGACTACTCTTCGGGCGCTGTTACATGTAGCAGCACAGCGTAACTACGAGCTGCACTCTTTCGACTTCTCGACAGCGTTTCTTCAGGGCAGTCTGCACGAGCAGGTCTACCTGCGTCACCCACCTGGCTTCACCGGCACCTTCGACCCAGGGACCCAGTGGCTCCTCCGGCGCAAGGTTTACGTCCTGCGGCAGGCGTCGTGCGAGTGGCATGACACGCTTCGTGCTACATTAGCTGACCTGCAGTTCATCCCGTCGTCTGCGGACCCCTCGCTCTTCGTTTGTCCTGGCCAGACCCCGTTGTACATCCTTGTTTACGTAGACGACCTGGTCTTTGCTACTGCAGACAGAGACGCACTGGCCTCCATGAAGGCCGAGCTGATGAGTACACACACCTGCAATGACCTAGGAGAGCTGCACCGTTACCTTGGCGTGCAAATCTCCAGGGACAGAGTAGCGCGCACCATCACTCTCACACAGTCACACTTTGTGCGACAGGTCTTTCAGAGGTTCGAACTCCAGTTCTCCTCCGCATAGCCCACAGCTCTGTCAGTAGATCGCATGCTCTTGGCTCCAGTCCCTGAGGAGTCACTAGAGCCCAATGGTCCTTACGCAGAGGTGGTGGTTTGCTTCATGTACCTGATGAGTTGCACTTGTCCAGATCTCGCATACCCTCTCAGCATCCTGGCTCGCTTTGTGGCCATAGACAGACACCGACCACAACACTGGGCGGCCGCTAAGAGGTTTTTGCATTATCTAGCAAGTACATCGGGCATGAGGCTAGTGCTAGGAGGACACAGGCTAGTGGTCCTTACAGGGCACACAGACGCTTCGTGGGCAGACGACGCTGAGACACTCAGGTCCTCCCAGGGCTACTGCTTTAGCCTTGGTGGAGGTGCCGTCTCGTGGAGGTCCACCCGCTCGTCGTCTGTTGCCCAGTCTAGCTGTGAGGCTGAGATTTACGCTGGTGCCATAGCGGCACGGGAGCTGCGCTAGCTGACTTTCTTGCTCACAGACTTAGGTTAGCGGCCTAGCTTTGCCCCAGTCCTGTACGCTGACAACAGGGCCATGATCCTCCTATGTCAGGAGCCTCGACTGGAGGGCAGAGCGAAGCACATCCAGCTGCGGTACTTCCTCCTGCGCGAGCTACAGCAGCGCCGCCTGGCCCCCGTAGTACACTTGGCCTCAGGTGCCAACACAAATGATATCTTTACGAAGGCGCTTGCGCCCAAAGATCATCAGCGGCACTGTGTACAGCTTGGTCTAGTTCATGTAGCTTCTCACTTGCTAGGACCTTGATTGTGTACTACTTTTATATTATCTTGACTGGCCTTGTGGCTATTGCCCCAGTTGCTGGACTAGTAGTACCGCCCTGGCCTGCTCTTGTTTAGTTTGTACATTTGCTGAGTGTTCGGACCCCTACCTCAGAGCTTGGACTAGTAGTACCACCCTGAGCTGTGTGTCTCTTGCCAGGTACTGCCCCTCATCTAGCGTAGGGGGTATGTCAAACATATTATGTATATGTATTATATAATAGATAGGTGCATACTCTTAGAGGGTACAATCCCGTAGACAAAACCACCATGTTTGCCTTATTCTAGTTTTTTTTTTTTTTTTTTTCACCTAAAAAATGTTTCCATCCATCTGATTCATGCATATTGAGCAGTGAGTGCCCATCATGCGTGAGGAGTCTATTTTTTAGGCGCCTAAAAAATATTTCCATCCATCTAATTCATGCATACTGAGCCGTGAGTGCCCATCATGCGTGAGGAGTCTATTTTTTAGTTGCCTCAAAAATGTTTCCGTCCATCTTATTCATGCATACTAAGCAATAAGTACCCATCGTGCGTCAGGAGTCTATTTTTTAGGCGCCTAAAAAATGTTTCCATCCATCTGATTCATGCATACTAAGCAGTGAGTGCCCATCATGTGTGAGGAGTCTATTTTTGAGGCGCCTCAAAAATGTTTCCATCCATCTGATTCATGCATACAGAGCAGTGAGTACCCATTGTCGAGTGACCCGCTGGGGTTACCCTTGAGAAGATCCTTGGGGAAAGGCCACAGATGCAGAGCCTGGGGGACTATGGGCGCACTGATCCGCTATTACAGCGACGGAACTTTCTGTCCACATGTTGGTCATGAAGTGGACAAAATCAGAGCCCATGAGAAACTGAGCAGGTTTTTTGTTTTCTGGTTTTAAGGTTCTAGTTGCTACTGTTATAGGCTTGTGTGACAAATAACATGTTGTCCAAAAAACACACCATAATAGAACATAGAACAACCAAGATCAGAAGAGGTACACTCGGACAGAATGTTCCCAGGATGAGCCACAGTTGAAATTATCAATATCAATACCGTGTCCATCTCCCCTTGGCCCTATTTCTTGCTGTGATCCTCCTAGGCATACAGTCTAACAGAGCTTCACACACGCCAGCCCCAATGCTATCCCAGGTCTCGTGCACCTACTCCCAAGTTTGCAGCATGCCTGTGAGGGGGTGCTCATGCTTGGTGACTTGCTCGATGGGATTGGGGTCAGGGGGGGAAGAGGGCCATTGTAGGACGGCGAAATCTTGCTCTGCTAGCCACTCTTGAACGATCCTGCACTTGGGTTTGGGGTCGTACAATGTACTGGAAAGTCATGCCAGAGATGGTTAAATAATAAAAATCAAGAGCTTGAGCCACCTTGTCCTGCAATATGATGCGATAGAGTTGGCCACCCGTGTGACCATCAATCTTGCACATGTAACCAGGCACATCATACGTCATACATACTCAAACCATGACTTACCCACCCTCATGCTTCACATTCAAATTCACCTGATGCCCTTGGAGAGCAGTGCCTTCGCAAATCCATGCGTGGGTGCGGCTTTCCGAGCAATATCGAGCGATCCGTATCTCGTCCGACCTGATCACCCGCTTGAAGTCGTCCAGAGTCCAGTCCAAATGGGCTCTAGCAAAATACCGACGGTCGCGGCCATTGCGTGCTGATAGTTGAGACTTGCGCAGTGTCTGCACGGCGACTAACTCAGGCAGCTTGAGAGCATTTCGTGCAGTACGAGGGTGGACCTTAACATCGTTATACGATTCCAGTGGATACACAGCCTTGATGCCCGTCAATGCGACACCTAACATGATGATGTGCACGAAGGTGCGCACGTGTCATGCTGAAAGCAATCGACTGTTGGCCTAGCTGCTAGATGACTACTGCTGTGACTAGCCTTCATAGCATTTTTTTGGGATGATTCTTCTCCCTATTCCTAGCGTACGTGCGATCAGTCGGAAACTCAGACCCTGGCGACAGAGTCTCATGATCCTCTATCTGTGACACGAAGCAAGTGGCCGCGTGCCTACTAGAGGCTCACGGGGTAAGGGGCAAGCATTAGCAAAAGTCTAAGCGACTTTGCTAGCTCGTGCAAAAAATGCTCGGCGGAAACAGATCTAGTCTCTGTGAGAGTACGACCCCGTTACACCACTTGGCATTTTCTTATTTCCTTTCTTTTCATTTCTCTTTTATTCCATCTCATGTGATTTCCTATTCTCCATTTCCATTAACCTTTGGTTTATCCTGCTATTATAATTATATCACCGACCAGGCTTGGGATGTACTGGTGCGCTCTATCTAGCGTAATCCTGCTGTAATCCCTTAAAGCCAATAGCCTCGCGTGGCTATACGCAGGGTGATTCTATCTTCTAGAAGGGTCTATTCCCCTAGGATAAGATAAACCTGGGTACCTGATGTACTCTGGAAGTATAAAAGCGCCTTGTACTGATCGATAGTGCAATCTTTCCTCGACACATTCGATCCTGTGACACTTGGTAATCAAAGCTTTTCTCACTCGGCCGCGCTCAACAAAGCAACAGCAGCGGGAAAACATGCCTCGAAAAACCGTCGGGGGCGACCAATTCGACGCCGATTTTGGTAAGCACCAGCTCCGCGATTTTCGAATTACCCCCTCCGTGCATGTTTTGAACAGGATGGCAACCTTCGACAACGCCGAGGTTACCCAGCAGCTCTTCGCGCGCATCGCAGCCCTTCAGGAGGAAATGCGAGCGGATCGCGAAGCGTGGCGAAACGAGTTCGAGCGAGTAACTCGACTCGCCGGAGCGCAGCACGAGACGACGACGCAGCAGTCGCAACAGTTTCTCGAGGCTCCGAAACCGCGCCCACCTGAGCCGTTCGATCCGAGCGATCGAAACTCCGACGCCCGCAGATGGATCGCCGGGATGGAGATCTACTTCGCAGCCGTCGGATGGAGCTCACCAGTCTGGGACGGTCAACGTGTACGACTCGCGGCGACACTGATGCGAGGGCCGGCACTCGAGTGGATTGGCGGCAACAGTACCTTCATCCACGGTGAAGCCACGTGGCAGCAGTTCCGCGCCGACCTGCTGAAACGCTTCGAGCCGATAAATTCTAGTTTCCTTGCCCGGGAAAAAATTCATCGACACCGACAGTTCGGGAGTGTAGCGCAGTACACGCAGCAGATGGAGGAATTTTATAACCGCATTCCCGACCTGACCGAAGGGGAAAAAGTACAATCGTACCTCGCCGGGCTGAAGACCGAAGTCAAACGCCAGGTAGCAGCGTCAAACTACGCGAGCTACAGTGACGTCGTTTCGGCAGCGGAGCGCTTCGACATGGTCAACGCCGGAACACGACGGACGCACGTCGGCAGTACGCGACAGGGCGACCGCTCGGCTCAAACCACGTTCGCCGACCCGATGGAAGTCGACAGATTTGAGGGGCGGCCACGTCCGAAAAACACCAATTACACGTGTGATTTTTGCGGGGTGCCGGGTCATCGAATCTTCGACTGCAGCAAAATGAAAGCCGCACGCGCAGAGTATCGGGCACGCAACAGTGGCGGAATTCCTTCAGCCAATCAGAAGCCAAAAAACGGGAGTCGCCAGTGATTGCGGATCTAGCTGGCGAAAATAAAAAGATCCGAAAATGGCCACGGGATTCCGGGAAAATCAACTTCGACGAAGCTGATTCAACGCGATAAGGAGGAAATGATGAGGGAAAATCTCCACCCCACGACCAGCCTTCGCTAGGGAAAATCGCGGAGGAAAAATACGACTCCGCGAAAAAAGACTCTGCCGAGACGGGGAAACTCCTCGAAGACCCAAGAAATTATAAGAATTCGTTAAAGTTATCTTATAAAGATGCTTTAATGAAAACTTATGATGTTCGAGGGGCTAGAGCCTTGGAGAAAATTCGGGAAGGACTCCAAAAGAAGCAGACAGCTGTGGAGATTATACCGGTACCGGACAACTTGGGGAAAAAATTAAGGAGTGTGGAAAGAAGCCGACCTTTCCACGGAGTCAACGTCCTCTCCCGACACCAGCCCACAACGACTACCCGTTCCCCAGGGAAGACGTCGGTGGAGCTGAAGCAGCTTAAGAGGAAGCTGGGGGTCTATAAGAAGTTGCACAAACCCCAAACTCCTCCTCCGGATGCATCCAGTTCTTCGGCATCAGTGACGCGCACAGTCGTCAAGGAAACTCTGGGCCCTGGAGAAGAGCCGTTCTCCAAGCAGCCTCGGCCACCTGCCAGCTCAAGGGTAGATAGCAACACAAAGGTGTGTAGGGAATATTGGGATGTACCCTATGACCCAATCAATGAAACTATCTTTGGGTACTCCGAGCAACGACTGCCCCTCGTGCTCGAGGTCATCTGCAAAGGACGACGCCTCCAAGCACTCGTGGACAGCGGAGCATCACACACCGTCTGTGACAAGGCAGTAATCGACCGACTTCGGGAAGAGTACAAGCCTTCAGGATTCTCTGCAACGATGGTGGACGGCAGCAAGTTACCAGTACACGGCGAAGCAGTGCTACACCTACAAATTGGACAACTGCGTTGGAGACCTGCACTCCCCATCACCAACATCAAAGGGCTTGACTTGATCTTCGGACGAGACTTCCTAAAAAGATTCAACCCCGAGATCAACTGGGTGAACCGCACCGCAAGCATCTACAACAATGGACGGAGAGTACAGCTACCCAACTGGGACGATACAGGAGATATCCCAGTGGAGACACTCGCACGATTTGAGAAGGACGTGAAGCGAACCTACACAGGGTTCCTGGCAATAGCAACAGAGGCGGAGAACGGCAGGGAAAGAACCTCGGAACCTCCAGGAAAGATCAAAGAATTATTGAAGGAGTTCCAAGACATTCTTCCGGACGATCTTCCGAATGAGCTACCGCCATACCGAACGCATCAACACGAGATCGTGGAGGAACCGGGTTCGAAGCCGACCTTCCGAGCACCATATCGGCTCAGCCCTACGGAGCTGACCGACAAGCCGTACGCACGTGGAAGACACCCGAGAACGTGAAGGAGTTGCAGCAGTTCCTAGGCTTCGCTAATTACTACAACAGGTTCGTGTCACAGTATGCGAAAATCGCAGCACCACTCACGAATCTGCTGAAGAAGAACACGCCCTACAAATGGGAGCCGAAGCACCAGGAAGCCGTGGAGCAGCTGAAGCAAGCACTTACGTCCGCACCGGTACTCATTTTGCCAGATCCCGAACGCGACTACGTCATCGAAGTTGACGCCAGTGACCAAGCAGTGGGAGCAGTCTTGATGCAAGATCAAGGGAATGGACTGCAACCAATCGCTTACCTAAGTATGAAACTACACGGGGCAGAACTAAACTACCCGATACACGACAAGGAGGCCCTGGCTATCATCATCGCCTTCAAAGCGTGGAGATGCTATCTCGAAGGACGAAGAACAACCGTCTACACTGACCACTGCAGCCTGAAATACTTGAAGACACAACCCAACCTTTCCAGGCGGCAGGTCCGGTGGATCAACTTCCTCGAGACACGCTTCCACTACGACATCGTGTACAAGCCCGGTCACAAGAACAAAGCAGACGCTCTCAGCCGGCCTGCACACATTGCCGCTATTCAGGTCGAAGGGATGAATCCACTACTCAAGGGACTCTTCACACACGGGTACGCCACCGACCCCGAAATTCCCTTGGCAGAAAAGCGACATCTGCTACTGTGGGACAGTGACATCGCGTACCGGAAAGGATCAACAAAAATCTGGGTACCCAATTACCCTCCTTTGCGCCAGTTACTACTCAAAGAATACCACGACGTCCTCTACGCCGGACACTTCGGTAGCAACAAGCCGCTGACCGGTATCGCAAAGCACTACTACTGGCCCCACTTAGCAGAAGATGTCCAGAAATTCGTCACCTCGTGTGATACATGTCAGCGGATGAAGAGCAGCAAGCAGAAAAAGGCGGGACTACTGCAGCCTCTTCCTGTCCCAGAACAACCATGGCAAGTGGTTAGCCTGGACTTCATCACCGGGTTACCACCTACAACCAGCGGTCATGACGCAATCCTCGTCGTCATTGACAAGTTCTCCAAAATGGGACACTTCATCCCGACACACACGACAGCATGCACCGAAGAAACAGCACAACTCTTCGTTCGATACATCATCTCACAGCATGGCATTCCAACCACACTCATCTCCGACCAAGACCCTAAGTTCACCAGCAATTAATGGAAGGAACTTATGTCTCTCCTCGGGACCAAACTCGCCATGTCATCTACTTACCATCCGCAGACAGACGGACAGACCGAGCGCCTCAACCAAATTGTTGAGCAACTCCTCCGAGCAGCCTGCAAGGACGAGATCTCCAAATGGGACTTGCACCTGCCCGTACTAGAGTTTGCTTACAACAATGCTACACATGCCGCTACTGGACAGACGCCGTTCTTCCTCTGCTACGGACGCCACCCACTCACACCACAAAAACCGACAGCATCAGCTACAGTCCAACCAGCACATGATTTCATCACAACCATGCATCAGCTTTGGGATCGGACCCACAAGCGCCTACTCGACATTCAACAGCAACAGAAGCGCCAAGCCGATCGCCATCGCAACGATCACACCATCACGGTGGGAGACCAGGTGCTTCTTGACACCCGCAACCTGGACATCAGCCATCTCCCATCTGTTCTTCGTCCCCCCCGGGGGGCTTTTCTCGTTGAAGCACAGGTCACTCTTGTTACCTTCCGCTTACGCCTGCCAGCTACTTGGAAGATTCACAACGCCTTCCACGTCCAACTTCTGAAGCCCTATCGGGACCCGAACACGATTTTCGTCGGACGCCAACCGCCGCCGCCACCACCCGTCCTCGTCCAGAATGAACCCGAGTACGAGGTCGAGTCCGTGCTCGCACACCGCCGTCGTCGGAATGGCACCGTGGAGCTTCTCATCCGTTGGAAGGGTTATGATCCTTCTGAGGACAGCTGGGTACCTGAGTCCGACATGGGTAACGCCCGTTGTCCTCTGCATGACTACCTTGTCAAGCAGGGTGTTACTTCTACCACCCAGCTTTGAGGGGGGGAAGTGTGAGAGTACGACCCCGTTACACCACTTGGCCTTTTCTTACTTCCTTCCTTTTTCATTTCTCTTTTATTCCATCTCATTTGGTTTCCTATTCTTCCTTTTCCATTAACCTTTGGTTTATCCTGCTATTATAATTATATCACAGACCAGGCTTGGGATGTACTGGTGCGCTCTATCTAGCGTAATCCTGCTGTAATCCCTTAAAGCCAATAGCCCCGCGTGGCTATACGCAGGGTGATTCTATCTTCTAGAAGGGTCTATTCCCCTAGGATAAGATAAACCTGGGTACCTGATGTACTCTGGAAGTATAAAAGCGCCTTGTACTGATCGATAGTGCAATCTTTCCTCGACACATTCGATCCTGTGACAGTCTCTGCTCGGGTAGTATTTGTCCACATCGACCATCGAGCCTTAAAGCTTGTACTCATTATTAGGAAATCGATATCTCCTGGCGTTCGACATATTTGGAGGTGCATCAATTGTTTCTGCATAATGTCCATAGGTTCCAGATTGATATCTATCCATTTATACTTGCAAAAACATCGCGAACTTGCTCAACAGTGCCATTTTGCGGACAAATTGTTCCGTCGCTGTAACAAGCCATTTTAACTCAATGATTAGTGGCTTAGTTTCTAGCATGGTATCAGAGCCTTGGTGACTCGGGTTCAATTCCCAGTGCTAGCGCTGCAGCACTCGTGTCTACCACCTATCCCAGCGAGGGGGAGTATCGACTGACCCGCTGGGGTTACCCTTGAGAAGATCCTCGGGGAAATGCCACATGTGCACCGACTCGCTATTGACAAGCCCTTTTAACTCAATGAAATGGCTGAGTTTCTAACATCCATCATGCGTGAGGAGTCTATTTTTTAGGCGCCTCAAAAATGTTTCCATCCATCTGATTCATGCATACTGAGCAGTGAGTGCCCATCGTCAGCAACCCCAGCCAAGATCCAGAAGCACTTCCATCCATCCAACCAATCAATCACCACAGCTATTAGTCCCTAACTCGGAGACTGAGCGAGTCTCATCTGTTAAGCTAGCAACACTAGGACGCCATGAAAGAGGCGAGAGGTTTAGCTAGGGGGTGAGGGTTGACGAGAGAAAAGAGGGTTTGACTAGAAAGAGAGAGGGATACAAGGAGGGGATTGTACCCTCTACAGTAGAGTCCGGTAACCTACCAAGCCTAACAATTATATAACACAATATATAATTTAACACACCCCCAAGGCTTGGTAGTCACAAGCCCACACAAACCCACACCCCCTAACCTAGCACCCCCGTTCCAAGCATCAGCCACGTCTACTCCGATGGGGCCAGCCCCCACTGCACGTGAGATGGCGATGGAGGCAACCACGACGGTGACGGCGTGCGGCGGCGGCGACGGCGTGCGGCGGCAACGCCTTGCAGCAACGGCGGCGGCGGCGGCGGCTTCAGAGGCGACTGCAGCGGCCCCCCCCCTCTCGGCGGCATGGCCAGTCTCGACGGCAATGGGGTCCCCCACGCGCCAGGCGTCGGCTGTGGCGAGGAGGAGGGGACGCAGGGGAAGGAGGGCGGCTGGCATGTGGGCGGCGGCGGCGTCACAGGCGTCGCGCGTTCGGCTGCAGCCCGACGGTGCCGTCACTGAGCGGCGTCGATGCCGCAGCGGGACGTCGACGCTGCGACGGCAGCACGACGGCGCCGCCACGCCGCCACTGCTGGACGTCGACGCCACAACGGCGCGACGCCACGGCAGCGCGTTGAGACGGCCGCGGCACGAAGCCGACAGCGCCGTCACGGCTGCGTGCTGCGACGGCCGCACCAAGAAGCCGCCGCGGCATCTCGGAAAAGCTGCCACGGCGGCACAAAAACAGAAGGCCGCGACGGCGGCGAACGAAGAACGGGTACGCGGCGGAAGCGTGGGGAGCAGGCCCAAGAGAAACGACCCGCTCTGAAACCATGTTAAGCTAGCAACACTAGGACGCCATGAAAGAGGCGAGAGGTTTAGCTAGGGGGTGAGGGTTGACGAGAGAAAACAGGGTTGGACTAGAAAGAGAGGGATACAAGGAGGGGATTGTACCCTCTACAGTAGAGTTCGGTAACCTACCAAGCCTAACAATTATATAACACAATATATAATTTAACATCATCTACCATATCAAGTCTCTTCTATCATGTCTCCTCTCCGTCCTTGCCCTTGGCCTTCCCATTTCATCCGCTTGTGTTTTGAGTCCCATCCCATGTCCTCAGTCTGAGCGAGACATGAGTCAAATGACCGACCTTCAGCTGTGTTCAGTTGTGCTAACCACCGTGCCTCCTAACTACCATCTACCGTTTCTTTCAATGACTAGTTAGTGAGTCTCCAGAAGCATGGGATACTGGGGCACTTTGCTCGTTGTGTGCAGTTCAGTCCCCCTTGGCATCGACCTTCCCTGCTCCAACCTCCTTCCAGTTGGTTGATAGCACCGTCCCCTTCGACTCCACCTGGAAGAACGAGATGACAGAAGAGAGGAGAGGAGGCGAGAGGATAGGAGATGACAGGAGAGGATAGGAGAGGAGGGGAGGGGAGAGGAGAGGCTTAAAAAAGGAGGTTCTAAGACACCGTCTATCCTGCCTCGCTGCTTCATCAGCCCTTAGCTTCGACCTTCCCTGACCGGCCTCCTTCCAGTTGGTTCATAGCACCGTGCCCTTCAACTCCACCAACGAAAAAGGGTTGAAACAGAAGAGAGGACAGGTTACGAAGAGGTTGGCAAGCGTGTATGCCTGGGCCAGTCGAGAAAGGGAGAGAAGCATGACATAAGAAGGGGAGGGCGAGGGGCACTGCGGAAAGGCTTGTTCATGGCTCTGCGACGTTTCACGAGGCAAAAAAGAAGATGCCAAGGGAGTAGAGGGGAGAATGAACAGGGCGAGGGCGAGAATATAGAAATCAAAAGATCCGAACCGCAGCGAGGCGACACACGGGGGTAGAAGGGAGCACGAGCAGGGCAATGGCGAGTAGTGATTGTCAAAAGGAAGCAAAAACCAAGGAGAGAGGAGGAGCGAGAAAGGACACTGACAAATGACTTGTTCATCGCTCGGCGGGTCTCCTCGTCTGCCCCTGCGTAAATGTCTTGGAAGAGCTTGTTCAGCGCCGCATCTCCGTCGAGCTTCTCATCCTTCTCCTGTAAAGAAACAGAGCAACAGCACAGGGAGTACACTTCGGCGTGAGGGGACAGACCACCAGAGCAACAGAGTGGTAGATCATCCGTTCAGGGGGGCTTGGATGTCTTGAACGAGCCTGTTCAGCGCCGCGTCTCCGTCCAGCTTCTCGCCCTTCTCCTGCAACGAAAGAAAGAAAACAAGGGCGGCGGCGGCGGCGGCGGAGAGAAGAATCGGTGAACTCATTCTGTAAGGGCCAAAAGAGCGCCACCATCTGTGTTCCCCTGTTATTCCACCATCTGGCACCTAGTTTCCGTGTTATTCAGGTCCTGGTTCAATCCTCACCTGTCATTCTCCGCCTCCAATCCTCCATTCAGGTCCTCATTCAATGTGCTGCTTGCAACGCCCAAAGATGAACCACAGACTCAAGAATCACCTAAACCACAGACTGCACCGAAACACCTGAACTCAAGAATCAAGATTCAACCCTTACCTCCACGCCTTGACTCCCGTCTCAAGCTGGTCCCAGTTCACGTGCTGCTTGCTTGACTGTACCCCCACCTCCAATCACAAGCCAAGCTCTGGGTTGACCTGGGTTGACCTCGGTTGACATGGCGTGACCTGGGTTGACCTGGGTTGACTCAATTCACGTGCTGCTTGCGTCCACTCAAAAAGCACCAAGGAGTGCACTGAAACACCTAAACACTTAGCTCAAGAATTGAGTGAGTAATCAGCACTCACCTCCGCCTTCACTTCCGCCTCCAGCTGGTCGCAGTTCACGTGCTGCTTGCGACGGCGTGTAAGGTGCACACTCGACACACAAGTGCACCTGTTTCACACTTCACAACCCACAGCTCACCTCCGCCTTCACTTCCGCCTCCAGCTGGTCCCAGTTCACATGCTGCTTGCGGGACGAAGGGTACATGTGCTTCAGCTTCTCGGCGGTCTCTGCTTGGAGGGACAGGAGGGGGGTGGTACAGGAGGGATGGACGGATGGGAGTTAGTTATCGGTCACTTCACAGGAAAATACACATGCTGCTGCTTGTGGGATGATGGGCACATGTGCTTCAGCTTCTCTGCAGTCTCTGCTTGGGACGAATAGGGGGAGGCACAGGGGTTCAGTAGGGATGGATGGGTGGGGAGTCAGTCAGTTGTCACGTTGCAGCACACTACACATGCTGCTTGTGGGACGAAGGGTGCACGTGCTTCAGCTTCTCTGCAGTCTCTGCTTGGGACGAATAGGGGGAGGCACAGGGGTTCAGTAGGGATGGATGGGTAGGAAGGCAGTCAGTTGTCACGTCGCAGCAGACTACACATGCTGCTTGCGGGACGACGGGTACATGTGCTTCAGCTTCCAGCAGTCTCAGCTTGGGGAAGAGAGGGTGGAGCAGGAGGTATGGATGGTTCAGTCCAAAGCATCTGGCCCTGTCTGGCCTTCTCTGTTGCTTGCTACTACACCCCCCCCTCCCCCCAACACCCCCGCACACCCCCCCACACCCCCCCACACCCCTCCACCATTCAATAACCCACCATCCGACAGATTGACTGGGCTGCAGCACTGAGGGGCACCTAGCCGCCTCGAGCGCAGTCCAAAAAATGCTCTCCGCCATCGTCTCTCACTTGCTACCCAAAACCACCGCCCACCCTCCTTCCCCCCACAAGACCACCCGCCAACCCACCATCAGACACATTCACGGATTGAATGGGCTGCACCACTGCCAGCCGTTTGGTTGCTTCCAACGCGGTCCAGTGGATGCTCTCCGCCTTTGCCTCTCCCTTGGTACTCTCTCCTCTCCCCCGCCAAAACCCGTGCGTGAGGAGTCTATTTTTGAGGCGCCTCAAAAATAGACTTGCTACTCTCTCCTCTCCCCCGCCAAAACCCCTACCCACCCACCCACCCACCATCAGACACGTTAACCGGTTGCACCACTGCCGGCCGTTTGGTGGCTTCCAGCGCGGTCCAGTGGATGCTCTCTGCCTTTTGCAGACGCACCTCGACCTTGGTGCTCATCAGCACGTGCTTGCTGCGAGCAGGGTCCACCTGAAAGGGGATGGCGGGAGGGAGAAGAGGAGATGACAAGGATATGAATTGCCTCAGGCTTCACCAGTCACACCTCAACATTGGTGCTCATCTGCACATGCTGGACGTGAGCAAGCAGGATGCACCTGAAAGGGGATGACAGGAGGGAGAAGTGAGATGACAAGAATATAAATTGCCTCAGGCTTCACCAGTCACACCTCAACATTGGTGCTCATCTGCAGATGCTGGACGTGAGCAAGCAGGATGCACCTGAAAGGGGATGACAGGAGGGAGAAGAGGAGATGACAAGAATATGAACTGCCTCAGGCTTCACCAGTCACACCGCAACATTGGTGCCCATTAGCACATGCTTGACGTGAGCAAGCAGGGTGCACCTCAACAAGCATGGAAGCACGCCGGGGGAAGGGAAGGGGGAACGGGGGAGGAAGGTGGGGGATGCTTCACAGTGACTGACGTCTGCCTTTGCCAGGCAGACGCACCTCGATATTGGCGCTCGTAAGCACGTGCTTGCTACTATTGAGGCTCCTAAAAAATTACTCTCGGCGCTCTTAAGCATGTGCTTGCTACTTTTGAGGCTCCTCAAAAATGACTCTCGGCGATCTTAAGCACGTGCTTGCTGCTTTTGAGGCTCCTCAAAAATAGACTCTTGGCGCTTGTAAGCACGTGCTGGCTACTTTTGAGGCTCCTAAAAAATAGACTCTTAGCGCTCATAAGCACGTGCTTGCTACTTTTGAGGCTCCTCAAAAATAGACTCTTGGTGCACATAAGCACGTGCTTGCTACGAGCTGGTTCCACCTGAACAAGCACAACCATTTGAAAACAGGCAACGACTGGGATGGGATGGGATGGGATGGGATGTGAATATTGTCTGCTTTTCATATCCCTCAGCACCTATCGTTCACACAACCTTCCACTGCAGTTAATTAATCCGACCTCTATTCTTACACTTGATAAAATTTTACAACACATCGTGATAAACTTTCACAACCTTCCTAGCCCCCCCCAGACAAAACCTCCCCCCATTGCACCCACCTTTCCAAAAAGCCGCAGCTGCAGGACATATGGCGGCTCCTCATTGGCTGACTCGATTACCACGCTTAGCTGCACACAGGTAAGAGAGAACAAAACTGGGACATTCAGGCGAGACAAGAAACCGAGTCAAGAGAAAAAAAGCACACAAAGCAACGCTCAGGCATGAATGGAACGGAAGGGAAAACTAGAGAACTTTGCAGGTCATGTCAGGTGAGGGCAGGTGAGGTGAGGGCAGGTGAAGGCAGGTGAGGGCAGGTGAGGGCAGGTGAAGGCAGGTGAGGGCAGGTGAGGTGAGGTGAGGTGAGGTGAAGCTCGGCTCACGCACCACTTGCTCCCCAATCTGCACTTTGAGCTGGTCGGATGAAACGCCCTTGGCGAATACAGTTACCACCACCGTCGTTGCTGACTGGTAAAACTCGTGTCTGTGAGTGAGACGATTGGTGGGAGGAGGAGGAAGGCAGTAGCAACAGTGAAAACATTAGCACCAGAAATGGGAAGTGAAGTGATCTTCTCCTCATCGATTCCTTGCTTGGAGAGGTCTAGTTTTGAGGCGCCTCAAAACTTGCTTGGAGAGGTCTAGTTTTGAGGCGCCTCAAAACTTGCTTGGAGAGGTGAAGTGGGATGGGAAATGGAAGGGGAAAGGAGAATGCACTGTAGCCTGTAGGTGATTTTTTAGAATTCCGAAAAATCACCTACAACAGAAAGGAGGGCACGTTGGGGAGGAAAAGACAAACTGGTCTGATCTGACTTAAGACCAAATCTGTACAGGTTATGATTCTATCCAAGGCTGACTGACCTGTACTTAGCTTTGAGGCGCTTCAAAACTGCGTGATAGGAGTCTGGTTTCGAGGCGCTTCAAAACCGCGTGAGAGGAGTCTAGTTTTGAGGCGCTTCAAAACCAAATCTGTACTGGTCATGGCTCTATCCAAGACTCACCTGTACTTAGGAGGCGGAGGTGCTGCTGCTGCTGCTGGTGCTGGTGCTGGCGCAGACACAGGGGCAGAGGAGGCGGGAGGAGCAGAGGAGGCGGGAGCAGGGCCAGGAGCTGGGGATGCGGATGGAGCAGAGGCGGTAGGGGCGTCCACTGTCATATCCTCGTCTTCTGTGTGAGGGATCAAATAGCACGAGAGTGGGGGGGGTAAGCAGACCAGTTTTTGAGTCGACTCAAAAATCGACTCATTACACACTGGGGATGGAGCAGAGGCGGTAGGGGCGTCCACTGTCATGTCCTCGCCTTCTGTTTGAGGGACGAGGGATGAAATAGCACGAGAGTGGGGGGGGTAAGCAGACCAGGCAATGATCTCTTTCGAGTCGACTCAAAAGTAAGCAGAACGAGCAGAGGCGTCAACTGCCATGTCCTGGTCTTCTGCAGCACGAGGGCAAAATAGCACGAGGGTGGGGGGGATGAGCAGACCAGACCAGACCAGGCAGTGATCTTCATGCGCCTCAAAGAGCACGAGGGTGGGGGGAAACAGACGGTAAAAGGGGAGCCAGGCAGGCATGGAGTGAGTGAGGGAGAGGTACAAGGGTGAACAGGAAGGGAGAGGAGGAGAACAGTACAATTGTGCAGGAGGTGCAGGAGGTGCAGGAGGTGCAGGAGGTGCAGGAGGTGCATGAGGTGCATGAGGTGCAGGAGGTGCAGGAGGTGCATGAGGTGCATGAGGTGCATGAGGTGCATGAGGTGCATGAGGTGCAGGAGGTGCAGGAGGTGCATGAGGTGCATGAGGTGCATGAGGTGCATGAGAACATGAGAACATGAGAACATGAGAACATGAGAACATGAGAACATGAGGACATGAGAACATGAGAACATGAGAACATGAGAACATGAGAACATGAGAACATGAGAACATGAGAACATGAGAACATGAGAACATGAGAACATGAGAACATGAGAACATGAGGACATGAGAACATGAGAACATGAGAACATGAGAACATGAGGACATGAGAACATGAGAACATGAGAACATGAGAACATGAGAACATGAGAACATGAGAACATGAGAACATGAGGACATGAGAACATGAGAACATGAGAACATGAGGACATGAGAACATGAGAACATGAGAACATGAGAACATGAGAACATGAGAACACCTTTGGGAACACCTTTGGGAAGTCGATCACCCACCCTTGTACTCACTCACTCCCCTTCCATCCATCCACTCGTATTTTTTTAGGCGCCTCATTTTTGAGACGATTTTTGAGGTGCCTCAACAATTGTGCAGGAGGTGCATGAGAACACCCTTGCACTCACTTGCACTCACTCACTCCCCTTCCATCCACTCGTAACCAACCCACTCGGACCAACCCACTCGGACCAACCCACTTGTTAAAAGGTCCTAATCCTCCCCCCACCTTGCTGCAGTTCCGCCTCTGCCTTTGCGCATGCCGTTGCGGAACTTGGCATTGCGTGACTCTACCCTTCCCCTCCTCCCCCCACCTCACTTGTTGAGAGGCACCAATCCCTAAATCATTCGTTATAATCACCCACCTTGGCTCTGCAGCTCCGCCTCTGCCTTGCGGATGCCGTTACGGAACTTGGCATCGTTTGGCTCCAGCTTGGCTCCCGCCTTGAACGCCGCTAGGGCCGTCTCGTACTCCTCCAGATGGTGGCATGCCACGCTGGGAATGTGACAACACAAGGGACGAACGGAAGAGAAAGTAGTTGGCCAATCCTGTTGCCTCCAGCTTGGCTCCCGCCTTGAACGCTGCTAGGGCCATCTCGTACTCCTCAAGATGGTGGCATGCCACGCTGGGAATGTGATAACACAAGGGACGAACGGAAGAGAAAGTAGTTGGTCAATCCTGTTGGCTCCAGCTTGGCTCCCCCCTGGAACGCCGCTAGGGCCGTCTCGTACTCCTCCAGTTGGTGACAGGCGACGCTGGGATTAAGAGAGCGTGAAGATGAGAGGGAAGGGGGGAGGGAAGAAGTGAGGGATTGGGAGGAAGGGGCTGGGAGGACTGACGATCGGCTCCAGATTGGATCTCGCCTTAAACGCCGCTAGCGCTGTCTCGTACTCCTCCAGATGGTGGCACGCCACGCTGAGAATGTGGCAGCACAAGGGGCAAACGCAGGAAACGGTTGGGCATATTGTTAGGTCTAGCTTGGCTCCTGCCTTGAACGCCGCTATCGCCGTCTCGTACTCCTGCCGGTTGTGGGGTGGCACGCCACGCTGGGAACGGGGAGACTTTTGAGTCGACCCAGAAGTGTGGTGGCACGCCCCGCCCCGCTGGGAACGGGGAACGAGAGGAAGGGAGGAGCGTGAAGCAGGGAGGTGTGGAGGGGATGATTTGAGGGCCTTCAAATGTACCCGTTAACACCGTTTCGTTATCCTCCAGAAAGATGGTTGCATTCCACGTCAGGAACGAGGAAACAGGGGCGAGGGGGTAGGAGGAGAGGGGAACGGGAAACCGGGGAGGGGGGGCGGGGGGCGGGGGTGCGGGGTCACTAGCGCCGTCTCGTACGCCACACAAAGGGGAGGGGAAGAAAGGGTTTCGAGAAGAAAGCAAGGGAGGAGAATGAAACGAGGCAACAACGGCGAAGTCACGAGCACACAGTTCGCTAAATTACGATGGCAGACGCATGAGATGTGGAGAAGGTCGACAGACGAGGCCCAACGGGGGAAGAACGCGGTGGGGACAGGCGGAGAAAAGAGGCGAGAGCACGGCGGGTGGGTTATCAAAGTGACCCGGGTGGCGAGAAGAGAAATCGACTGCGACTGGGGATTGACTGATCGACGACAAGGAGAGGCGAAACGAGAGGCGAAACGAGAGAAGAAACGAGAGGAGAAACGGAATCGGAGAGCAACGCACCCTTTGCGAAGGTAAGCCAGCGCGCAGTTCGGATTCAACTTGATCGCTGCGTTGGCATCCGCCACGGCATCTGCAAGACCAGCGGAAAAATAAAGCCGAAAAAGTCGGCGGTAAGAATCGAGCAACCCAAAGCGACAGTCGCTGAGTTGTGCAAACTGCGCTAGCGGAATGGAGGGAACCGGCGAAGATCTGTAACGAGGGCGAAGGAGAGGAAACCGCATCAGGAAGAAGGTAGTCAAACGCTATGTAATATGCCAGCAACTAGAGCCACAAGCGCAACAAGCGCAACAAACGCAACAAGCGCAACAAACGCAACAAGCGCAACAAACGCAACGAGATGGAAACCTGTGTAGTTCTCGAGCTTGATGTGCGCGGCTGCGCGCTTGCAGAGGTATGTATCGGTGGCGCCATTCGCGTCGATCGCCTGCGTGTACAGCTCCACCGCCGCGTCGTAGTCCTCGTCCACAAACTGCGCGTCGCCCTTCGCCGCGAGCTCCGTCGCCGCTTGCGGGCCGCTCGGGAGCTCCTCGATAATCATGGCTTTAACGACGGAGGGTCCTTGGGTGTTTTATAATCGACAACGGGATCGAGGAGGAAGATGGTACGGAATCTACTGGACTGAACGGAAACGCGGAAATAGAATGTGCTGCGAAGAAATACCAGCAGTAGGAAGGAGCGGACAGCTTTGCACTAAAGACAACGATTTATTATGGGAAGCTCAAAATCCTGTTTGGGTCCCTTATCCTTAGCAAGTTTCTATCTATGGTGTTCCTAGTGCTGATAGAAACTCCCTTGATTTTGCGGAGTGATGGACGGAAAGAACATTGAGGGGAAAAAATAAAAGACGTCCTCCACACGTCAACGGCAGTTGCCTTCAGAGCAGGGCTTATTCGTGACGGGTAATTACCCGGATGTTTACCAAATAACGGGTGATTGTTTAAACCAAAATCGGATAGCGACGTGTTCTATTTTCATGAACCCTGATTTGACGGGTACACTTTGACCAGAACACGTGATACTCAAACTTCTCACATTACCCCACAGATCTCCCCGCCATTCCCTCCCCCCAGGGCACATCAGCCCCAGCAAGGAAGTTCAAGAAGTAGAAGTATAAGAGCTGAGCGCAGTACTCGTACGTGGTTCCCTTTGCAGAATCCAGGAACTTTTCGTAAGAGCGTTTGTCTTCACGGAGAAAATCCCGGGACTGAACCCGGACATTGACGAGTAACGTTCCAGATAAACTCGTGTTATCCGGGTCCCTTGAGAGAGATACCCGGATCTGCCGTGTGGACGAAAACCCTAAGGTAAGCCCTGCTTCAGAGTCATTGTGCAGCTGCCGAGTTTTGCGGAATTCTCCACCTCGTCTTTCACAATTAGAAGTTTCGCGATTGGTACAGTGACTGACGCTGAACAAGTACTTGGATAGGTCGATGTAAATTGTCCACGAATATGACGCTTTACGAGGACCTCTCCAACGAGGACACCAAGTCAGGCGGTCATTGATCCCCAGAAAAGTGGGAAGTGGTTACGTGGCTAAAAGATCTCGAGCACTCCGAGCATATTGTGCCTTTCCAGCACAACGACAAACACCATTGGAGGAATCAACCCCCTCTCGATGTCGTCGTGGAATGTATCTGACCACTTTTACGACCAAAAGTGCCTCCAAGCCTCCCAGGCATTCCCCAAGGCCTGGTTCGTGCTTGGCCTGATTGGTTCAGCCTAGAAAACTCCGTTCTGTTCCCCTCTCACGCTTCCTCAGCTGATTGTCAGATGGGAAGAAATCTGAGATTCTGACTGGGAGGGAGCTTAGCTTGAGAAACACAGATCACTGATACTGTAAATTGGAGGCAGGAGGAATCAGAGAGTAACTGGCAGTCCCTGCTGCTCAATTGGTTTCTGATTCCCTGATTTAGCAGGGATCGTCTGCTTGCTCAGGCTTGGATCCAGTCCCTTGCTTAGCCTTGCCAGTCCACCGTCGCAGCTAAAGGTGTCCAGTTTCTTTTCTTTCTTGAGCGACGGATTAGCTCGTGAGGTTAGCAAGAAGAGAAAATGGAGTGCCTACGTGGCACATTAGCGAGCTCCTCGGTGCAACCAGTTGCGCTGCAGGGTCTGCGATCGAGCGTGGATTCCTCCAGGCTCTCTACTCTCGGGCTGTCCAGTCAGCTTCCCAACCCTCTCAGGGCTCATTACGCCTCCTATTCTCGCAGCTTGTTGAATAAGCAGTTTCCTAGTTCTTCAATTGAGACCACCGCGGTTAGAGTCACTGCAGCTGTGGCTGCAGGAAGTAAGGTGAAAGTGCGTTTTAATCTCCCGATTCAGGTGAAATTCGGCGAGAGCATTGCGGTTGTCGGATCTGCCGATTGGCTCGGGTCCTGGTCGGATCCGAAAGCTCTCGATTGGAGCGAAGCCGGCTGGAGCGTTACCCTTGACGCGCCTGCAGGTCAAGAGGTGGAGTTCAAATTTGTGATTGTAAAGAACGGGAAAGCCGCGGTATGGGAGGATGGCCCTAACAGGAAGGTGACTGTTCCGGGGGTTGACCCTCGCGGTAAAGAATTTAACGCCGACGTCGACTGGAATAAAACCACTGCAACTTTGTCATGGGAGGTCACTAAGGAGGATAGCGAGGAATCTTTTAACGGAGCTCCTGTCGGCGACAGCGGGTCTGACAGCGAGGGGGAGCTATCGTCCGCGGAAGACGGGGGGGAGCTGGAGGAGAGCGCGTTTGCGCAGAAGTGGGCGGGGAGGGGCGTGGAGTTTATGCGGAGCAACGCACACAAGAGCGAGCGGCGGGGACGGTGGGACACGACGGGCCTGGACGGACCGGCGAAGAAGCTGGTTGAAGCTGACAAGGGCGCGGGGAACTGGTGGCGGAAGGTACGGATGACACCGACGGTACAGTTGACATTGACGGTACGAACAACAGCGATTATCAGTAACACCGACGGAACGAATTGCACTGACAGTACGTCTAGTCTGTACGATTGACACTGACAGTACGACTGACATTGACGGTGAGATTGACACTGTCGGGCCGAATAATAAAACCGATGTCACGAATGGCACTGCCAGTACGGATAGTTCCGACGGTCTCTTGGCACCAGCTGCACGAATAGCACCGGCGATAACGTACCTCAGGCCCTGGTAGGAATACGGACTCTGAATCGACGTTATTGCTGGAGACGAGAGATCGCGGTGTAGCTGTTGGTGAGAACTCGCTGAACGGACGGACGAGATCTCTCGAACCAGCCACCCGACTCTGGATAAGATGCTACTGCTGGCGACGAGAGATCGGAAGGACTTGATTCCCGCCATAACGTGTCTTTTATCTGGGTCCCTTTCTCATCTCAAACCCCCCTTAAAACCTTCCGTCCTTCTCACCCAGGCCCAATAATTGCCGCCTTTCCGCGTCTGAATTCCCTCCCAAAATCCTCGTTACAGCTCGAGACCGTGGAGCAACTCCTGTTGCCGGTGGAACGGAGTCAGCGCCTCGATGCCATGATCTACGCGTCCATCTACCTGCAGGTATGCCATGATCTACGCGTCCATTTACCTGCAGGTATGCCATGATCTACGCGTCCATCTACCTGCAGGTATGCCATCCGTGAGGCCTAGTTTCATCACCAGGTTATTCAATTTCCTGCCGTCCTTCAGATCTATAAATGCCATTTTCAGCGTCACGTGTCACTCTTCGTTCGAATATGCTCTCCCTCTTCCCTGCTACGCCCTTCAGCGTGTTTGCTCCCTCTCCCCATCTCGCGATTACCAACTGATGAACACGGGTCAGATTCCGCGGGTGGAGGACGGAGGCCACAGGCCAGCCACATGTAGCCAACAAACTTTAACATTCCTTCCTCATCTGCTCCCACCATTCCCTCACCGCCCCGCACGTCCTTCCTTCCTCCTCACCAGTGGATCAACACTGGCCAGATCCCGTGCGTGGAGGACGGCGGCCACAGGCGGCCCAATCGCCACGCGGAGATTTCTCGCCGCATCTTCCGCTGGCTGGAGAAGGAAGGCACCCGCGGCTCCGCGCTCTCCTCTGAGGTGCGTTCTGTTTCGTATCACCCGTCGGGGTTGAAGTAAAATCAAATGACTAGCTGGCTGGAGTGGGAGGGCACCCTCGGCTCCGCGCTCTTGTGTGGGGTGCGTTCTGTTTCGGATCACCCGTCGGGGTTTAGGTATATAGAATGCTTAGCTGGCAGGGGAAGGAGGGCATCAGGGAATCCGCACTCTCGTCTGAGGTGCGTGTTGATTCTTGCCTGCCCCTTCCACTTCTGATTTCACGTGAATAAAAAAGTTCCTGGCAGCGGATGCGCATATTCTCCCACGCCTGGCAGTGGATGCGCATATTCTCCCACGCCTGGCAGTGGATGCGCATCTTCTCCTGCGCCTGCCTGCAATCTCATGTCCTTCTCCATGCCACCCCTTCCCCAACCCTGCCACCCTCCCCTCCCGCTTCCACTCTTTCTCCCTCTCAGGAGATCGTGGTGATGCGCAAGAACCACCCGTTAACAACCCCCCCTTGAACCCCCACCCCCCCTCTCCCCCTCCTCCCTCACAGGAGATCGTGGTGATGCGCAAGATCCATCCGCGCCTGCCTGCATTCTCTGCTGACTTCACGGCGTCTGTGCCGCTCACGCGCATCCGGGACATTGCCCACCGCAACGACATCCCACACAACCTCAAGGTATGGTAGGACAGGGCTGGACTTAGGGTATGAATGTAGCGAAGGGCCAGTACAGGAGGGGGGCTAGGGGAAGGAGCGCCCTCTGCTGACTTAACGGCGTCTGTGCCGCTCACGCGCATCCGGGACATTGCCCACCACAACGACATCCCACACAACCTCAAGGTACGGACGGGCTGGGCTGGATTCTGCACAGATTTTTTAGTCAACTCAAAAGCCAGCTCGGTACGAAGGGACGGGGCTAGAGTTTGCACAGCAATGACATTCCACATGTTGTCACAGTGGGCCAGACATAGAGGTAACTCCCTGAAGATAAGATGGAAAGAGAGGGAAGGGGCACGAGCTGTAGTGCTGTAGTGCTTTCGAGTGCTTCCATCTAACTCCAATGCCCCCGTCCCTTTCTCCCCTCCCCTGCCCCAACAGCAAGAGATCCAGCACACGATTCAGAACAAGCTGCATCACAACGCCGGGCCGGAGGACCTGGTGGCCACGGAGCTGCTGCTAGTGTGGCATTCAAGTCAACCTCAAAACCCCATCCGCTTGTTTTCCTTGTTGTGCCCCCCCCCCCTCCCCCCCCCACTCCTCCAACACGCAGCAAGAAATCAAGCGCACGATTCAGAACAAGCTGCACCTCAATGCCGGGCCCGAGGACCTGGTGGCAACGGAGCTGCTGCTGCTGTAAGGGCCTTAAGGGCCTTCAAGTCAACCCTAAAACCCCGTCCCCTGCCACCCCTCCACTGCTGCAACAGCAAGAGATCAAGCACACGATTCAGAACAAGCTGCACCAAAACGCTGACGCAAAGGACCTCGTGGCAACTGAGGTGCTGCTATCGATTTTGAGTGGACTCACGAACTCCCTCTCCCTCCCCCCCCCCCCCCTTCTCCTACCACCTCCCCCCCACCCCGCTTCCCTCCCCCACAGCAAGAGATCAAGCACACGATTCAGAACAAGCTGCACCGCAACGCCGGGCCAGAGGACCTGGTGGCCACGGAGCTGCTGCTGCGGCGGGTGACACGCACCCCGGGGGAGTACAGCGAGGCGTTCGTGCAGCAGCTGAAGCTGTTCTACGCCGAGCTCAAGGACTTCTTCAACGCCAGCAGGTGAGCTTCAATGCAAGCAGGTGAGCTCAAGGACTTTTTCAACGCCAGCAGGTAAGCTAAAGGGCTTCTTCAATGCTAGCAGGTGAGGGAGGGGAAGAGAGAGAGCGAGAGAGGCTGAGTGAGAGAGAGAGGGGGGAATACAGCGAGGCGTTGGTGCAGCAGCTGAAGCTGTTCTACGCTGAGCTGAAGGACTTCTTGAACGCCAGCAGATGAGTTTATGCAGCAGGTGAGGGGAAGAGAGAGGGGGAGGGAATGAGAGTGAGAGGGAGAGCGGGACAGTACGGAATACAGCGAGGCGTTCACGCAGCAGGTGAGGGGAAGAGAGAGAGAGAGGGGTAGAGGGAGAGAGTGAGTGTGAGAGGACCACTTGAGAGAGTGAGAGCGGGAGAGTGTGAAGTTCAGTGATACGTTCGGTGCAGCAGCTGAAGCTGTGTTATGCTGAGCTCAAAGACTTGTTCAACGCTAGTAGGTGAGGGGAAGGGAGATGGGGAGAGGGGATGAATGTGAGCGAGAGAGAGCGAGTACAGCGAGGCGTTTGTCCAGCAGCTGAAGCTGCTCTATGCTGAGCTCAAAGACTTCTTCAACGCAAGCAGGTGAGCTAAAGGGCTTCTTCAACACAAGCAGGTGGGTTTATCCAGCAGTTGAGGGGAGGCGAGAGAGGAGTGTGGGGAGGGTGAGTGTAGTATGGTGTTCTTGCTGCAGCTGAAGCTGTTCTACGCCGAGTCCAAAGACTTCTTCAACGCCAGCAGGTGCGTGGGGATGTGACAGAATTTGGCGGCAGACTAAAAATCCTACCAGAGCATAGATCCTTATTCCCGATCCCCCTATACCCATACCCCCCTGCATCCCGCCAGCCTGACGGAGCTGCTGGAGAGCATCCGCCCCTCTCTGGACGACACGGGCACTGCCATGCTCGAGAACTTCCTCGCATGCAAGCAGGTAAGGAGGAGGTGGAGTCGATTGAGCTGGCTGTTGAGTCGACTGAGGTGGCAGTTGAGTTGACTCATAGACGGCAGTTGAGTCGACTCATAGACCGTCACTGGACGACATGGGCACTGCCATGCTTGAGAACTTCCTTGCGTGCAAGCAGGTGGGGCTTCTAAGTTTTGGGTTCTGGGTTTCGGGTTCAAGGGGCGCGTCTGCACGACACACACATGCAGGCAGTTAGGGAGTGAGAACTAAGCAGGAAGGAGTCGGAGAACTAAGCTTCTCCCCGCCCCCTCTCTGGACTTCTCCCTTTGGGCTCCCCCCGCTTCCCCCCGCTTCCCTTCTCCCCCCGCTTCCCTTCTCCCCACGCTTCCCTTCTCCCCCCGCTTTCCTTTTCCCCACGCGCCATCCCCCTCCCAGGTCGTTGATGCACTCCTATCCTCCGCACTAGCAATTGATCCAGAGCTTATGGAGGAGCAGGAGGAGCGGGGCTCTCTTTCTCTCCCTTAGCCCCCACGCCCTGCCCTCCTTCTCCCCCACCCCCACCCACCCCCATCCCTCCCCACACCTCTCCTCCCTCTCTTCCCTCCCAGAATGTCGATGCACTGCCATCCTCCGCATTGGGGATTGATCAAAGAGCACATGGGGGAGAAGAAGCAGGCATGGGTTCCCTCTCTTACTCTTGCTTCAGCCCCTGCCTTGCCCACCCTTCTCCCCCAACCCAACCCCACACCCCCCTCCCAGATCGTCGATGCACTCCCATCCCCCGTGCTTGGGATTGATCGAGGAGCATATGGGCGAGCAGGTGTGCAGGTGAAGCAGGCATGGGTTCCCTCTCATACTCTCCCTTCAATCCCCTCCCTTCACCCCCACCCCAAACCCCACCCCAAACTCCACCCCCCCCTCCCAGAATGTCGATGCACTGCCATCCTCCGCGTTGGGGATTGATCAAGGAGCATATGGAGCAGCAGAAGCAGTGTCCCTCTCTTACTCTCCCTTTGCTTCACACCCTGCCCTCCCCCCTACCTTCAACATCTCTGCCCCCTTCCCCCACGCCTTCCCCCTTCCAGAACGTTGATGCACTCCCTTCCTCTGCACTGGGGATTGATCAAGGGGCATATGGGGGAGCAGAAGCAGGAGGAGCGGGGTCCCTCTCTTACTCTCCCTTTGCCCTCACCCTCTGCCCTCCTTCTCCCCCAACCCCACCCACACCTCCCCACACACACCTCTCCTCCCCCTCCGCCCTCCCAGAATGTTGATGCACTGCCATCCTCTGCACTGGGGATTGATCAAGGGGCATATGGGGGAGCAGAAGCAGGGTCTTCTCAGCCGCAATCATTGCAGGGGGCGCCGTCCGGGCGGCCGACTGACGTGCTGATGTCAGCGCTGCACTCGCTGACGGGGCTGCGGGCCGTGCTGCTGTACTCTTTAGAGAGTGGGTTGAGGAACGACGCTCCTGATGACTCGATTGCCATGAGGCAGAAGGTGAGGCTAAAACTGTCTTTTGCGTTGAATCGAATGAAGCAACATAGGGGGGGTAGAAAGTGGGCCGTGCTGCTGTACTCGTTAGAGAGCGGATTGAGGAACACCGCTCCCGATGACTCCATTGCCATGAGGCAGAAGGTGAAGGGCAAAAGGGGGGATTTGAGGCTGATAAATGGGAAAGAGCCCGCTGAGTTGACTCTAGAGTTAGGCCGAACGCAGGCCGTGCTGCTGTACGCGTTAGAGAGTGGGTTGAGGAACGACTTCCCCGATGACTCCATTGCCATGAGGCAGAAGGCGGGGTGAATATGGGCTGCTGTGTTTGAGATCCGTCCCAGGAAGCATTTTGCCAACTTAACTCTCCTTAACCCCCCTTTCCTGCCCCACCCCCTTCTCGCTCCCCCAGTGGCGTTTGTCTGAGATTTGCCTCGAGGAGTACTTCTTCGTGCTGCTCAGCAGGTGAGAACTGGGCACCCGCTTTTCTCCCTCAACGCGCCTTAACCTTGTTGCACATGTGAGGAGAAGTGGGCAGGTGCAGTGCATGCAGCTTCCTCTCCTCTGCATATGACCATGCAATAAACATGAAGGAAAAGCACAGGGGAAGATGAGGCATGGCGTGATCTGAGATGTGTCTTGAGGGGTCGTTATTTTTGCTGCTCAGCAGGTGATATCTAGGCAGGTGATATCTAGGCGCGTGCATTGCGTATCACCTTGTTCGCCCTGCACACAGCCTTCAACGTGAAGGAAATAGCACAGGCTAATCTGACGCGTCTGGTGCCAGACGCATGGTTAACAGAAGAACTCTCCCCCCTTCTGATGCATAGGTTAATCTGACGCGTCTGTTTCGTCTCGAGTACAGACGCATCAGATTAACCTATGCATCAGAAGGGGGGAGGGTACTCCCACAGGTGTACTTTGTTGCGCTCCCCCTTCCTCCTGCCTCCATCTCAGCTGGAGCACTTGGGGTTGGCGCTGAGAGCAGCAGCGCTGGGACAGCGACACCTGGGATCCCTTGGCCATTCTCATCCCATACACATCCTGTTTCGCTGCTCTCTTCCCCCCCTCCGTCCCCCCCCCCCCCCCCCCCCCCCCCCCCCCCTCTTCCCCCGGCCCATTACCCCATCTACTAGGTTCCTGAACGAGCTGTTTGACGAGGAGGGGGGAGACAGGGCAGCGGAGGGGATGGCAGGGGAGATCCGCATGGGGCAGCTGGGGCACGTGGGCGTGGCGCTGGGAGCAGCGGTGCTGGGGCTGCGACACCTGGGGCTGTCAGGGTGGAACCAGGCGGAGTGCTTCTGCCTCGAAAACGAGCTCGCCTCCTGGCAGGCTGCTGGGATCGGCGGGAGCACGGGTAAGAGAGCCTTGAGCCCTAGCCATCCGAGCTCTTAGCAGGGAAGACAGGGAGAGACAGCTGGGGCTATCTGGATGGAACCAGGTGGAGTGCTTCTGCCTCGAGAACGAACTCGCTTCCTGGCAGGCTGCTGGGATCGGAGGGAGCACTGGTGAGCAAGAAATGCTGAACTAGAAGCCCGAGGTGGTAGGATTGCAGGCACATATGCACACCAGGGTGCATGCACGCCTGCATGCACGTATGCATGTACACAACACGCACGCAGGGATGCATGCACACATAATTGCCGATTCACACACACACACACACACACACACACACACACACTTCCCTTTATCACCTCCAGGCATGGCATCGGAGCACGACTTGCGCTGGTGGGCGCTGCGCCTCAAGGCCTCCTTGGAGCGCATGGGTGAAACCGCACACACATGCATGCGCACACATACACACACACATGTACTTCCCCCTCTCTTTCCCACCAGGCGTGGCGTCGGAGCACGACCTGCGCTGGTGGGCGTTGCGCCTCAAGGCCTCCCTGGACCGCATGAGGCGACTCACCGAGGCCTTTACTGAGGCCACGCTCGAGCTCTTCTTCCAGCCTTCGCAGGTACGGTGTGGTGCGGTGTGGTGCGGTGTGGTGCGGTGTGATGCGGTGTGCGGCTGCCCTAGCCGTGTTGGTGTGTGAGTTGTGGGACTAGTTCTGAGGCGCCTCAAAACCAGGCGCGGTGTGGTGTGCTGCTCTAGCCATGATGGTATGTAGCTCAGTCAGACTCATGGGGATTCTGGACCGCATGAGGCGGCTCCCCGAGGCCTTCACCGAGACCACGCTCGAGCTCTTCTTCCAGCCGTCGCAGGTGCGGTGTGGTGCGGTGTGATGCGGTGTGGTGCAGTGTTGTGCTGTGTGGTGCATGGTATGTATGTGGTGTTTCCCCATGCCCCCCTCATCCCGTTCTCACTCCTTCTCGTCCTCTCCTCGTACTCCCCCACACACTCCACCCTTTTCTTAAACTTTCTTTCCTCCCGCTCCGTGCTCCATGTCTCAGAAGCTTGGCCACGCACTCGGAATCGAGGAGAACGCTGTGAGGACGTTTGCAGAGGCAGAGATCCGATCCAGGTGAGTTCCGATCCAGGTGAGATCTGAGTCAGGTGAAATCCATTCCCCACCATTGTGGTTGTTCAATTGGCCACTTCACCTGTCTGCTCCTGCCGGTCTTTGGCCCGATTCCCCCGCTCTCCCCCTCTCTCCTCTCCCCCCCATCCCCCCTCCCAGAAATCTCTCCCCTTCCCCCCCCCAGCTGCGAGTATTGTGTGTCGATTTAAAGATACTCTTCTTCCCCCTCCTTCCCCTAAAACCCTGCTAACCCCCTCCCCTTCATTTGTTACCTGCAATCCCTTCACTTCCCTTCTCCCCTCCCAGTGTGGTGTTTCAGCTGGCCAAGCTGACCTCACTTCTGCTGCGAGTGATGCGGGCTGGGGTGTAAACCCGTTCTACCCTCAACCCCCTCACTCGTTTGGTCCCCCCACCTCCCCCCTCCCCGCACCCCCTCTATCAGCGTGGTGTTCCAGCTGGCCAAGCTCACCTCACTGCTGCTGCGAGTCATGCGGTCCGTGCTGGGGGCCGAGGGATGGGACGTGCTCGTGCCTGGCACGGCTGTGGGGAAGCTGGTGGAGGTGAGTGGATCGGGTAGGGGGCATGTGGTTGCTTGCCTCTCAGGGCCCCAGGCCGAGGGGTGGGGCGAGCTGGTGCTCGGCACTGCTGGTGGTGGTCGTGGTGGTGCCGCTGCTGCTGCTGCTGCTGCTGCTGCTGCTGCTGGTGCATAAGCTTCTCCCTTTTCTTATGCCCTCTTCCCCTCGCACAGTATTCTTCCCTCCTCCCTCACTATTCCCCCCACCCAACCCCCCCCCCCCCTTATCAGGTGGAGCGCATAGACCCTGACCTCCTGGCAACGCTGCAGGGGGAGGAGGGGTTGGTGCTGCTGGTGCAACGCGCAGAGGGGGATGAGGAGGTGAGTGTGTGGGTTTGCTGCAGCTGCCAAGCATAGTATGTGCACGTGGGGCATAGGCAGAGAGCAGGTGTGCCTCTTCTGAGGAGGAGGAGGGGGTGGTGCTGCTGGTGCTACAGGCAGAGGGGGATGAGGAGGTGGGTGTTTCTGCAGTGCTGTAGCCATCAAGCATACTAGTGTATGCATGACGTGGGGCACAGGCAGAGAGCGCTTTTGAGTCGACTCAAAAGCCATCAAGCATGCTAGTGTATGCATGTGGTGCATAGGCTGAGAGCGGATGGATGGGCCTCTTCTAAGGAGGAGAGGGTGCAACAGGCATACGCCGAGGGGCTTGAGGAGGTGGGTTAGGCTCAAACTGAGGCCTCATTCGAATAAATAAGTATTCGATGAAGTAAACTGATCAAAGAACCAACATGTTCTCCCCACTACTTCCCATGTCTATCCCTTGTCCGTGATGGCCAGGTGAAAGCAGCAGGCGCCAATCTGAAAGCTGTTGTGCTGCTGCAGGAGCTGCCGCATCTTTCCCACCTGGCAGTGAGGGCGCGACAGGTACGGGAAACGACGGTTGGCCATAGGGTTTCCTGCCGCCATTGGTTGCCTGCCACTTGCTGCTGCTGCAGGAGCTGCCCCATCTTTCCCACCTGGCAGTCAGGGCGCGACAGGTGAGACGCAATAGAAGCCGATAGTGTCATATCTTAAGGTCACCCAGTCGATAGCACCTAACACAGAATGAGAGGACGACGTGGTGAGATGGGATGCGGCCAGTGAGGTGCGAGGAAGGGAAGTCAGAGATGGATTACAGGTGGGAGGTCCACTCGTTTAGCCCATCACCGAGAAGGGTTTTAGAATTCTCGTTTGGTCCATCACCGAGGAGGGTGCCTTTTTATAGCGAGCGCACACGATGCAGTGTTGCTTATGATGATACATGGGGAGTCTATTTTTGAGGCGCCTAAAAAATAGACTCCCCACTCTATGCAGTGTTGCTTATGATGATACATGGGGAGTCTATTTTTGAGGCGCCTCAAAAATAGGCTCCCCACTCTATGCAGTGTTGCTTATGATACATGGGGAGTCTTATTTTTAGGCGCCTCAAAAATAGACTCCCCACTCTATGCAGTGTTGCTTATGATGATACATGGGGAGTCTATTTTTGAGGCGCCTCAAAAATAGTCTCCCCACTCAATGCAGTGTTGCTTATGATGATACATGGGGAGTCTATTTTTGAGGCGCCTCAAGCAGTGTTGCTTGTGAAGATGCATGGCCACCTTCCCATTACCCCTCCCACAAGACCTCCCATCCCATTTCCCTTCCCGTTAACCCTCCATCATCCCTCCCTCCATCCTCCCTGCCATACATCCATTCATCCTCACAGGAGGGCGTGTTGCTCATGACATGCGAGGATGAGTTTTGAGTCGACTCAAAAGTCATCTCCTCCCTGCCATACATCCATTCATCCTCACAGGAGGGCGTGTTGCTCATGACATGCGAGGATGAGTTTTGAGTCGACTCAAAAGTCATCTCCTCCCTGCCATACATCCATTCATCCTCACAGGAGGGCGTGTTGCTCATGACATGCGAGGATGAGAACCGAGTTGCAGACCTTCGCTCCGCTGTTGGCTCTCGAATCCGGTGAGTGGCCTCCTCTCAATGCGCCTCTTCCCCGAGTATTTCTGTTTTTTATTTCCTTTGTTCTGATGATAAACTGTTGTATAATGAGACGATTCTTGAGGTGCCTCAAAAAATCGTCTTTTTTTTTCCTTTGTTCTGATGATTAACTGTTGTATAACTTATGATTGCTACCCTTTCACCCTCTGTCTGTATTGGTTGTCTTGAGGCGGTGTGGAGGGAGTGAAGGTCACAACCCCTCGTTCCACTCTTCCTCCTCTTCCTCCTCGTCCTCCCCCTATGACTCGTTACTTTCTGCACTCTACTCTGCTTGCCGCCCCTCCCCCCCTACCTCTGTATTGCCAGACTTGAGGCAGGTTTGGAGGGAGTGAAGGTCACAACCGGCTCTGCTGTCGACCAGCACCCCTCGTCCCACTCTTCCTCCTCTTCATCCTCGTCCTCACCCTCTGACTCGTTACTTTCTGCACTCTACTCTGCTTGCCGCCCCTCCCCCTTTACCTCTGTATTGCCAGTCTAGAGGCCGGTGTGGAGGGAGTGAAGGTCACAACCGGCTCTGCTGCTGTGGACCAGCACCCCTCTTCCTCCTCCGCTTCCAAGGCTGCTACCACCAGCGGCAGTAGCAGCAGCAGCAGCAGTGGGAAGAGTGAGGACGAGGTTTGGCTGCAGGCGCTGAAACCTCAACCTGTGAGTATTGTTGGTTTCTGGGTGGTCATTGAAGCCAAGGAGAACATTTTTTAGGCGTCTATTTTTTAGGCGCCTCAAAAATAATACCTCAACCAGGGTTTAGGGTTATTGGTTTCCTGGTGGTCATTGAAGCCAAGGAGAATGTTGACCACAAGTCACAGTCACGTCTCTTCGCCTGCCTCTACCCCTACCCACTGCTGCAGGACGTGATGACTTTTGAGTCGACCCAAAAGCCTGCCCCTGTGATAACCCCGAACCCCTTGGTGCAGGACCCACGGCTGCCGGTGCAGCTGCTGCACGAGAGGCAGCTGGCCATGTGTGGGGTTTGGAGTTGCTGAAGCAGGGAGATACCACGTGCACTCAACCCTGTCCTGCCCCCTTCCCTGTCCTGCCCCTTCCCTGCCTGATTTCCCTCAGATCCGCGTGCAGGAGGCTCGGCTGCCGGTGCTGCCCGTGCACGAGGCCCAGCTGGCCATGTGTGAACCTAGACTCACTGAACGAGTATAGCACCATATTCTTAAACCCGGAACCCTGACTTCTACCCGCTGCCTGTTGTCCCTCAGATCCGCGTGCAGGAGGCTCGGCTGCCCGTGCTGCCACTCCACGAAGCCCAGCTGGCCACGTGTGGGGCCAAGGCGCATGCCTGCGCCAAGCTGGAGGGGCTCTCAGTCGCCTCCACATTCGCAGGTGAGGGGTCCTCTCGTGTCTCTGCCATTCCTTAGTGGGGACCACATGGGCCCACGTGTGGGGCCAAGGCGCATGCCTGCGCCAAGCTGGAGGGGCTCTCAGTCGCCTCCACATTCGCAGGTGAGGGGTCCTCTCGTGTCTCTGCCATTCCTTAGTGGGGACCACATGGGCCCACGTGTGGGGCCAAGGCGCATGCCTGCGCCAAGCTGGAGGAGCTCTCAGTTGCCTCCACATTCGCAGGTGAGGGGGTCTCTCGTGTCTCTGCCATTCCTTAGTGGGGACCACATGGGGCCACGTGTGGGGCCAAGGCGCATGCCTGCGCCAAGCTGGAGAAGCTCTCAGTTGCCTCCACATTCGCAGGTGAGGGGGTCTCTCGTGTCTCTGCCATTCCTTAGTGGGGACCTCATGGGGCCACGTGTGGGGCCAAGGCGTATGCCTGCGCCAAGCTGGAGAAGCTGTCAGTCGCATCTACATTCGCAGGTGAGGGGCTCCCCAGCGTTTGTCTGCCTGCGTTGCTGTCTCTGTCAGGTGGGTGTTCTTGTAGCCATTAAGCGTTAGGGTGAAGCCACCCTACTGCGTTGCTGTCTCTGTCAGGTGGGTGTTCGCACTGCATATAGTAAGAGCTCGCTTCCAACAGCTGCCCGCTCTTCCACCGCCTCCCATCCTTATCCCGCCCATGTGCTTACGACCCCCCCTCTCTCTCCCGTATTCCTCTTCAGGTGCAGACTTTTCCGGGCCGCGTTCAGCCATGATCGCATTCCGATTCATGGACGAGGCCATCACCGCCTCCCCTTTGCCTTGATTCTTCTCCCCTTTGCCTCTCGCTCTCCTCTTATCAGGTGCTGACTTCCTCGTGCCCGCTCAGCTGTCATAACATCCGGATTCGTGGACGAGGCCATCACCGCTTCCAACCCCCCCCCCCACACACACCCTTCGGTGTGCTTGTTTGCAATCTTCCCACTCACTCCCTCCTTCCAGGTGCTGACTTCTCCGTGCCCCGCTCAGCTGTGATCACCTTCGGAGTCATGGACGAGGCCATCACCACTTCCAACTGCCACCCGCTGTTGCACCACCTCCCATCCTTATCCCAACCATGTGCTCACGAGCCCCCCTCTTCTTCCCCTCTTCCCTTCCAGGTGCTGACTTTTCTGTGCCCCGCTCAGCAGTCATCACCTTCGGCGTCATGGACGAGGCCATCACCGCCTCCAACCGCCGCACGCTCTTCCACCGCCTCGTCGCCTCCCTCGACGACCAGAACCTTCACGGAAACTCCCTCGACGAGGCCTGCACCCAGATCCGCACGCTTCTAGAGGAGTCCCCCCTCCCCCCGGCCTTCTTCCGAACCCTCTCCTACATTTTCCCTGCAAATGCTCGGCTGATCGTTCGCTCGAGTGCGAATGTGGAGGATCTAGCTGGGATGTCCGGGGCTGGCTTATATGACTCCATTCCGGATGTGACTCTTTCCGACCCTGCTACGTTCGGCCGAGCCGTAGCCTCAGTGTGGGCGTCACTGTTCACGAGGCGCGCGGTGCTCAGCCGGCGGGCGGCGGGGGTGCGTCAGAGCGACGCGGCTATGGCGGTGCTGGTGCAGGAGTTAATCTCCCCGCCAGATCTAAGCTTTGTGCTGCATACTAAGGGAATTGGTGCTGGCGCTGGTGGTGCTCTGGTGGTTCCTAGCCCACGAATCAGCAGCGGCAAGAGCAGTGGCGGCGGCAGCAGCAACGGCAATGGAGCATCAGCATCCGCATCTGTAGCGGCTGTCGCTCCTGGTTCTCCCGCCCCTGCGGATTTCCTCTCAGCTGAGGTGGCACCAGGATTAGGCGAGACTCTGGCTTCCGGCACACGTGGCACCGCGTGGCGCTTTGCTGTCGGGAAATCCGATAGCTCGGTTCGAATCCTGGCGTTTGCGAATTTCAGCGAGAAGATCATTATGGCGCCTGCTGCTGCAGGAGTTTCGGCAGGAAGAAATGCAGGTGCCACATCAGGAGGAGGGGGAGGAGCAGCAGTGGCAGCGGCAGGTGGTGGGGTTGTGATGCAGGCGGTGGATTATAGTGGTCAGCTGCTGTCTACGTCACCTGACGCCCAGGTGGTGCTTGCGAAGAAGCTTGCTGCTGTTGGGTCGTTTTTGGAGGACCGGTTTGGTACGCCTCAGGATATTGAGGGGTGCGTTGTGGGGGACAAGATCTTTGTGGTGCAGTCACGGCCTCAGCCGTAGGAGGGGAACAGCTCCTGCGGATGTGGATTTCCCAATTGATCATTACGTTGGATTGTACTATTTCATTAGGCCTAACATTCTCAGGTGGGTAGTAGTCGAGTTGTAGAGTAGGCATGCAGGGTTGTGGAAGGTATATGTGGTTGAATTGAGCTTAGGTTCTAATTCTTCCTTTTATTTTACCGCAACCGCTTGTATTGTAGGCTGGTGATTTGTGGCTTCGGAGAATCCACGCGCGTGATCCTCTCGACCAATCGGAGGCCGGACGCATCCAAGTGGACTTCCACACCGCATCTCGCGTCACGCAAACGACTCGCTCCCATGATTCTGGAGAAACCAGCCACACCACCAAAAAACTGTTCTCAATGTAGTAACGGATCGGTTCAATTCGACGGTGAAGCGGTGCCCTAGAGAAAAGTGTTACGCCGAACCCAAGTATGATCGAACCACATATTTACTCTTCGAAAACACACGAAAGCGTTCTCAACCGCTCGGAAAGCTCAAACTCGAGGCAATCCAAGCCCTCAGTAGCATGTCTCATGCAGATTACTAAGCAAATCGGTTAACTCAAACCAAGAACCAACTTCTAGAGAAGAACAGCACAAGCTAGAGAGGGTAAGGCTCAGGCTGAGGTGTCTGCTCCGTGAGGGTGACAGAGGGAGAGGAGAGCCGAGGCGAGATGGCGTCTGCTGCATTGCAGGGCTGCGCGCGGTCACTAGTCGTCGAGGTGAGAATTTGTCGCGTCCGGTAGTCGCGGCGACTATTGAATCGACTCAATAGTCACCTCAGCGCGGTCGCTAGTCGTCGAGGTGAGAATCAGTCGCTTTCGGTAGTCGCTCGGGGATTCAATTAGTGGGCGGAAGTCATTCTCGCGAAGGAGACTGCGACAATTGCAGAAGCTACTCTCTCTGCAGCTCCTGTGGGGGCTCTAGAATGTGCGTGGCCCGTGGATAATCGTTCTGGCGGTAGGTGTATTTTTAGAATTCTCGTAATACACCTATAGGGAGGCTGCGACAACTGCAGTTGCCTTCCCTGCAGCTCCTGGGGGGGGGCCTAGTATGTCCGTGGACCGTTCATAATTGTTATCACGAGACCTGTCGCGAAGCAGTGGCAGAACAAAGGCAAAAAACTGGCATTTCTGGCAGCTTAGGGAACAGGGTGAGATGCTTTTGAGTTGACTCAAAGGCGTCCGATGAGCAGCCTAGGGAACAGGATGAGATGTGGTGTTTGTGTAACGGACGGCTTGCAATGCTAGCGGTCGAGCGCCGTACCGCCCAAGAATTCCACTTCTCGCGTGAAATTCTTAGCGTGGAATTCCGCGTGAGAGATTTTGAGCTTTCTCAAAAGTTTTCTCATGTAATTCTTAGCGTGGAATTCCAATTCTCTTATGAGCCCTGGCTCCTGCTTATCTTCCGGTTCTTAGAGTGAAATTCCAGTTCCGCGACGATAAGCATTCTGAAATTCCAGTTCTCTTATGAGCAGTGGCTCCTGCTTATCTTCCGGTTGGCCTTGGCAGGCGGCCCATGTCGTCGCGGCCTCCTCCTCCCCGTCTGCTCGCTCTGCCTCCTCCGCTCGCGCGTCGTTTCCCGCATCCCCACCGATCACATATGCAGCTCGCTCAGCAGCAGTGGGATCGGCAGCAGTGCGAACAGCAGCCGCACGCTTCGGCGGCCCCAAGTCTACGAGGACGCTGCGTACAAACGGCAGCCGAATTCAATGCACTCGTAAGCGAACATTTACGAGCCATCCGTTACCAACTCCTTTCCATCGAGCATGTTTATCCAGCTGAAGGGTCGTGCTTTTGAGGAATTCTCAAAAACTATCTCACAAAGCCGTCCGCTTTCTTTCAAATCGGACCGTCCGTATCTGATGCATCCGCTGCTCCTGATTAGTCATGTCATTTTCCGACTTTCGTATTCCCCTTCCTAACCCTCCTCCTCCCCTCCACCACCCATCAGTGACACCCGCTATAGTCACATCTGCCACGTCGACCGCTGCAGCCGCGGCGATGGCTGCGGGGGGGAGCTCCGCTGTGACTATAGCGAGCAGCTGGTTCACTCTCTGCACAGCTGCCGTCATCCCCCTTTACACGCTCATGATCTTCGCGCCAGACTGGCACGTGGTACGTGGCTTACATAGGTGGCCTACGTGCGTTACATTGTGTGCGATTGCTGCTGTTAGTGCGTTCGAGCAGGACTGGCATGCGGTACGTGCCTGTGACATCTTTTTAGGCGCCTCAAAAGCATGTGGTACGTGCCTGCTGTTATTCGGTTGATGTGTATGTCGAAACACTCTGTTTCTCGCTGTCCCCTCGTCGCCCGCCCTCTTTTTCGCAGACGGTGCGTTTATTCCCTCCGTTCGTTAAGCCTCAGGTTGCTGTACGCGTTATCAGCCTGTCCTCGCTATCCATTGCCCCGTTACAGACTGAGAAGATCATGAGCAGCTCGCTTCCGAGCATTCTCCTGGGCTTCGTGTATCTGTATCTCCTTTACAAGTCTTGGACGCCCAACACGCTGCTCTACATGTTCTCCTCCAAATACTGGCTGCCCGAGGTGCGTCTATGCGCACTTGCGTCTGTGCGTCGGTGCGTCCTTGCGTCTTGGAATGTGCGGGCCTTCTCAAATCTCAAGTCTTGGACGCCCCACACGCTGCTCTACATGTTCTCCTCCAAATACTGGCTGCCCGAGGTGCGTCCTTGCGTCTATGCGCACTTGCGTCTGTGCGTTGGTGCGGCCTCATCCACACATGGCCGTGGCCTGAGCAGCTCGCTCCCGCACACTCTACCCCGTGCCAGCAATCCGCCTTTTGAGTCGCCTCCAAAGCTGTCTGCCCAGCGCCAGGTCCCCTCTCTGCAAATGCCGCACATCCTGTCTCTCTCTCCCCAGCTTCCCCCCCCACCCCCAACCCTCCCATCTATCAGCCAGCGAGCAGCACTCAAATGTTCGCAACCTCGCTCACAGTCGCTTCTGTTTGAATCCACCCACCCCTTTCTTCCCGTTCCTTCTTTTAGTTCCCCTTCCCCCCCCCCCGTTCCCCCTCTTCCCCCCTCTTCCCCCCTCTTCCCCCCTCTTCCCCCCACCCCTCCCATCTATCCGCTAGCGGGGCCGCACTCACGTGTTCGCCTGGACGCTCCCAATCGGTTCAGCTGCGTTTCCCTCTTTTTGAGGCGCCTCAAAAATAGACTAGCTTTTCCCCTTCCTTCCCTTGATCCACCTCCCCCCCCCCCCCGTTCGTGAGGAGTCTATTTTTGAGGCGCCTCAAAAATATTTTCCCCTTCCTTCCCTTGATTCACCTCCCTCCCCCCCCCAGTTCCTCTCCTCTCTCCGTCCCCCTTCCTCCCCCACCACTCCTCAGCTAGCGGACATCACTCCGATGTTCGCCAGCACGCTCACTGTCGCCTCTGCATGATACCTCCCACCCCTTTCCCCTTCCTTCCCTTGATTTACCCCCCCTCCCCCAACCCCGCCCAATCCCCCCTCCTCCCCCACCACTTATCAGCTAGCGGGCATCACTCAGATTTTCGCCAGCACGCTCACAGTCGCCTCTGCGTGGATCCACCCACCCCCTGTTCCCTTCCTTCCCTTACTCCCCTCCCCCCACCCCTTTTTGTCGTCCTCCTCCCCCACCCCACCCCACCCCACCCCACCCCACCTCACACCCTCCCATCCACCAGCTAGCAGGCATCACTCAGATGTTCGCCAGCACGCTCACAGTCGCCTCTGCGTGGATCCACCTGCTGGCCGTTGACCTCTTTGCAGCCAGGTGAGCTGCCAGGTGAACGGTCAGGTGAGCGGGTAGGTGGACGGGCAGGTGAGCGGTCAGGTGGATGGGCAGGTGAGCGGTCAGGTGGACGGTCAGGTGGGCAGTTAGGTGAACAGTCAGTTGAGCGATTTACTTGAAGCAGAAGGTAGAGAAGCGACACTCTTTCGTGCTCTCGTTTCCCGCCCCCTTTTTCTCCCCCCATAGGCTCATGTACTTGGACAGCTAGAACCGAGTCTTGGTTACCCAACCCACTGCTCCCCACCCCCACTCCCACAGGCACGTGTATCTCGACGGCTTGAAGCAGAAGCTGGAGACGCGGCACTCTCTCGTGCTCTGCCTCATGTTTGGCCCGCTGGGCATCGCTGCCCACTCACTTACAAAGACCATTGCTCAGGTGAGCTCCGCACTAGAGCCGCGTCAAACTCTCTATATGGTCCCCTTGATGCCTCACCTGAACTTTCTTTCCATCCAAGCATTGCACCACCACAAGGATCAAGTGTTTTAATTGTGTTCCTGGGTGAGTTGGCTCTTATTTTGCAGATATTCCGCCGCTCAAGGAGAAGTCACAATGCATCGAGAGCTGTACAGGATATTCCCTCACCTCCATAGGTCCATTGAGCGTACATGATCCCTAAAAGTAGATTAAGTGTTCATTCTCAGCTTGCACAACATTACGTGTACCATTACTAAGGAAGCTACCAAGTGGTGGACTAATTATCCCTTGACGTGCTATCTTCAACGCAACCTGTGCTGATAGGTGGAAGAAAGAATGTCGACTTCAAATTGAGCCGCAATTAACGAATAACCTATCTGACGCAATTAACCCGTAACACTCACTTACATTATTATTATGTATAAAGTTATGGCCTGTATTATATAACCAGTACACATAGGCTGTAGAAAGATTCACAATTGCTGACATGCTTATTATAACGCAATCTGTACCTCTCATTATCCTCATTATTGAGCAATATTGCTGTTTGTCCATCCTGTGGCTAGAGGGCCCCACGAGCAACAACATGCGACTAAATGCGGCTCGAAAGGAATGCCGAGTTTGGCAGTGGCTGAATGTGGCAAGCAACCCTGCCACCCATGGTTGTCCAGCTAAGCACAATCTGCCCATTCACTTATCAAGCCACGAAATCTTGGCCCCATGCTTCTGCGGGATACGGATAGACGCGTAGACAGGTCAGCACTGACGGGTTACCCTATACTGGAACCGAGTCGCGATAAATTTGAGGCTCAAGAGACATGTGGGCCGAGGCACATCGCCCACATGCTCCCATGCGGAATCCTCATGGGAATTGGAGGTCCTAGGCGAGAATTAGAGCGCTGCCGAATCGCCCCAATCGCCCCGTCAAATTTCCCCAATCGCTTATCCAGGGGGAAAACCCGTGTGACTTTTCACTACCCCATTGCTCCTACTTCTACTCGATGTTGCTTCAACTGTCTTCACTTCACTAGGTAAACCTGTCTCTACCGCTCGCACAACTCACTGCCTCTGCTACGCACCTCGCGTTGCTCCTCCACTCCACTAGCACTCGCAGATAACAACAATTCCAACGGAAATACGTGGCGCCGACTCGCCTCGGAGGAACCATCCGCCACACATCCGCCACTATTCAAAAACCCCTCCGAGCGAACAACGTCATGGGGTTCATTCTTCGAGCAATCGCGATTCTCTTTATCCTCGGATCAATCTCCGCAACCACCGTATCCGCCGCTGAGCCGTACCTTGTAACCAAAGCCAAGCTGCTGCGCGCTGCCGCCGCCGCCGCAAAATCTGATCTCGACGCGGCGCAAGCCGTTCTCGATCAGCGGCTCGCGGACGAGGCGGTCGTCGCGAAAAAATCGGCGGATGCCGACGCGGACGCCGCCGCCGCCGCGACGGATCTCAACAGCAAGCGCGCGGAGCTCGAGGCGGCGAAAGCTGGGCAGGAAACGGCGCGTCAGGCGCTGATTCAAGCCAAGCAGACGTCCCGCGACGAGCGCGCGTACTACGACGATCTCGAGTCGCAGGCAGAAGAGGCGATTTTTGAGGAGAGCGAAGCCGCTAAGGACGTCGCAGACGCCATTTCCCGCCAAAACACGACCGCGGTCGTGTTCGGCGAACAGCAGAAGATATCGCAGGAGGCTTACACCGAGGCGGTCAGCGCGGCGCGCGCGGCGGCGCGGCTCCAGACGCCGGAGGCGAAGACGTATCAGACGGAGGCGTACAACATCAAGCTCCAAGCCGATCGGATCCTCGGCGCGGTGAAGAAGCAGGCGGACCGCGCCGTGGCGCGCGTCTCGGAGCGGCAAACGGAACAAGGAAACCGCGGCAAGGACAAGATTGATACTCGCGGTGCGTCCGACGAGCAGAAGAAGGTGAAGGAGAAGGCGGAGAAGGACGAGGCGGACTCGGGCGTCTTTTTCAGCTCCGCGGTCGCCAAAACGAAAAACGCGGATACCGCGGTGAAGGTTCAGGGGCAGATTTACACCGCGAAGGTCAAGGCGCAGCAAGCCGCGAAGGCCGCTCTGGCGCCGAAAATCCAGGCGCGCGTGCAGCAGGAGCGGCTGGTCGCGGTGCGGAAGACTAAGTATGATGGGACCAAGGCAAACGCTGATAACGCCGAAAAGGATGCTGTTTCCCGCGGTCACAAGCTAGACTAGTCCTAACCTGGTTGCTGTTAGCGTTCAACCCCCGGTTCAATGGGCCGTTGAGCGCCATTCGCAAAGCTAGTTCGCCCTCTCTCCGGTCTGCGGTCATTGCTGGTTCATTTTGGTCCTCCTCCTGAAGCGACGCTCTCTCAGCGCGAGGCTCGGGAGATGAAAGCCATTTCGTCGAGCTCCTAGAACGAAGGCTTTCCAATAACGAGGATAATCATGTGGTTGGGTGATGGGAAAGGGTTGGATATGAGATTCCATGTTTCCAAAATCAATAGCATGTGGGCTAATGCCTTGGGGTTTTGGTGAATGCATTTGTTTGATTCTGTATCTTGCTTACATCAATTCTGTTACGAGACTCACCTGTCAGCAGGGCCAACTTTGCCGCAGCATAATGGTATGAACAGAGCTATTCAGCAGCCTTAGCTGGTGCCTTGCATCAGTGTACAATTCTCCATCCGACCACCAGCTTGCATTTTAGTACTAGGTGACTACAGTACCTGTGACATTCAATGACTAGTGTCTCCATCCAGCACAGCTTCCCTTGCCGCTGAACTTCAAATCCCCCCCCCCCCCTGAAGTCCATGGATAGAGGGAACATGCAATGCAAGTAGCTAGAGATTTGCAGGCAGAATCATAGGTAGAAGTGCAACCTCACTTCCATGTGGGTGTGGGTGGGGGAGGGAGGATGGCGCACATGCTCCATTAGTGCAATCAAAAGTCTACTGTTCTTCCGGCTGGCTGTCATCTGTGGAAAAAAAATGGATGGACGGTGCCACGGATAATCGGAGAAAATATTTGCACTAATGATTGACGTACATGAAATCTTGGTAGCATTAGAAGGATCCATACATAGACTTATGTTGGAGCGTATTTGCATGGTTGCTGGAGCTTGTACGCGTTGTGAACTGGTCTGTCATTTGTTTCGCGCTTCGTGGCCAACACGCGAGCCCGCCGTAGCATTTTGCGCGGTTCGTCAAGCATGGATTGCAACCACCCCCACCAGCTGCCACCGTGCTGCCACAGGCGCTTAGAGGAGACAGTTGGCTCGGGCCCAGCACTAGCCCGTAAAACACTACAGTGAATCATTCCCATTCTTCTCGGGGCAGCAATGTTCACGGGCGAGAAAAAAATCGTCTCCCACCCTTCACGAGTGTCATTCCTTCGTGTCATAGTCACCCCCCAAAGTTTTGATCCAGGGCAAGAAATGAACCTCAGGCCTTCCAGCTCACACCGAGTCGACACATGACTCGAGGTCGCAACCAGCCCGCACACTCAGTCCCCCCTTCACCATTCTCACTCCCCACCACCAAATTCTGCCTTGTTGCAGAGAGGAAACGCGCCTCGCCACTGGCGATCCGAATGTCGACATTCTGCTCAAATGGCCAATTCCGTCACAGCCAACTCACACTGATTCCATCTCCATTCGCCCTACTTTCTCTCCCTCCAGTTTCCCTTCAGTTTGCACGAGCCCAATCATGGCACGAGCAGCATTTCACCAGGCACAGGCACAGGTAGTCGTAGGCCTTCTCATCCTAGTAGTACTCGCTACGACCCTGCCGTCGTCTCATGCCCAGAGCTCGTATCTCGTCATCCGAGCCAAGCAGCTCCGAACCGCCGCCGACTCGTACACGGCCGATCTCAAGGCCGCGCAAGCCGCCGCTGAGAAACGCGCCCAGGAAGAAGCAGATGCCGCCTCCGCGGTCGCCGCTATCGAGAACGACAATACCGCGGATAATCTCCGCGCCATGCTGGATGATATGAAGTCCGCCATGGACGCCGCGAAATACGATCTCGACGACGCGACCAAGATGCTTTCTCTCCGCAAGCAGATCTACGTCCAAGCTCAGGCCGATCCGTCCTCCCATCCCGAGCTCCCCGCCGCCGCGAAAGCCGTCAGCGACGCGTCGCGTCGAGTGAAGTTGACTGCGGCGCTTCTCGACGAATGGCACAACGTGGTCTCCGACGCCGCGGCGGCGATTAAGGAGGCCTTGCAAGCGTACAACCAGGACCCCACGCCGATAAATAAGGCGGCAGTTGCGGAGGCAGAGACCGTTAAATCTTCCGTCGAAGAGGTGCTTCCGGATATTCAGGCCCAGGCGGACCGCGCAAAGGCGAAGCTGGCCCGTGCGCAGGAGAGCTACAGCAAGCTCATGATCCTGGGGCCTCAGAGCGTGGATGTTTTCAAGACGGCCGTTGACGACGCGAAGGCGGACGTCGCACTGGCGCAGAATGCGTACGACGGCGCCACGGCGACGTATGGCGACGCCGTTGCGGCGCTGGACGAGTTTATGATGAAGCAGGTCAAGGCGCTGGCGACGGCCAAGGCGACGCTGGCGACGGCGAAGGCGAACCGCGCCGTGGCGGATAGGCGCGTGGCGCAGCTGGCGGATCGCGCGAAGGTGGGGGTTGCGCGCGCCGCGGAGGCGGAAAAGGCGGTGCTGGATGCGGGGCTCAAGCTGTGAGGAACGAAATTGCAGGAAAAAAAAAAGGCGATTTGGGCTGAAAATAAGAGACTTGCAGGGCGAGTGGTGGCGGGTTCCGCGACTGAGAGTGGAAGCGAGTTTCCGTTCTCAAATGCAAATAAAAGGCGTTGAATTGAATGCCTCGCCCAGCCCCCGCGCCTGCTCCTGGCATGGTGATGAGTTGTTGAATGGCTGTTGATTATTCCTGAATGGTTCAGTAATACATTTGGCCCTCATGTATTTTCTGTCTAAGTCCGTGTCCCCATGTCCCACGTGCGCAGATAATTGAGCTTGCCGATGTTTCATAATCCCATTCTACATGTCTATTACAATGGCGAGATCTTCCCTTGTCCTCCCACTCTCTTTCCCTTCTTCTTGTGAGGCGACAAGAGATATGAAATTACCAAGCTCCAAGCACATTTCCACATCCAGCCTCATATATTGGGAAAATTTGCATGCAGAATGATACATGTGTTGATACAGTATTGGTGTAAAGCGAGTATACTTCAAGACAGAGTTATCACTACTTCAATAACATGCACAAGCACAATAAGCAGTATGCTCAATTTCCTCATGTAAAGCACATTGGAGTTGTGTTGAAAAGGGCTTGATGAACTATATAATACCACTTTCGCCGTGCGTGCAATGCCATCTACACGAAACATGGATTTGAAGCGAGCACTTTCAGGGCTAGTTCGTTATGGCAACCAAAGGCGCAAACAGCCCAACACCACACAAGATACGTGTGGCGGTGGGTTGTGTTCAGTTCAGTTCATGGCCTGGGCAGGAAGGGCATGTGTTCTGTACAGTCCAATGACATTGGTGGCATGGCATTGGTGGCATGGCATTGGCGGCATGGTTGGATGGCAGGGGTTGTATGGCTCGATGAGGCAGTCGGGTCGGGACTCGGGAGGACTCGGAACTGCCAACGGATCGCCCAGTTGTGACCCGAATCCAGCTTGTGCCATTGGTACAAATACAGAACAGTAACTAATGTTGGCGTTGGGGCTAGTTCGGTCAGTAATTTCTCTGACCTCTTGACAAGAACACGAGGGAATGACTTCATAAGCCAGTCTTGGGACTAGAAGTGGTAGATGGACATGGAAGCATCCGAAAATCTCAAGGCGGGAGCGTAACAGACACTTATGACATCAAAGAAATGTCAGGCTAGGAGAATTGGATTTTTGTTAGGGAGGAAAATTTACTTACACCCCTGTTTGTCATTATTCATAGTCTTCCACACCCAAAACATAAATAGGAGAGCCGCGAACTGGACTTGACCACCATCAACTGCCTGCCAAGCTGTCTGGTCATCATCATGGATGATGGACCGATGACCATGGCAAAAGTAAATTGGTCAGTGGGTGGTTGGTTTGTTGTTGCCCAGCGGTAACCCCTCACCACATCAGGGCATGTCCAGAGTGGGATGTCGACAAAAGTCGAGGGATGTCGTCCATCGATTCTGTTTATCAACGTCAGTAGACATCCCACTCTGGACACGCTCAGGGACATGTTGACAAGGTGTTGCGTGCTTGAGCTGGTTTGTCGCGCACACATGTCGCACGCTTTCGCACATGGAAAAGGTTTGGCTGAAAATCAGCTAGCAACAAGGCTGCTGTAGAATTTGGCAGAGGGAGTACAAGAAAGCGCGGTTGCCTTCGGTGGACTCCGTCCCAGAGCGGTTAGGAACAAGCAGGAAGGGAAGAATCGCATCCCCTCGCTTCGCTTACCTCCAAGTCCACATGTTCTTTTGAGCTTGGCCTTTCCACCGATAGGGAAGGTAGAACCATGAGCGAACCTCAAGCCACCCGCCGCCATGGATTGTTCAATTTCCAAGTGTCCTTAGCTTGTTCAATTTACTGCTGCACCAGCCCCCACCAGGGCTCTAGTCTCGACTCAATGTCCTGGCCAGGGGTCGTCCCCCCACTCCCTCCCCCCCACACCACACTCCACCCCATAGGCCGACATGATATTCGAGATTGTGAAACCTAGGCGACCATCGGCCTTTGTGATCGGTTCAGTCAGAGACGACATGCGATGTGAGGGAGAATCGCTCGGATCCATATCATAGATTCCAGCGGCATTCATTGGCTTGGCGACGCGCCGACGAATCGCTATTTCCAGACGGGTCCTTTTTTGTGTACTGTATCACGGTCTGAAGAATCGCTAGTATGTTCCGAGGTGACCTTTGGGTCGACTAAAAAATTCCACAAGTCGTTTCTGGACGAGGAAACGGAGGCTGTCAACTTGTCACTGCCTGAAGACGCCGTCGTGAGCTGGTTTCTGAGAATTCTTTCAAAGCAGAAGTTGTTGTGAGGAGATAAATCGCCGGTTCATTCACTCAACCACTCTTCGAACGGCCCTCGAACCCCTCCGAGTCGCCTCCATCGGACTCGTATTACATGTACTGTTCCTATTAAGTACTAGAGGTACTTAGAGCTGGTCGGGAGAGAGTTCTTCTCGGTTAGTAGGTGCAGGCAGGAAGGCGCACCGTGCGTCCATAGTAATGTATGATGTAATGGTCTTCTAAGCTCAATTTCGAAGCTTTCCGTAGTAAGCTCACCGGAAGAGTAGATTGACCGTTGGCGAATTTCTCCGCTACTTCTGGTGTCTTCTGGATCCGCCGATTTATCATTATGAAGAGTTCCGGGTTCCATCGTCACAATCACCACGTTTTCTGTCACAGTCATTGTCACAGGCATCGTTACAGTCATCGTTACAGTCATCGTTATGATCTCGCATCTGCGATCCGGCTCTTTCTCCCCGCGGCGCTCCTGCTTTCCGCCCTCCCCGCGATGTGCGGCGTGAATAGCGCCAATCGTCCTCGGATCGACCGCGCGAGATTCTCACGAGGAGGGAATGGCGGCGCGGAGCCGGTAACTTCTCTCAATAATGGCGGCGCGGAGCCAGTAGCTTGGGTTAATAATGGCCGTGCGGAGCCGGCATTGGTACCGGTACTAGTAGCACCTTCCTCTGAGTCGACTACTCCAGAGTCGACTAAAAAACAGACTCCTGCGGCTCGCCTCGGAGCCAGTGCTAGTGGCAGCTCGAGGCGGGAAGCTCTCCGATTGGCTCCACGGCTGGCGGCCACGTGGCGAACTCCCGTTGGCGTTCACCGCGTCAGGTGCATGTTAGAGGGCGAGGGGATTGGGGGACTGACGACGAAAAGGGGGGTTTGGGGGGATGGTGGGGGGTGGGGGGGGAAAGGAGGGGGGAGGGGGAGGGAGAGGGGGAAGGAGGGGGGAGGGGGAGTGAGAGGGGGAAGGAGGGGGGAGGGGGAGTGAGAGGGGGAAGGAGGGGGGAGGGGGAGGGAGAGGGGGAAGGAGGGGGGAGGGGGAGGGAGAGGGGGAAGGAGGGGGGAGGGGGAGGGAGAGGGGGAAGGAGGGTGGGGGGTAAAGGGGAGGAAGAAAAGGGGATGCATGCGGAGGTAGGAAGGAGTGAGGGAATCAGGAACAGGGGATATTGAAAGAAGAAGAAGAAGAAGAAGAAGAAGAGGAGGAAGGAACGGGAGAGGAGGAGGGATGGCAGAGGGTAAGGAGGAGAAGAGGAGAAGAGTGCATCATGTGTAAGGGGTGAGCAGGCGCAGCTTGCTGATCTATCTCCTGTTCCGTTTGTAAAAATGTTGTTCCCGGCTCCACCCTGCTCCACCCCGCTCCACCCCGCTCCATCCTGCTCCATCCCGCTCCACCCTGCTCCACCCTGCTCCAACCCCTCCCTTTTGTCTCCCCCTGTCCTCAGGTATGCGGCCAAGCGCAGCACGGCGAGTGCCTCTTTCGCTGCCAATGGCAACCAGCCGACCTCCCCACCTCCTCTCCCCCTCTCCCCACCTCCTCTCCCCCTCTCCCCACCTCCTTTCCCCCTCTCCCCACCTCCTCTTCCCCCCTCCCCACCTCCTCTCCCCCTCTCCCCCTCACCACTCTCTCCGCCTCTACTCGGACAGCCTCCCTCACTCCCTCCTACAGCAGCAGCAGCACCAGCAGCATCAGCAGCGGCGGCAGCAGTAGTATCAGCAGCGGTATCAACAGCATCAGCTGCAGTAGCTGCATTATCACTGCCACCAGCAGCACCAGCAGCAGCAGCACCGCCATCACCACCACCATCAGCGTCAGCAGCACGCGAATCTCCAAGAGTTGCGATAGCGAGGCTAAACGTGCGTTTTGGGCCAACAGCGCATGGAAGAAACAGTACTGCAGCATCAGCAACATCAGCATCATCCGCATCAGCAGCAGCACCGTCAGCAGCATTAGCAGGAGCAGGGTCAGGATCCGCAGCAGCATCCGCAGCAGCAGCAGCAGGTGGTAATTTCACGCGGATCTCACCGCTCTCCGAAACGGTGAAGTCGGCATGCCGGCGGTGGCCGTGTAACGTGCGGCCAAGCCTGTGCGGCGTGATGCACCGCCCCATCCGAGTCTACCTCATCTGGTTCGGCCCCTTCTCCAGACAGCAGAAGAACATTCTCAGAAACTTCATTCAATCGGTTTCGGATCAGAGGGATTCTGCAAACACAGGTGTGTGCGTGTGCGTGTGTGAGTGAATGTGTGCACGCGTATACATGCGTGTGTGTGTGTGTGTGCGTCTGCGTGGGCATGTGTGTGTGTGTGTGTGTGTGTGTGTGTGTGTGTGTGTGTGTGTGTGTGTGTGTGTGCATGCGTGCATGCGTGCGTGCGTGCGCAAGAGCGTGCATGCGTGTGTCATTATTCTCTTTGTCTCCCTACGTCTCACTCCCCACATCTTCCTTCTTTCAGTCCCCAGGTGGTGGGACATCAACCGCCAGTACCACGACTGCAGGGGCCGCCACGTGTCCTCCTCAGTGATTCTCAAAGGCGAATCCAGATACCCCTTCTCCCGCCGCCCTTTTACCGCTGGTGGTAGCAGCAATACTAAGGAGAGCAATGGTAACCACACTGACAGTGGTAACAGGAGTCTGAGTGATAACAGCAGTAACAGTGGGATGAGTAGTAACAATGACAGCAGCAGCAGCAGCACCACCACCACCACCATCACCACCACCAGCACGACCAGCACGACCAGCACGAGCCGCAGCAGCAGCAGCAGCAGCAGTAGCAAGGGCTTTAAGTTCGGGTATCGCTGGATTGGAGAGAGGGGTCTCCTCCCCTCCCTCTTTGGCTCCCTTGGTTCGACCGCAGCCGTGCATGCAGTCATCCGCGAGACCATTCTGAGAAAGCACCTCCCGTTTGACACCAACGGGATCTACTTCGTCATCTCGTCTCCCCAGATGAAAAGAGTGAGTGGGCTGGGCTGGGCTGCCCCAGGAAAGCCCTCATTTATCCGCGAGACCAGTCTGAGAAAGCACCTCCCGCTTGACACCAACGGGATCTACTTCGTCATCTCGTCTCCCCAGATGAAAAGGGTGAGTGGGCTGGGCTGGGGCACTCTGTGCCAGGAAAGCCCTCATTTATCCGAGAGGCCATTCTGAGGAGGCACCTCCCGCTTGACTCCAAGGGGATCTACTTCGCCATCTCCTCTCCCCGAATGGCAAGGGTGAGGGAGGGGTTGAAAGAGTGCGTGCGCTTGGCTTGGCCCCTCCTTGTGTGATTGACCCCTTCCCCCCCGCTGCACTTCTCCCCCTGCCTGCCCCCCGATGCACTCCTCCCTTCCCCCCCGGTGCTTCTCCCCCTGCCTTCCCCCGATGCTCTTCTCACCCTGCCTTCCCCCCATACAGCATAGCATGCTCAAGGGGTTCTGCTCTTCCTTCTGTGGCTTTTGTGAAACACCCCTCCCCAACCCCACCTCGCACCTCCCCCCCATACACTCCCCCTCCCCCCGAATGCCCTCCCCCCTCTTCCCCTTCTCCCCCCCCCCCCCCATGCCCCGCCCCCCCCCACCCCCGAAGCACTTCCCCCCCGACCACCGTCATGCAGCAAAGCATGCTCAAGGGGTTCTGCTCCTCCTTCTGTGGTTGGCACTCGAACGTACTCATGATGGCATGGCCCCCAATCTCTTCCACTTCCTTCCCCCCCTTTTTGCACCCCTTTTTCTTTCACCAGCGGAGCATGCTCAAGGGGTTCTGCTCCTCCTTCTGTGGCTGGCACTCGTACATTATGATGATGGGGAGGAGGCTCAAGACCAGCCTTGTGGGCAACCCAGGCGCAGGACAGGTGAGGCGTGGTGGACTGCGGTTGAGTGCGGTTCGCTGGGGTGCATTGCAGTTGACTGTGGTTCAGTGGTATTCCTTCTGTGGCTGGCACTCGTACATTATGATTTTGGGGAGGATGATCAAGACGAGCCTTGTGGGCAACCCAGGCGCCGGACAAGTGAGGCGCTGTTGCGTGCGGTTGAGTGCGGTTTCTTGGTGTCCACTGCAGTTGACTGTGGTTCAATGATAGACACGGTGTGCTGCGTGGGAGCTAGCGAGTGGGTGGGATGCGCCCAACAACGACAAGGGCATGGACTCCCTCTCATCTCCACCTTGCTCTCTCTTCTCCTTCCCGCCCTCCATAACCCCCCCCCATCCTTCCCCCCATCACAGTGTCTTTCTAGCTGTGCGGCATGGGAGCTGGCGAGTGGGTGGGATGCGCCCAACAAGGACAAGGGCATGATGGATGTCCTCATCTCCACTTTTGCTCTCTCCCTATCTCTCACTTCTACCCCCACCCTCACCCACCCTCTCTTCCCCAACCCCCCCCTCCCCCACTCTCCTTCACAGTGTCTTTCTAGCTGTGCGGCATGGGAGCTGGCGAGTGGGTGGGATGCGCCCAACAAGGACAAGGGCATGGACGCTCTTATCTCCACCTTTGCTCACGAGCTCGCTGAGGCCACCAGTGACCCGTACCTCTCGACTTGGATGAACGACAAGGGGGAGGAGAACGCCGATGTGTGCTCGTACAGGTGCGTACATTGGTACTTGCTTTTCTGTGCCGTGGGGTTGGTGCTTGTGCTTTCCCTACCTGGGTGGGGTGCCCTCATCTCCACTTTCTGCTCATGAGCTCTCTGAGGCTACCAGTGACCCGTACCTTTCCGCCTGGATGAACGACAAGGGGGGGGGGAACGCCGATGTGTGCTCGTACAAGTGCGGTTAGCTATGGTGTGGTGTGGTTGAGTGTGGTTCTGCATATGTATGGCCTGTCCCTACCTCTCAATTTGGATGAACGACAAGGAGGAGAACGCCGATGTGTGCTCTTACAGGTGTGTTGGCTATGGTGTGGTGTGCTTGAATGTGGTTCCGTGTCTGTGCATGGCTACGCCCGTACCTCTCGACCTGGATGAATGACAAGCGCGATGAGAAAGCTGATGTGCGCTCTTACAGGTACGGTTTTTAACAGTGTGGGGTTTGTTGCAACATGCAGCTACGGTCTGGCGGCATCGATAGGCCATCTGATGGAGCCATGGGATAATGTCTGTGGGGGGCCTCGTCACTCCCCTCCATTCCTTTTTCTCCTCACTGTTCGCCCTCCTCCCCCTATGCATCCTCTCTCTCCCTCTCTCTCCCCCTCCGATCTCCCTGTGTATGGTTGACCATGCCATCCCATGTGTTGCATGGATTCGGATGCATGCAGCTATGGTGATATTGATTGGACGGTGGATGGAGCCCCGTATAATATGGGGGGTGTAGGGGGAACCAAATTCCTCGTTCAACAAAACTACCACCTTGTTGATCGTGCATGTGCCACGTATGCTTGATGTAGTGTATGTGTAGCAGGTTTAGTGGTTCAGTGCATGTATTTTTTAATTCAAGCACGCCAGATATTGTGGGACTGTATGCAGTTCAGCTCGGGGCGCATTGATGATCCTCCACCTCAATGATAGCTTAGGAATTTCTTGGCACCGAGTTAAATCGTCTTGCAATCCGTGAACACCACAACCCTGAGGTACGTGATGTGACCCTGCCTGCGATCATGGAAAGCAGGATCAAGTAACGCTAGACGACAGACGGAGGCTGCCGAAGTACAGCCCGTCCCTGGCGCAGAGTGCCTTGCGGGCAAAAAAAAAAGAGGTGGTGGTGTGGTGTGGTGGTGGCTGGTTGGGAAAGCAGGAAAAGTGCAACGGGCAGGCCGTGCTGCAGACACGGTCACGCTAGACCAGACGTCGAATCTGAGATTGATTCACCGGCCGTCGAACGGACACGAAGCACATGTTGACACCGTCCACGTGTTGCCTGTGACCACAGGATGCTCTTCTTCAGATGTCGAAACCTAGAGAATCTGCCCAAAAGTCGGACATGAATTGCTGCCCGATGTTTCATTTCATTTTGTTTCATTTTCCAAGGTCGGGCGAGGGGGTCTGCTGCGCTGACGTGTGCTTTAAGCATTCAACAAACAGCCGTGCATGCGTTTCTGAGAGTATTTCTCGGGCTCGTGTCTGACACTATTGCCATGCGGGATGACTCGAGGTGGAAAAGGAAATTGCCTCGGGTCTTCCCGAGCCTGACTGCTGTTTGACTGGAAGCTGACAGACTTAGCGGCATACAAGCAGCGCGAACCCAGATCCAAGATTCGTCCGCCAATGTTCAACTCCCAATGCATAAAGCTACAATTCGCGTTCGCTTTCACTTTACGACTGTCAGGATCACAAGACTCGCAGTTGGTTTTATGAGACCTGCGGCTCCTTCGACCACGGGTCAGAGTTGGATTGACCCGAGGTATGAAATGGTCTCTGTGAGTAACTGAAAGTGCCTTTCAAGGCTGATAATTAACCCTCACAAACAGGTCCTTCTTGCTCCTCAGCGTTTTCCTGATTTCCTGCTTGCCTGCCCGCGTACAACAATCCCAAGGCTGCTTGCTCCTCTCGTTCTACTGTACAATCTTCTTGTACTGCACTGCTCCTTCAACCTGCCTCTCTCACCCCACATTTCGAAGATGTCTTTATTCAGTCCGAGTTTCTGAGCTCATGCATGTGAGCGAATCTATTCTAGGGTTTCCATTCCATAGCCATCAACCAGACTGGGTAAGATACAGATGCTGCTGTAGAATGGTCCAGTTGCTGCTGCTCCAGACTGCGTAAGATACAGATTCCCCAGCTTATAGTTGGAATCGCCTCGGTTTTAGGAGCGAGAAAAATCCTGCTCTGCGGTTATTATTTCGCATGCGTGTCGCATCCGTCGTACAGCCGCCATGGATGTGCAACTGACCGAAGGTTCATCGGGATTTCCGAGCAACGTCCCGTCAGTTATGATGGCACGCGGCGGTGGTGTCGGTGGTAGTGGCGGCGGGACTCCCGCCGAAAGCAGTCAGGGAAAGCTCGAGCCTGTAGAAGGAGGGGAGTTACATGACACGGATAATTTAGGGATGGATGTTAACGCGAGCTTTAGGAGAAGCATGGGTATGGTTGCCATGGGTGGCCATTCGTTACAAGCACTCGCTCCGCAAGGCGGCCCGGCTGGCGGAAGCTCGGCGCTTCCGCACGGGCAGGGTCAGATGGACAAAGATTTCCTCTGCCCGATTTGCATGGAGCCGATGCGCGACGCGTTTTTAACGGCGTGCGGGCATAGTTTCTGCTACTCGTGCATCACGACGCATCTGCACCACAAGCGGAATTGCCCGTGCTGCTCGCAGTTCCTCACGCTGGACCAGATTTTCCCCAACTTCACCCTCAACAAGGTAGGCTCACCCTTGCAAGGTACTTTTCGGGCTCACTTAGTTTAGCTAGGTTTCAGACATAGTGTTCCTCGCAGTTCCTCACCTTCCCAGTTCTCACGCTGGATCAGATATTCCCAAACTTCGCCCTAGACAAGGCAGGATCACCCTGATAAGAAACTTTCGAGGCTCACGGTTAACAAGGCCCTTTCTGCTACTCGTGCACCACGACGCATCTACACCACAAGCGGAACTGCCCGTGCTGCTCGCAGTTCCTCACATTGGACCAGATATCCCCCAACTTCACCCTTAACAAGATAGGCTCAACATTACAAGGTACTTTCTAGACTCACGCTTAACAAGGTACTTCCTATGCTGATTCCATTCCCCCTTTCCCCGGATTCCATTCCCCCTCCCCATCCGTCCCTCCAGTTGTTAAAGAAAGCGACCGCCACGCAGACGGTGTCCACGGCTTCCCCCTCGCAGCACCTGCCGCGGCTGGCGCTGCCCTCCCAGCATGCCCTCCTCTGATTCCACTTCCCCTTCCGCTTATCCCGTTCCCCCATCCGCTCATTCTCCCTTCCCCTCCCGCTTCCCCTCCCTCTTCCAGTTGTTGTAGAAGGCAACAGCCACGCAGATGGTGTCCACGGCTTCCCCCTCGCAGCACCTGCGTCTGACGCTGTCCCCCCAGCGTGCCCTTCCTCTCATTCCACTTCCTTTTCCGCTTATCCCATTCTTCCTTCCCCTCCCCCTTCCCCTCCCCCTTCCCCTCCCGCTTCCCCTCCCTCTTCCAGTTGTTGAAGAAGGCAACAGCCACGCAGATGGTCTCGACGGCGTCCCCCTCGCAGCACCTGCGCCTGGCGCTGCAACACGGCGCGGACGTGAGCATGAGCGTGCGCGAGCTGGACGCGCTGCTGGCGTTGCTGGCGGAGAAGCGGCGCAAGGCGGAGCAGGAGGAGGCGGAGATGAACATGGATATCCTCCTGGACTTCTTACAGCGGTCTCGGCAGAAGAAACAGGCGGAGCTGGATGAGGTGAGTCAGTCAGGCACGAGCCATGCTTGAGTTTGATGACGTCAGTTTGAGCGAATGCAGGCGTCAGTCTCAGATCTGCAGCAGTTGCTCTCATCCTGTCCACTCCTCGTCTTTGCGGATCAAATCTCGTTTGAGCAGTCTCAAAAACACCCTGCAGATCTTCAGCATTTGCTCTCGTCCTGTCTACTCATCGTCTTCTCCCCCCGCCCCCCCTCCTCCCCCCCCCTTCCTTCCCCCCCCTTCCTTCCCCCCACCCCCCCCCTACTGCGCGGATCTACTGATCATCCGGGAAGACATAGCAGCCGTGGAGCAGAGGCGGAGGTCGTTGCAGCAGATGCGCGAGCAGTCCTCCGCCGCCATCCACGCGCTGCTCGCCCAGTCTCTCTTCCTTTCCCCTTGTGCCCCCCCCTCCTTGCCCCCTCCCTTTTCCCCCTTCCCTTGCCCCAGCTCCGCGGGGATCTACTGTTCATCCGGGAGGACATAGCAGCAGTGGAGCAGAGGCGGCAGTCGTTGCAGCAGATGCGCGAGCAGTCCGCCTTCCCCGTCCACGCGCTGCTCTTCCCGTCTCTCACCTCTTCCTTCCGCCTTATCCCCCCCCGCCCCCACCCCCCCCCCCCCCCGCCCAGCTCCGCGCGGATCTACTGTTCATCCGGGAAGACATAGCAGTTGTGGAGCAGAGGCGGAGGTCGTTGCAGCAGATGCGCGAGCAGTCCTCCGCCGCCATCCACGCGCTGCTCGCCCAGTCTCTCTTCCTTTCCCCTTGTGCCCCCCCCCTCCTTGCCCCCTCCCTTTTCCCCCCTCCCCTTTCCCCCCTCCCTTGCCCCAGCTCCGCGCGGATCTACTGTTCATCCGGGAAGACACAGCCGCGGTGGAGCAACGAAGAAGGTCCTTGCAGCAGATGCACGAGCAGTCCTCATGTTCCATTCCCCCCCCCCCTCCCCCCTCCCCCCTTCCCCCACCAGCTCCGCGCGGATCTACTGTTTATCCGCGAGGACATAGCCGCCGTGGAGCAGAGGCGGCGGTCGTTGCAGCAGATGCGCGAGCAGTCTGCCGCCGCCATCCACGCGCTGCTCTTCCGCGGAGGCTCCTCCTCCGCGGGGGGGGCTGGGGGGGACGAGTCGGGGTTCGGATCTGGGGGATTGGCGGGGCTGAAGGCGGGCGCGGGGGGAGGGGGAGGCGCAGGGGGAGCGCTGGCGGGGAGCAAGCGGAGGGGGGGCCCCGCGCTCCCCCACCACCTGCAGCTGCCCGCCCAGAAGATGCGCGTTGAGGGGGATGGGCGGGGGATAGGCGGAGGGGGAGGGGGAATAGTGAAGGAGGAGGCGCAGGTGGGGGGCGTGGCGGAAGGGGAGGGGGCGGGGGAAGGAGGAGGGCTGGCCGCGTGTGGGCCGTCGGATATTGCCATGTCCGCATCAACGGTGGCCAAGAAACGCCGGGTGTTTTCACATGTACGCCTTTCCAGTCACCTATCCAGCCACGTTTGAATCGACTCAAAATACGCGTGTGGATCTGGTCATCCAGGTGGTTTTTGGGTCGACTCAAAATACGCATGGGAGGGCATATCGCAGGATGCCAAGGATCTGGTTATCAAGGTGGTTTCTGAATCGGCTCTTGACTCAAAATACACCTTTCGAGCCGCCGTTCCATCCTCTCTTCGGCTTGCTGGGCCCTCTGCGGCAGCCATTTGCCCCTGCCCTTCCCTCTCCTCATGGTCTTCCACCCCCCCCCCTCCCCCCCCCTCGTTCCTCCACATCTCCCCTCCCCCCCCCCCCGGTTCCCCCTCTGCAGCTCGACGCGACAACCTCCAGGAGTGCCAGCTGCACCACCGCCGCCAGGCCGCGCACGCAGCTCGAGCAGCTGCCTCCACTTCCCCTCTCCCCCTCGTTCCCCATCCTTCTCCACCCCCTCCCCCTTCACCCCCTCCCCCCTTCATCCCCTCCCCCCTTCACCCCCTCCCCCCTTCATCCCCTCCCCCCTTCACCCCCTCCCCCTTCCCCCCCCCCCTTCCCCGCCCCCCTCTCCCCTCTGCAGTTTGACGACCTCCAGGAGTGCTACCTGCACCACCGCCGCCAGGCAGCGCGCACAGCTCCCTCTCTCCCCTCCTGCCCTTCATTGCTTCTGTCTCTCCCCCCCCTCCCTCCCCCTTCCCCCCCCCCTCTCCCTCCCCCTTCCCCCCCCCCCTCTCCCTCCCCCTCCCCCCCCCCGCGGTCCCCACTCTGCAGTTTGACGACCTCCAGGAGTGCTACCTGCACCACCGCCGCCAGGCAGCGCACGCAGCCAAACCTTCTGGCTCCCTGGCACAATCCATCCCCCCAGCATCAGCCGCAGCAGCCGGAGTGGGGAGGCGGGGCGACGGGTCAGCAGCAGAGGGCGTGAGGGAGGGCGCGGATTTCGGGATGGGGCTGGAGGACTTCCGGCGCGTGCTGTCAGCGTTCACCCGGTTTAGCCGCGTCAAAGTGGTGGCGGAATTGCGGCAGGGGGACCTCTTCCACTCGTCCAATATCGTGTCCAGCATCGAGTTCGACAGGGATGACGAGTTCTTTGCCACGGCGGGCGTGTCCCGGCGAATCAAGGTCTTCAACTTCTCCCAGGTCAGTGTCCCCATGGCTACCTCTGTGCCTCTCTTCCACTCCTCCAACATCGTGTCCAGCATTGAGTTCGATCGCGACGACGAGTTCTTTGCCACTGCGGGCGTGTGGAGGCGGATCAAGGTCTTCAATTTCTCCCTGGTAAACGTCCGTTTCTCCCTGCCTGCTCCCTGCTCCCTGCTCCCTGCTCCCTGCTCCGTCCGATACCCTCCACGCCTCCTCTTCGGTGAGCAGGGTGTTTTTGAGAATTCTCAAAAACACCCTGCAAAATCAAGGTTGTCGGTGAGCTAGCAGACGTGCACTGCCCGGTGGTGGAGAGGCCCACGTGCTCCAAGCTGATCTGCCTGTCCCGGAACCCCTACCTCAAGGCGCACATATTGCACCCTTCCCTCCCCCCGCTCTCCACCCCCCCCCCTCCTTCCTTCCCTTCCTAACAGGTGGTGGGCGAGTTGGGAGACGTGCACTGCCCGGTGGTGGAGAGGCCCACGCGCTGCAAGCTGATCTGCCTGTCCCGGAACCCCTACCTCAAGGCGCACATATTGCACCCTCCCCTCTTGCCCCTCTCGACCTGCCTCCCCCCGTCAGGTGGTGGGCGAGCTAGCAGACGTGCTTTGCCCAGTGGTGGAGATGCTCACTCGCTCCAAGCTCAGCTGCCTGTCCTGGAACCCCTACCTCAAGGCGCACATCGCTCCATATCCCTGCTCTGCTCCCCTCTCCCCCCCGCCCCCTTCCCCCTCAAACAGGTGGTGGGCGAGCTAGCAGACGTGCACTGCCCTGTTGTTGAAATGCCGACAAGGTCCAAGCTGAGCTGCCTGTCCTGGAACCCCTACTTGAAGGCACACATTGCCAGCAGCGACTACGAGGGGATCGTGACGGTGTGGGACGTGGGCACGGGGCAGAGCCTATTGGAGTATGAGGAGCATGAGAAGCGAGCGTGGTCGGTGGACTTTGCACGGACTGAACCCACGCGGCTGGTTTCTGGCAGTGACGATGGCAAGGTGGGTGGCTGTTGTGTGTGTGTGTGAGAGAGAGAGGCTTTTGAGTCGACTCAAAGAGAGAGAGAGAGAGAGAGAGGGGGCGAGAGAGAATGACATGGGGGATGGTGTGGGACGCAGGGCACGGGGCAGAGTGTGCTGGAGTACGAGGAGCACAAGAAGAGAGCGTGGTCGGTGGACTTCGCGAGGACAGAGCCTAGGAGACTGGTGTCTGGGAGCGATGACGGGAAGGTGAGAGTGTGAGGGGTCAAAGTGGGAGAGGGGAGGAAGTCGTGGGGGTGTGGGACGTGGGCACGGGGCAGAGCCTATTGGAGTACGAGGAGCACGAGAAGCGGGCGTGGACAGTGGATTTCGCGAGGTCAGAGCCCACGAGACTGGTGTCTGGCAGTGCCGACGGCCTGGTGAGAGAGGGAGAGAGAGTGTTAGCGAGTGAGTGAGAGAGAGTGTTAGCGAGTGAGTGAGAGAGAGTGTTAGCGAGTGAGTGAGAGAGAGTGTTAGCGAGTGTGTGAGAGCAAGTGTTAGTGAGTGCGTGAGAGCGAGTGTTAGCGAGTGCGTGAGAGCGAGTGTTAGCGAGTGCGTGAGAGCGAGTGTTAGTGAGTGCGTGAGAGAGTGTTAGTGAGTGAGTGCTCACCAGCCTATCCCCCCCACTCTCCTGTCAGGTTGCTCTTTCCCCTTTCCCCCCTCTGCTGCTGCATTCCAGGTGAAGATCTGGTGCACGCAGCACGCGTCAAGGGGGGATCTGGTGCACGCAGCACGCGTCAAGGTGGAGGTGGCAGCTTTCTAAACATTGACATGAAGGCCAACATCTGCTCAGCTCACCCGCTTCCTCCCTGCTGCTCCTTTCCTCTGCTCCCCCCCTCTCTGTGGCTGCACTCCAGGTGAAGATCTGGTGCACGCGGCAAGAGAGCAGCATCTTAAACATCGACATGAAGGCCAATATCTGCTGCGTCAAGTTCAACCCCGGCTCAGCCAACTTCATTGCAGTAAGTTAATTGACATCCTCGCTACAAGCTTCCACATTGACCCACTAAAAGCTTCCGTCTTGGCCTGGTGTAATAAGCTTATCCTTGGTGTGAAGGCCAACTTCTGCTGCTAATCCCTCCTGTCCCCCCTCTTTCTCTGTATGTGAATTTTGAGTCAACTTAAAAAATGTGATTTTTCAGTCGACTCATTGCCCGTGCATGTGTTCAGCAGCCACGGCAAGGCAGTGAGTGACGTCAAGTTCCTCTCGCCCTCACCCTCTCTTTCCCTCCCCCCCCTTTCTGCCCCCCTTGGCTGTGCCTGTTGCCGTTTTTACTGTATGTGTGACACTACAGGTCGGCTCCGCGGACCACCACATCCATTACTACGACATCCGCTCGCCCGGGCTGCCGCTGCATGTGTTCAGCGGCCACCGCAAGGCCGTGAGCTACGTCAAGTTCCTCTCGCCTTCGCAGCTCGCCTCTGCATCCACCGACAGCACCTTGAGGCTGTGGGACGTGCACTCGCATGCCGCTGTGAGTACATTTGGTTTCTCTGCTCTCGCTCGTGCCCCCTCCTTCCCTGGCTCGTCCCCCCGCCTTACCTGGGCCCCGCGCTCCCTTTGTGTGTGTCTTGCGGCTATCACTATGTGAGCTATGCCAAGTTTCTCTCGCCTTCCCAGCTCGCCTCTGTTTTTACTCACAGCACATGCAGACTATGGGACGTGCATGCACTAGCACGCCCCCTCTCACCCACCTCTCTTCCCCCGGCCTCCCCCGCCCACCCTTGCTCCTTCAGATCCCCTGCTGCGGGGCCACCCCAACGAGAAGAAATTTGTAGGACTGTCAGTCAACAGTACACCTACTGCTCAGATGCGTGTGCTCATCTCCAGATCCCCTCCCCCCTCCCCCACCCTTGCTCCTTCAGATCCCCTGCTGCGGGGCCACCCCAACGAGAAGAAATTTGTAGGACTGTCAGTCAACAGTACACCTACTGCTCAGATGCGTGTGCTCATCTCCAGATCCCCTCCCCCCTCCCCCACCCTTGCTCCTTCAGATCCCCTGCTGCGGGGCCACCCCAACGAGAAGAACTTTGTTGGGCTGTCAGACATTAGCACACCTACTGCTCAGCTGCATGTGCTCATCTCCAGATTCCCTCCCCCGTCCCCCACCCTTGCTCTTCAGATCCGCACGCTGAGGGGCCACACCAACGAGAAGAACTTTGTTGGGCTGTCAGTCAACAGTGATTATATTGCATGCGGCTCCGAAACCAATGAAGTGTACATCTATTACAAGGTATGTGGTCTCAAATGTACATGCATTATTACAACATGTTTTCTTTGAAGTGCGCACTACCCCTGTATGGATACATTCCCTCCTCCCCTGACTTCTCCTTTTTCTCTGACTCAGGCATGTCTAAGCCATGGCAGTGCATTGATTTACCAACTCTTGATCCTTTTACCGGGGACGACAGTGGCGAGGACACGGCCCACTTCATCTCTGCTCCACCCCTTCCCAACCCGAACTCTGCTCCTCCCATCGGCTCGTTGTGTGTTTGTTGCAGGCTATGTCGAAGCCCATGGCAGTTCACCGCTTCACCACCTCTGATCCTTTTACCGGGGACGACAGTGACGAGGACACAGCTCACTTCATTTCTGCTGTGTGCTGGAAGGGCGGAGGGGGAGAGGGGGGGGGAGCAGCGGCAGGGGGGGTAGCGGGAGGGGGGCAGCAGCAGGAGGCGACAATGCTTGCAGCAAACAGCCAAGGGACGATCAAAGTGCTCACTCTGGCGCCATAAGGAGAAAGTTTGGTGGGTGCGTTAGATCCCTGTAGAATTGCCATATACCTGAGAGGACAGTGACGTGGTCACTGCCCACTTCATCTCTGGTGTCTGCTGGAATTGTGGAGGAGGGGTTGGGAGGGGGGCGGCAGCAGGAGGCGACAATGCTTGCAGCAAACAGCCAAGGGACGATCAAGGTGCTTACCCTGACGCTTTAGGCGGGGCAGGAGCCTCTGAATGGGAATTAGAACATAACTTCTGTTGTTTGGTCAAGCAAGCACACTCCTCTCTCGCTCCTTACAAAGGAGCGAGTCTGTATTGAAAACTTTCGGATACAAAAGTATTGTAGTATCAGGTGTCCACTGTGACTCCAAATGATGGTGAGAATGAAAGTATAAAGAGGAACAATTGGCAATTATTGTTCACTTGCTTCCGTTGATACGTAATTACTACTAGACTATTGATAGCCCGGTTTATTTCACTTAATGCGGTCACCGAGAGGGGATTAGCTGCTTATTGCGAGAATTAGGAGACAATCCGCTCAATGCGATGTGGAAGTTTGAACTAATTCCCACCGTTGAAGTCGAAGCTGCTTGGACTCCTCGTGCCTTTTGGCCGCTAGGATCTTGAGCTTCTTGACAAGCTCATCCGCGTTTCTAGCCTCCTCCTTAACCCTACTATACGCCTGCTCAGCTTGTACAGCCTTCCTTTCCAGCTCCTCTAACACGGCTTTATTATTCCGCGCCAATTCCTGCGTCTCTTTCCGAAAGGCGTCGCACTGTCGCCAGTGGTCCTCCCTCAACGAAACCTTGTCAGCTGCCCGTCGTGATTTTCGAGTAACTTCCACAAGCACCTTTGCGCCTTCTTCGCTGACCGCGGTCGCGAGATCCAGTGCCTGCTGCGCTTCCTCCGACTCCCGCACGTACGCGCGCTTGCGCGCAGCCTCCCGTTCCGCCGCTACTTGTTCCGCCACCTTCCGCTGCTCCGCTACCAGCTCCGCGATCTGCGCCGCTCGCTCCTTAGCTTGGCGCACGTCCTTCTCCGCCTCTCGCGCCTGGAATTCCGCGTCCATCGCCTCGCCCTCGAAATTATCCTGTTCCTGCCGCTTCTCCCGAGCCTCTTTCTTAGTCTCGAAGGCTCGGATCCGAGCCTCTTCCGCAGCGCTTTTCGCCGCGTTCGAAACGGCTACGGCTTCGCTTTGCAGCGCTTTAGTCACGAATTCTTCCGCTTCGGACGCGGAGATTCGTTGAAGCACAACGGCAACGTCGGCGGCACGAGCTCCGTCAATCACCGGCGAATCCGCTGAAGCACGCGGCGGAGTCGGCGGCCCTTCGCCAGAATCCGTCGCCATGATTTTTATCACGTCCGCGTTAGTAGCCCGCGACTTGACCTCCTTCCATACGTTAACGAATTCTGATGCGGCCTCCTCGCCCTGCGCGTCTGCGTTCAGAACCAGGGCTACGTGCTTTTCAACTAGGGGTTTTAAATTGCTGTGATACGCTATGGCGAGTCTCAAAGCATCCTCCCGCTTCTCAGCCCTCTTCGCCATCTTGTCCGCTTTCTTCGCCGTCGTCCCCGCTATGCGCAGACTCGCTTTCTTCGCCGCAACCGCCGCCTCGAACGCGCTTATCGCGTCCGGACTAGCATTCGCATACGCGCGTTCCGTCGCCGTGGCGGCAGCAGCCGCCATTTCTTCCGCGACGTTTTGCTGCTCGCGCGCTCGCGCCGCGAAGAGCTTGGCGCGCCTCGTGGCCAGTTGTAACTTCTCCCGCTCCGCCTCCACCTTCCGAGCCGCGTCTCGCAGGTTGCTCTCCATACCCTCGTGCTCGCGGTGCGTCACTAACGCGAGCCGCTTCGCCTCCACCGCCGCTGCTTTCGATTGACGGAGCAAGGCGACGGGGTCGACATTCCCTTCCCGCAAGCTCAGCAGCTTGAAGCTTTCAGTCACAGCCTCCGGCGAGATAAGCTTTTCGGATGAGACAAGCTGTTGAGGTGACGTCGGAGTTACAGTTTCTGTAGCTTTGGGTAGTGCACCTCGGACGGCAGCAGAAGACGTAGCGACTTCGCTAGCAGTAACTCTCGGTAGAAGAGAGCCGCCGCTTATTAGCGTATTTGTGATTGATAGCAAGAGGACGGTCAGAGTCAAGGAGACTGGTGAGGGGGGCTGCAGCAGATGAGCTCGCAGCGCCATAAGTGCTCACGAGTCTCGACTCACGACGCAGTTGAATGGAATAATCAGTTGTCACGCGCTTCGACAGATGGGGCTGCGGATAGGAGCTGACTTTTGGGTCGACTCATAAGTCACCGCGCTTCGACAGATGGGGCTGCAGATTGGGGCTTCGAGAGCTACGAATTGGGAGCAGCTGTGGACGAGTTTGGGGAGGTCGCGTTCACAGCTTCGTGGAAGGGACTCGTAGGTTCCCAGATGGTAGGGAGGTCTCAGGAAATGGTTCTAGAGACGATGGTTCGTTACTGTCAGTCGCATAGACCTGAAAAGTAACCTAGATCGTGGTTCTAGCCTGCTCGCGCTCATCGAGAAGGCAGGATGGCACAAAGCAAGAGTCGACTCTTATTCCACGTTATTGCGGTGGTATCACGGCTGCTTTGCCGTGCGTGTGATAAGATACGTAGCTAATGGCGGTCGAGGCGCGATGCGTGTTGAGTGTGGAGCTGTCAAGTGATGCAGCAGAAGTACGGAGGTGGGCTGCTTTGGGTGGTTGTGGTAAGTATGGTTGGAAAGGATGGCTTCGCTTCGTTTAAGATGGGTTGGGATGGAATTCTGAGGGAATGGATTTCTTCCAAGACACCGCAACACCAACAATTTCTTTCGGGGCATGAGCTGATTTTCCCGAGATATGAACCGGTAACGCGTACAATCTCTGTGCTGGGCTGGCACAGGTGCGCCATGTGGCTGACTGTGGCACCCACCTACACGCGGGACAGGTTCTTTTCGAAGTTCCCGCCTTTGTCCTTGCCTCGCTATATCGTAAACAGCTGCCCTGCACTCATACTTTACATGGTAAACATCATTAAATGGTATTTTCTGCAATATTAAGTATTTGGTGAAAACAAATTAACACGTCCTTTTCAGTGTACTATGCCGGTGCCCTCTGCAGAGATATAAAACATGAGAAAACCCAGTCTGCTCTATAACAATTACCCAGTGGCGGCAGCACTACTCGTAGAAGCCAGAGCAGTGCGACGGCAACGTCCTATGCTTCCATGCGATTGACTTTGCCCAGAAGATGCAGAATAATTGGGTTCAGGGAGTGCCATCAAGTGCGTGCAGTGAGTGCATCAGTAGACTTGAGTTCCGGCGTCAAGTTTATCTCAGAGTAGCTGAGTGACTAGAACAAGGCAATACATGAGAGATATAATGTCTAGACACGCGGCAGGGCCTAGCAAGAGACACGCACCTCAAGGCGGCACTACTATAGTCCAACCTCTGAGGCAAGGGTCGGAAGATCAGACAGCAAGAGTACAAACAAAACAAGAGTAACCCAGGGCAGCACTACTAGTACTGCCATTGGGACAAGAGCCACAAGGTCAGCCAACATAATATAAGGAGTAGTACACAATCAGGATCCTAGCAAGCGAGAAGCTACTGAAAATAGACCAAGCTATACATAGTGCCGCTGATTATCTTCAAGCACAAGCGCCTTAGTAAAGATATAAGTTGTGTTCGCACCAGAGGCCAAATGTACTATGCATGCCTGATGGCGCTGCTGTAGCTCGCGCAGGAGGAAGTACCGCAGCTGGATGTGCTTCACCCTCTAGTTGAAGCTCCTTATACTGGAGGATCATGGTCTTGTTGTCAGCGTACAGGGCCGGGGCAAAGCTAGGCCGCTCACCTAAGTCTCTGAGCAAGAACGTCAGCCGGTGGAGCTCATGTGCCACCATGGCACCAACGTAGATCTCAGCCTCACAGCTAAACCGCGCAATAAACGACGAGCGGGCGGACCTCCACAAGATAGCGTCTACACCAAGGCTAAAGCACTAGCCCTGCGAGGACCTGAGCGTCTTTGGGTAGTCCGCCCACGAAGCGTTTGTGTGCCCTGAGAGAACCACTGATCTACGTCCTCCCAGTACTAGCCCCATGCCTGATGTACTTGCTAGATAACGCAACACCGTCTTAGCGGCCGACCAGTGCTGGGGTCGGTGTCTGCCTGTTGCCACTAATAGGGTATGCGAGATTTGGACAAGTGCAACTCATCAGGTACATGAGGCAACCCAAACGCTCTGCGTACTAGCCACTGAGGTCAACCGCCTCGTCAGGGACTGGAGCCTAGAGCCTGTGATCCACTAGCAGAGGGGTGGGTTGTGCGGAGGAGAACTGAAGGCTGAACCTCTAAAGGGCCTGGTCTACCAAGTGTGACTATGTAAGAGTTATGGTGCGCGCTGCTCTGTCCTTGGAGATCTGCAGCCCAAGGTAGCGGCGCAACACTTTTATGTCAGTGCAGGTGTGTCTCCGTAGCAGCTCAGCCTTCACCGAGGCCAGTGCGTCTTTGTCTGCAGTAGCGAAGACCAGGTCGTCTATGTCGACTAGGATGTAGAACGAAGTCTGGCCTGAGCGAACGAAGAGTGACGGGTCAGCAGAGAACGGAAAGAACTGAAGGTCTGCTAGTGTAGCACGCAGTGTGTCGTGCCATTCGCGAGGCGCCTGCCGAAGACCATACGCCGGAGGAACCACTCGGCCAAGGAGGGAAAGTGCCAGAGAAGCTTGACGGACAGCGCAGGTAGATCCCCTCGTACAAATTGCCCTGGAGAAACATCGTGGAGAAGTCCACTGGGTGAAGTTCGTAGTCGCGCTGTAGTGGTACGTCAAGCAGTGCTCGAAGAGTGGTCCTCTTCAGGGTCGGGGCGAAGGTCTGAAAGAAGTCAACACCCTCACGCTAACTGAAGCATCTAACAACGTAGAGCGCCTTGAACACCGGTGCGGTAGAGTGCAGTGGAGCACGGTGAAGCCGTGCGAGAGGAGACAACCGGAAGGAGCGCTGGCTAAGAGGGGCACTAGGGCTGGCGGCGTGTAGGGGCCGACAAGAGGAGCTGGGGCGGCACGGCTAGTTGGGGCGGTGCGGCGAGCTGGGGCCGGCAGCGAGCTGGGGCTGGCGTCGAGCTGGGGCTGCGCGGCGAGCTGGGGCCGTCGCAACGAGCTGGGGCAAGCGGCGAGCTAAGGCTGGCGGCGAGCCAGGGCCATCGCGGCAGTTAGGGGCCAGCGCGGCAAGACGGGGCCGACACGGCGAGCTGGGCCAGCGCGGCAGGGAGGGGCCAGCACGGCGCGACGAGGTGGGGGCCTACGCGCGCGGCAGGTTAGGGACCAGCGCGGCAGGCTAGGGCCAGCGCGGCAGGCTAGGGCCAGCGCGGCAGGCTAGGGCCAGCGCGGTGAGCTAAGGCCAGCGGCGCGGCGAGCTAGGCCCGGCGCGGTGGGCTAGGGTAGGGGAGCTCTATGGTAGGCTAGGGCGGGGCGCTCTACGGTAGGCTAGGGTGGAAGCACGGGTGGGTGGGACCTGTCAAAGTAAGAACTGAATAATGAACTAGAAGTAGAAACCTAGAACAAATACTAGTTGGTTGTACTCACTAGAAGCATACCCCAGTCTAGCCTATAACTTGTACACAACTAACATGTATAAGTTGACAGGACCTACCTAGCGTGATACCATCTCAGAGTAGCAAAGTTGTTGGAAATATCTCAAAGGACTTAAGCGTTTCTGAAGTGTAACACTACACTCGAGGAAGACCGTAACGGGTACGCGAGTCAACGGAGGTTACACAAGGGGGTGGACAAAGGACTCGAAGGGTCGCAACTGGAGGTTGCGACTGACCGTTACAACTACGCGGATGGTAACCGAAGCGACAATCGAGTCGCTGTGCGACTCGATAACCGCTCCTGCAACTGTATTCTACAACTGCTTTACTTTCCTATGTTCTATATATTGCTGTATGCTTGTTTCTTTTAATCAATCACTTGTTCTCATATACTAGTACAAGGGTTCAACTACTCAACTTCCGCTGCACTACTCAAGTCTCATTCTTCAACTGGGACTTAGTCTCTGGAAAGATCCCAAGGGCTTTTCTCAGCCCAACATGGTATGAGAGCTGGTCAGAGACCAAAGTCCCAGCAACTACGTTCTATCTACAATCTGCAATTCAACGACTTCATTGATTACAAGTCATGGACAGCAAGGGCAAGAAAATCTCTACGGGCTCACCCACCGCCCAAGACACTCAACCCGGCAACTCTGGATTGCACACTTAAGGACTGCAAACCGAGACCGGCGCTGCTCAAGAAACAACAGGAAGAGCACCGGAAATGGCGACCCCATCACCCTCTTCAAGCGTGGATCCGAACCTTATGGAAAGGTTCTTCAGCTTCATGTCGCACTTCGACCAGCAGCAGCAGACAAGGACACCTGCTCATTCAACACAGAGCAACGGAGGAAACATGGAATTAGCGCCGATGAGCCTTGACAACTCATCGTTCGGGCGACACAATCAAGCACCTACCTTTGCGCCTTATCACTCTTCACCGGGGACGTTCGAGTTCATGCCGCCCCGTGCCCAACCAACAGCAGCTGCATCACAACAAACACCAAACGAGATACTTAGTCTCCAGGCGCAGTTTTCACACGTGATCAAACTGCAGACATCCTCACCGTTCAACGGACACGATTTCTTCACCTGGAGCTTTGAGTTCGAGCTGCTGATGGAGGCTGCGCATCTCTTGGGATACTTCAACGGGTCCCTACCATTCCCAAGCAACGGCTCTGGAAAGGAGCAAGAAATTTTCACGTATCAGTCGCTGCTGGCGTACACAATTCTCCTTCGAAACCTGTCACCACAAGAACAACAAAGCATCAGAACATATCAGAGCTACGGAAACTCCGCGGAACTCGCATGGCATCACCTCAAGTGTCTCTATCAAGCAAACGACAGCGTGACACAAAGCAGACTTATGCAGCAGCTGACAACAATACAGATGAAGACCGGAGAAAAGGCGATGCAGTATATGAGTCGATGCCAAACACTCCGCGACCGCCTGCTTCGGTGCGGAGGAACAATCACTGAAGAAAGTTTTGTGACGCTTGTCCTCGCCGGGCTCGGGCCAGAATGGAGAACCACACGCTCGCTTCTTCGCGCCCACGGAAGGATCTCGGAGATGCACCTCTGCGCCGAGCTTCATGCTGAACAACAGGAAATGGACCTGCTCGAAGAAAGACAACCAAGGAAGCAGCAGCAGTTCGTTTTCTATACTCAACGAAGGAACGACAACAACTACAATCGACGCGGCAAGCAAGATCAACGCGACAACAGAGGACTCACCATCCTGCCGCCGTTCTGCCACAACTGTCAAACATCCGGACATTCCAAAGTCAACTGCACACGTCCTCGTGTTTATCGCCCAGTAGACCCACAAGTCGCTTCCACTCAAGGAAGCCCTCCAAGGCGTTCTTCCACATCTGCACAAGGGACACCGAACATCATCAACTGCATGGTACACATCGACAATTGCGCACCCGGATCACCACTCACTTACGCGCCAGACAAAGAAGAAGTCCCGCCGCCGCGCTCACAAGGACTTCAGGTCAACCCGACATACGCTGCGGTCGCCAACGCCGAACCCACCGGGCGAAACACCTGGTTCTTGGACAGCTGCTGCGGTCAACACATGTGTTCTTCCGGACGCTTCCTGCAACAAGAGCGATGCCTCAACCGCGACGTCATCATCACTGTCGCCAACAACGAGAACCTGACAACAAACAGACAAGGAGTGGTTCAGTTACAGTCCATGGAAACAAATGTCATCCTGCAACTCAACAAGGTTCTAATCGTCGACAACTTGGGATACAATCTGCTAAGCGTCAGCCAGCTAATGGCAAAAGGGATTCACCTGGAGTGCGACTCGGACTCCAACGAGTTTCGCCTTTACCACGGGAAGGGCGGCCTCTTCATCGGTCGTGCTCTCCTGAAGTCCGGCGTCTTCGTGTTGGACTTCGTCCCCGACCGCGGTACTGCCGACAGCGATGGCATCGTGTCGTTCGCCGCCTGGACACACCCGCCGAATCTTGACCCCGACTTCAACCCCGATGGATTCTGGTACTCCAACACCATACCTGCAGCAGAAAGAACACGAGCGTTAGCAGCCATCAGACAAGAAAGACAAGTACCAGCAAGCGTTCCTTCCCAACCATCACCTGCACTAGCAGCAGCAGGACCCAGCCAAGTACCACCACCAGCAATCCGAGGACCGCCAACCGAAGCAGATCAACTTATGCCCATCACACGAGAAGTCTGCCGAAGTCCCGCCACGGTCGTCGCGTTCTTCTCCAACGCCGACATGTACCAGCGCTCGCCCGGCCATCGCGCTTCAGACGACATCTGGCACCAACGCCTTGGGCATCCTGCAAACAGCACCGTACTACAAACAATCCAAGCCGAAGTATTAGAACGAAACGCTCTTCTTACAACAAGCGGCCAAGAACTTCGAAGACCTCGCGCACGGTGCTTCACGTGCCCCGAAGCAGATCTTCCCCATCAACCCTTCCCATCACATCACAATCCAAGTGCACCTACATATGCACCGATGGAAAAGGTTTACAGCGACATCTTAAATATGCCCCGAGACGACACGGAAGCCGACTTCAACTACGTCATCAAGTTTATCGATGCAGCAACAAGATATGTTTGGCACTACAACCTCAAGACGCGAGATCAAGCCTTCGAAGCCTTCACGACGTGGCTCCCAATCGCTGAACGAGAATCAGGCACTACACTCAAGAGTTTCCAGTCCGACGGCGCACTGGAATACCAGTCACAACGATTCAGGACCTACTTGGCGGAAAGAGGAATCAGACGCCTGGTGTCTCTACCCTACGCTCACCAGCAACAGGGGGTCGCAAAAAGAATGAACCGGACCTTGCAGACGACGATGCGGAAGCTGCTCCTGGGAATGAGACTGCCCAACGCACTGTGGCCAGACGCGATGACCCATGCAGTCCACCTGCACAATTTGCTATCCTCGTCATCGCATCACCGCACCTGCTGTGGACACGAAAAAGGGGCAGCACAAAATTACTTCGGGTTTTCAGTTGCATGGTACAGTACAGACCCCACAGGACGTTTCACTCAACGAGCATGATGGGGACTACACCTCGGCATCGCAAAACATTTTCAAGCATGGAAAATCCTCGACATACAAGACAAAAATACCGTGGCATCACGTGATGTGATCTTCTACGAACGACTGACGCTGCAACATTACCTGGACAACGTCGCCACCACTGAAGACCCCACCGACGGTGTCGCAGGCCTTCGGTCCTTCGCTGACCGTGCTGCCGAAGCTGACGCAGTAGAAGAAGACATACCTGGAGCTTCGGAAGCTGCCGGACCACTCCCTTACTGCTCCGTGCCAGTCCCACTCGACGACGACAATCCTCTCGATAGCAACAACCTCGACACCCTTTACCACTTCGCTGACCAAGGTTACGTTACACCTCACTCGGTCGACACGAATGTCTCAGAACGCATCGGCCCAAACTTCTTACCTGATCCAGAAGATGGTGACGAAGCAGCCTATTCCGGGAATGAAAATTCCCCTCGACACACACCCACGGGACTGCAGATACTCGGCTTATGGGTCTCCGTCCAGCACCTGCCGCCGCCGTCTCCGCGCGAGCCAACGACGCGCAGGCTCTGGGGGGGGAACATAAGGCGAAATGGAAGGAGGTGATGGAAAAGGAAATAAAGGCTCTACAAGACCGAAATACATGGAAGCTGGTACCTGCAACAAACATCAACGGGAAGAACGTCCTCTCGGGAAAGTGGGTGTACCGCATCAAGACTAATGCGGACGGTTCCATCGAACGATTCAAGGCTCGATGGGTCGTACGAGGCTTCGATCAACGATACGGAACCGACTACACAGAAACGTTCGCCCCAGTCTCCCGTCACACCTCCTTGCGCATCCTACTCGCCGTCGCGGCCACGAAGAAACTACCACTGCGCCAAATCGACGTCGCAAATGCTTTCCTGTACACACCTGTGGACGCTGAGATCTTCGTCGAGCAACCCCACGGATTCATCGACGACCCCACAAAAGTATGCCAGCTGATAAAATCCCTTTACGGGATCAAGCAAGCCCCGCGGCTCTGGCAGCAGCATCTTCACAGTCGCCTCGTAAAAATCGGATTCCTACAGCTGCCGCATGACCAAGGCATATACCGACTGCAGAAGGGAAGAGAGTATATCCTACTCATCGTTTATGTCGACGACCTGCTCTACATCGGTTCCACTACCGACATCGCCACCTGGTTCGAAGGGGAGCTGAAAGGGGACTTGACACTCACGGTGTCCGACACAGTGACCCAGTACCTGGGACTGAATGTCGTCGAAGACAACTCGGCGTTCTACCTACACGCTGGAAAATACGCAGGCACTGTCGCGAAGAAATTCGGTCTAACGCCGACTACGGTCACGACTCCCTACCGCTACGGGAACAACAGCAACACCTCCGCAAAACTCCCCGCGAAGCAAATCCAGGAGTATCAGCAGAAGCTCGGCTGCCTACTATTCGCAGCAGTAACCTGCCGACCCGACCTATCTTATAGCGCGAGCCAACTGGCGACGCATCTAAAGCAGCCGGAACAAGAAGATCTCGAGGAACTTAATCGGGCACTACTCTACTTCGTCTCCACGCCGACAACCGGACTTACCTAATGTAAAGTAACGACATCGTCCGTACAACTACTCGGATACGTCGACGCCGACCACGCGGGAGACAAGGAAAATCGACGATCGAGAACGGGCTACATCTACCGACTAGAACCTATCGGGACTATCTCCTGGCAGTCGAGCAAACAGGAACTAATCGCACTATCTTCGGCTGAAGCAGAATATATCGCCCTCTGTACTGCGACCAAGGAAGGACTCTACCTACGAGAGTTGCTCGAGGAAGCGAAGATTGCGACCCTGCCCGTCTTCTCACTCCTCTGCGACAACCAATCTGCGATCAAAATCGCGAACAAGGACGGCTTCGCCAACCGAACCAAGCACATCGCCCTGCGGTACTTCTTCGTCAAGGATGAAATCGCGAAGGGGAGACTTCAACTCAGTTACTGCCCTACGACAGAAATGGCCGCAGACTACCTGACGAAGAAATTGGCGAAGGCAAAGTTCGATTACTGCACGCTGCTGACCGGGCAGACAAACGTCACCGGATCTGAACACGTCAGCACTCCAGAAACGAAGGGGAGTGTTGGAAATATCTCAAAGGACTTAAGCGTTTCTGAAGTGTAACACTACACTCGAGGAAGACCGTAACGGGTACGCGAGTCAACGGAGGTTACACGAGGGGGTGGACAAAGGACTCGAAGGGTCGCAACTGGAGGTTGCGACTGACCGTTACAACTGCGTGGATGGTAACCGAAGCGACAATCGAGTCGCTGTGCGACTCGATAACCGCTCCTGCAACTGTATTCTACAACTGCTTTACTTTCCTATGTTCTATATATTGCTGTATGCTTGTTTCTTTTAATCAATCACTTGTTCTCATATACTAGTACAAGGGTTCAACTACTCAACTTCCGCTGCACTACTCAAGTCTCATTCTTCAACTGGGACTTAGTCTCTGGAAAGATCCTAAGGGCTTTTCTCAGCCCAACAGAAGTGACTAAAACAAGGTGGTAAAGGAGAGATTAAGGGTTGGTGTTGTACCCTCTAAGAACACAACCCTGTATAGCCTATAAGTTCTATATACAATGAATATGTATAAGTTGACAGTTCATGCCATCACACTAGGCGTGTGGATAAGCGTGGTCCTTCCATCTTAGAGGAGATATGTCGCTGCAGAAGCTGCAAAGTGTTATGCCTTCCCAAAATTATTGGCAGTTATACCTAAGGGGTGGAGCATCTTAAGGTGACAGAAGGCAGAACACATATACCAGTAGCTACTTACCACCCCAAACTTGTAACGCATGCAGCTTGAGGAGCATTCACTTCAGCTGACTACAACTCTGGATACGCTTGCTTCCAGATGGACATATTTTTAGGGCTTATAAGATAACCACACTGAATGGAGCAGGTCCAAGGGGAGCTATGCAGGGCACTGGATACTGCATATTTTTAGGGCTTGAACGACAACCACACTGAATTGAGCAGGTCCAAGGGGAGCTATGGAGGGACATGGAAATCGTCAACGTAAGTTGACACTACCGACTGCTTAAGAGTCCTCTTATTGTGGACGGTTGGATAATTACCAACCATCCAAGCCTCTGCGTCACCCGCATACGTGCTAGCTTACGAGAACAACGCATTCCTCCCTTTATGCTGCAGCCACAACACCCATGGAAGATACGCGGCTCTCTTGCACCACCTGCCACGCGGATGGCGCTTCCGCCGCCCTCACCCACCTTCTCAACCATCTCCGCCCTGAGCACTAAACAAATTTATTGTCGATTACGCAGCAAAAACACCCACTGCCCGTGGATCGCTATCATGGCTCTCAAAGCCCACTGGACTGCTCGCATGGCTCTCGACCATCGATTGCCACGCGGACTGCGCCTCCGCCGCCCTCTCCATCTTTTCAACCATTTCCGCTCTGAGCGCTTTCACCCGTTCCGCCGCCATTCCCGCCTCTCGCGCCGCCATCACAAACGCGCCTTCGAAGTCGCGCACGTTCGCCTCCATCTCCTCCACGTACGGCCGGTTCCCGCGCGCCTCGGCGTTCGCAGCTGATAGCTTTCGAGCCGCATTATCCTTCCGCTTCGTCGCTTGGCCGACCGTCGCCGCCTTTGAGGCGTCCGCGCCGCGCTCGTGCGCTTTTTTCAGCGCGTTTTCCGCGGAATGAAGTTCCGTTTCCGCCGCCGCGACTGCCGCCTCGAGCTCCGCCTGCTCGCGCGTCGCGTCGCGCTGCTGCTGCCGGGCCTCGAGCGCACGGATGCGCATCTCCTCCTGCTCAATCTTCTGCGACGCGAGCGCGCGCTTCGCCTCTTCGTACGCCGCTAGCGCCTCCGCCGCCTCCGCATCCGCCGACGAAACTCTCCGCGCCGCTCGGCCCTCCGCGTTCACTGCAGAGGAATCCGCATTTTCCGAGTTCAAGCTATGATCTGAATCGTATACAGGCCCGTAGCCGTCCGGAGAATCTGGAGCGCTACTATCATGTCTGACTGCCCCGCGAAGGTTTTTATCCCGGGATATGGCGTACGATTGAGTGATTGCGGTTGTGGGAGGGAGGAGAAGGGTGAAGGCGGCGGAGAAGATCAGCGCACGGCGTAGATGCCCCAATGACGACATGCCTGCCTGCCTTCGTTCGGATAGGTGATGCCTCGCTGATACGCTCACCGTACTAACACAACGGTTGTCCGCTTCGAGTACAAGTCGCCTATCCCTGCTACTGCAAGTTCGGAAAACAGCGATAGTGGATATCCGGGCAAGTCGTTTCCAGAAACGTTATTGTTGGCGGGAGGCAGTGGGGAGTGAGAGAGAGCCCCGAAAACCTTATTGATCAGCTTTGGCAAACCCAGTTTGCAGTAGCTAGGAGCGTCCCGTACTTCGGCTTTGCAGAGCTGACAGGCTGTATTGTGTTGCATGTGGTACATGACGGTTTTGAGGCGGAAACGGGAAACACATGCAAGGGGCAAGCAGCAAGTGGTGTGCGGGTGGGGTGGGGTGGTTTGGTGTGCTTGACGGAATGTCGAGACAGGAATCATACTGCTTGAGTGAGGCGAATCGCGCATGCGAGAATTGCACGGCGCGTCTGTGGATCACGCGGTTCGCTTACGTGGATGTTGATGACTGGGTAGCGGAAGTTCCGCCACTGGTTGAATGTGGAGGACAGAGGATCCCTCGTTGCGCGTTACCAGCGAGTCTCGTTAGTGGACAAGAAACCAAGATGGGCCCTAGTTTCATATTGCACTCTGGTATTTCATATTGCACATTCGCGCGTATCGCTTATCTGATGTGGTTCATTTTCCAAGCACAGCCCCATACAGAAAATCTGACATGCTTATAAAGGTTCACGCACCCGTGTCCTTGATCGCATACGTGTCATCATCTCACTGCCTCCCCGTCAGCCCCTCATCGAGACACTCACAACTTCATGTCCCAGCCTTAGCAACTCTCGCTAGCCCACATTGTCAATAGCGAATACAGAGTAACGATTTTTTTCCTGCTCAATTCAGCTTCGTCGAACCTCGCACAGGTTACCCTCCCCATCACCTCGGGCTTGGCTTGCTTCCCTAACCTCGAGCTCATTTCTGTGGATAAGGCTCTCCTAATATCAGAGCTCTAGCCCTTGGAGCCCTGTTCTCTCCTTTGACCTAATCTTAGATCCTAAGGCAGTTGTCAGCCATGGCTGCCATTGCTCCGGCCGGACCATGCACAGCCTCTGCTAAACTGGTTGCGTCGCAACCTCGTCGCAGCGCCGTTGCCGTCGCATCACCCTCCCTGTCAGCCTCCGCTCTCGGTCGCAGGTTCGATGGCCTGCGACTCTCCGCGTCTCCCGCTTCCAGCGCCACGTCAGCCGGTCTTCTCGACTCCTCGAGCCGCGTTTCCTCAGCCAGGAGCGGGTGTAGAGGCGTGGTGACTATGGGTCTGGAGGCTGGAGTCGGGGTTTTGGGTAACAAGGTCGGCATGCTGACGTGGTTCACGGAGGACGGCAAGGCCGTTCCCTGCACGGTGATTGGCTTCCACGAGGGTAACATTGTTACGCAAGTGAAGACCACTGACACCGATGGCTACAATGCCGTGCAGGTACGACGCCAGGAAGATCGGAAACGGACGGCCAGGATTTCGTTCGGATGATAAGGAGTACCGGCTAGGGTTTTAGCAGCTAGTTCCATTATCGCGTCGCGACGGCGAGACTACCCGCTCGTTATAAGGAGATAACCTCGCTCCTCTCTGTTCATCGCTTTAGTCTTCTGCCCTCTCGATTCCCATGTTCAGCAGAAAACTCGTCTAGCATTTTCAGTAGCAGGCTAGGTGACTTTCTCGTCAACTCAAACGCCCCCCCAGCTCGTTTCGTCGAAACGCAAACCACGCTCGTCCCGTCCGCTAGCCGTCGAAGAGTTGCAAATGTCTGCTACCTGGATCCACGCTTGTCTCTAGGATTCTGTAATCGCTACCCGGATCTACGCTCGTCGCCTGTTGAACCCGCACTTCTGCGATGTGCGATCGCAGCTACGGTTTTTAGGCCACTCAGAACACTAAAGCTGCTGGTCTAAAGCGCAGCATCGCAGTTTCCCTTGACTCAGCCCCCGGAACGATGTAGGCGTGGTTTTTATAAGCGCAAGTGCCGGAGGGGCCGAATCCTAGGGTGCTGTTGGCAGCAGCAGCACGGAGGGGGCCATGATATCGCACATATCTCGCTCGTTCGCTATCTTCCCCAGTGTTAATCTCATTCTAATCTCATTCTAATGGCTCTCCTCATTCCTGAGACCTCCTCTCCTCCCGCTGCGCGCACCCGCGGCGAATAAGAGCGGACCCCCCCCCGCTGCGCGCTGCGCCGCCTGCAGGAGTTCCGCCTGCCCGCGGAGACAGTGGCGCAGCTCGTGCCGACTCACAAGTTACCCTCTCCCCCTCCTCTTCCATGGTCAATTTCCCCTATCTCCCCCTCTTCTCCGCCTCCCCCCGCTCCCCCTCCCCTTTCCCCCCTTCCCCCCCCCTCTCCCCCCTCGCTGCCCCCCTTTTCCCGCCACACTCTAGGTCGGCTACCGGCGCGTGCGCGAGGGGCGTCTTTCGAAGCCCGAGGCGGGGCACGCGAAGAAGAGCGGCGCCCCCCCTCTGCGCCACCTGCAGGAGTTCCGCCTGCCCGCGGAGACAGTGGCGCAGTTCGCGCCGGGGCAGCAGATCAAGGTGGAGGAGCTCTTCCAGGCGGGCGACCTGGTGGATATTAAGGGCGTCAGCATCGGCAAGGGCTTCGCGGGTAAGAAGGGGGCTTCGATGGTAACCAGGTAGTAGGGCGGGGTTAGGGCGGGGTCAGGGCAGGCAGGCAGGCAGTAGGCGCCGGGGCAGCAGATGATGGTGGAGGAGCTCTTCCAGGCGGGCGACCTCGTGGATATCAAGGGCACCAGCATCGGGAAGGGCTTCGCCGGTAAGAGAGGAGAGGGTTAGAGGCCCTAGACGAAAGATAGGCTGTGTGCGTGGGGCGGAGGGGGGTGGGAGTTCACGGGGCAGCAGATCAAGGAGGAGGAGCGCTTCCGGGAGGGCGACCTGGTGGATATCAAGGGCGTCAGCATCGGCAAAGGATTTGCTGGTAAGAGAATAGTCCACGGTTCCAGGTCTCACCGTCATCATGTGGGGTCAATCAGCTACTAAGTCCTATCGCCTCCTTCCCCTCTCCCGTCCCCCCTCCCATTTCCTCCCCCTTCACCCCATTCACCCCCTCGCCCTCACCCCCCTTAACATGACCATAGGTGGCATCAAGCGCTGGAACTTTGCCTGTGGCCCCATGACTCATGGTTCCAAGTCCCACTTTTTAAGTTGTTAACGCCTCCGTTTCCCAATATACCCCCTTCTCTTCCCCCCCTCCTCCCCCCGCCCCCTTTTGTTACCGCAGGTGGCATCAAGCGCTGGAACTTTGCCCGTGGTCCCATGACCCACGGTTCCAAGTCCCACCGTCAGCTGGGGTCCATCGGTGCTGGTACCACCCCCGGACGTGTTTACCCCGGAAAGAAAATGCCCGGGCAGATGGGTAACGCCCAGGTGAAAATCCGCAAGCTGAAAATCATGAAGGTTGACCCTGAGCTCCGGGCAGTTATTATTCGGGGGGCTGTGCCCGGGAAGGCTGGAAATTTGCTGCGCATCTGCCCGGCTAAGATTGTGGGGAAGAATGTTCCTAGCAAGTAGGAGTGAGTGCAGATGAAGACTTCAGCAGATGGTGGTTGCTTGTTTGCTTCACGAAATCATTATGCAACTTGTATACCTGTCCTGTCCAGCTACTAAAGCGAAGCTTGAGACAGGTAGGACACATTGGGCTGAATCACGTAAGAGCAGAGAACGTTGGCTTTGTTGCATTGGACTATTTGGCGAAAGTCCTCCCATGAGTAATAACATAAACTCCACTTTGAATGCTTCACATATGGATAATATTGCCCAGCCATAAGATATATTACTGTACCTTTTTTTCGCCTACAGAATTTCGATGGTGCTCGCAGTTGACACCTGTGGACAATCCAAGCTCGGCGGCACCTGAGAGGGCGCGGAATGGGCACCTGTACTGTTGCAGGTAATTTGCCAGCTTGTTTTGCGTGCACATGGGCCTGGTTCTTCGTTCAGTCAGACTCAGACGGGTCCACGCACATGTGCCTCTTGGGCAGCGAAGGCGGTTTCTCCACATCAGCCCTACCACATGCTGACGTAGCACAGGGCACACAATACAAGTTTCAAATTCCCCAACGATTGAAGTTCAGTTGTGAAAGCACACAACCTGGGTGTTGCATCACCTAAATCAGAAATATCACCTGGTTGTGTAAGTGCACAAGCTGTATCACCAAGTCGTGAATTATCATCAGAATTTCAAGGAGGTGCTTGGGGGGTATGGGTGGTTTTAGGGCATCCAAACACCCGTGAAACAAAGCTTTTCGACAAACCAACCACCTAGAACTGTACAGTACGCATCCTGCCCTCCCCGTGACAGACGACCAGACATGCTCTTGTCGGAACGGGAACGGGACTTGTCCCTGATGATGTTTCGTTCGCTGCATTCGCCGAACCTCCTGGTCTGACCTTCCCAAACCCAAGGGTTCGTTTTTCCTTCCATACCCACATATCAGATCCCCCTTCAAACCTTTCTGGGGGAGTTCCTTCTCTTCCTTATCCTTCACTCTTTCATCCACATGGCGAGTCGCAAACGCATGCAAGACCGATTAGGAGCCTCCTTGTTCACGCTATCATGCTTATGTCTCCTCCTCTCTGCCAACCTCGCAGCTGCACGCGACATTTCCCGCCCATCTACACCTGATTCATTAGCCGTTAGAACATCCGGAAGCGCGGATGTCCGGTCACTAGAATCCGCGGCTCGTGAAGCCGCCGCCGCGGACGCGGAAGCCGCCGAAGCTTTAAAGGCGTACGAGGATGCGAAGAAGGTTCTCGAACGAAAGAAGGTGGACGCGGAGGGGATTGCTGCGGAAGTGTCCGAAGCGCGCAGCGAAGCGGAAGGAATGAAGCTCGAGAAGATTTCCACGGACATGGACGTTACAGAATTGGCGGAGCGCGCGTGCAAACGCTTCGAGGACCTGAAGCGCGTGGACGAGGTGGCGGAAAAAGCTGCGGCCGTCGCGATGGAAAAGCGGATGGCTGCGGCGGAAGCGGCGGGTGAGGCGGGGAAAGCAGCGCGGCTGGCGGAAGCGTCGGGCACGGCGGAGGCGCGGCTAGCGCTCGTGCAGGCGGAAGCCGCGCGCGCGGAAGCGGTTCGCGCGGCGGAGGAGGCGAAAAGGATAGCAGAGGCAGCGAGGGAGAGCGCGGAGGAATTGTGGGAAGCGTATTTGCAGGAGGAAACCGACTTGGAAGTTTCTACCGTGGATCAAGAAACGGAAAAAACTTATATCGAAGGTCTAGATTCCGCAGCAGCACGCCTCGAGGAGGAATATAGGAAGAGCGTGACTGCAGTGAAGGTCGCTGAGGCGAAGGTGGCGGAATTGAAGGGTCTTGCTGAGGGGAAGGTCGCGCGGGCGAAGGCGATGCGAGTTGCGCTGAGGAAAGGGGGGAAGGGGACCAGCCGAGATGGAATGACAGCCACGCAGTAGCCGTTTTAAAAAGCCCAGACTATGTTCACTGATATAAGAGACGACTATAGAGCGTATCAACAGAGATGCTGTAGACCCTGCACCTGGCCGGGCTTCAGAAGCTCGGGTTCGCCGGCACAATGAGCTCAGTCAGTTCCGCAATGCTCTCCACCAGCAGCTAACCCATGTTGTGGAGTCTTGTGACATAGTGTATATGGGTGGTTAATATACCTACTGTGTATTGTAATTTGTTGTCCCCAAAGTTCAGGACATGAGTAATGGGAACATGCAATTATAGGCCAGCCTGTCAAACATGTTTAGTTATCATGCTTGTATAGACTGTATAGGGTCATCTTCTAGAGAGTACAACAGTTAGGTATATGTTTGTGTACTCTCTCTCTCTATGATTATCAATTTCACTGTTTGATATGGTATCACGCGTAGGTAGGATCCCCCCCCCCCCCCCCCCTCACGCTTCCGCTCGCCCCCTAGCTGGGCCCCGTCGTGCTCCTAGCCCCGTCGCGACCCTCCCTAGCCCCGTCGCGACCCTCCCTAGCCCCGTCGCGCCCCTTCCTGGGCCCCGTCGCGCCCCTTTCTGGGCCCCGTAGCGCCCCTCCAGGGCCCCGTCGCGCTCCTCCCAGGGCCCGTCGCGCCCCTCCCTAGCCCAGTCGCGCTCCTCCCAGGCCCCGTAGCGCCCCTCCTGGGCCCCATTGCGCTCCCCCCAGGCCCCGTCGCGCCCCTACCTGGGCTTGGTAGCGCCCCTCCAGGCCCCGTCGCGCCCCTCCCCATCCCCGTCGCCCCTGCTCGGCCCCGTCGCCCCTGCTCGGCCCCGTCGCCCCTGCCCGGCCCCGTCGCCCCTGCTCGGCCCCGTCGCGGCCTCTCGGCCACGTGGCGCCCGCCCGGCCCCTGTCGCGGCTGCCCGGCCCCTGTCGCACCTGCCCGGCCCCTGCTCGCCCGCCCGGCCCTGCTGTGTCCTGCCCGGGCCCCGTCCCTGCCGCCCGGCCTTGTCGCTGCCGCCTGGCCCCGTCGCAGCCGCCCGGCCACGTCGCAGCCGCCCGGCCACGTCGCAGCCGCCTGGCCCCATCGCCCCTGCCCGGCCCTGCTGTGTCCGGCCCGGCCTCGTCCCTGCCGCCCGGCCCCGTCGCAGCCGCCTGGGCCCGTCGCAGCCGCCCGGCCACGTCGCAGCCGCCCGGCCTTGTCGCTGCCGCCCGGCCCCGTCGCCGCCGCCCGGCCCCGTCGCAGCCGCCCGGCCCCGTCGCCGCCGCCCGGCCTTGTCGTGCCTGCCCGGCCCCGACGCGCCTGCCCCGGCCCTCCATACTTCCTGGTACTGTCCCCCGTTCCCCGCACCACTTTGCACCCTCCTGCACTTTCCTGCCCCGCCTTGCATCGCATTGCACCTCACTGGACCGCACTGACCGCACTGCACCGCACTGGACCGCACTGCACCGCACTGCATCGCACTGCACCGCACTGGACCGCACTGCACCGCACTGCATCGCACTGCACCGCACTGCACTGTCCTCCACTGCCCCTCATGGCTGCTGAGCTTCGTTTTGATGCTGAGGGTCAGCCTCTGGAGTTCGAGGCGTGGTTGGCTGACCTTCGCCGCCACCTCACTGGCCAGCGGCAGGACGGCCACCCGCTTTCTGCACACCTAGACGGTATGCTCCCCTGCCCTGACCCCCCTGCTGTGCTGCCCGCTGATCCCACGCCCGCTGAGCGCGAGTTCACTGCCGCTGCTGCCCTTGCCCGCTCTGTCTGGCTTTCCCGCGATGCCCTTGCTCAGCTCGCCATTAGCAATGCCCTCCCCCCCACTGAGCGCCCTCGCTTTAGAACCATTCCTACCGCCCAGGCCTACCTCGATGCTGTCATCAAGCGCTATTCTACCCCTCCTGCTGCCTCCGTGGGTCGCCTGATCCTTCCCCTGCTCTTTCCTGACCTGGCGTCTTTCCCCACTGTCTCTGACCTCGCTGCCCACCTGCGCTCGATAGATGAGGCCTGGCGCGCTGCCTGCACTGATGCACAGCTTAGAGTCCACCAGCCTCCCATGACCTCTACCCTCTACCTCCTTGCCACCCGCCTACCTGATCGCCTTGCCGCCGCCCGCGACCAGTTCCTTAGCATCCACCCTGCTGCTCTCACCCTCACCGACTTTGTTGACACCCTGACTGCCATAGAGACTCGTCACCGCTCCATAGCCCTGGCGAGCGGTACAGTACCGGTCCCTATCTTTCAGGGTTGTGCCCCCGCTCAGTGTACCTTCTCCGACGGCTCTGTCGCTGTGGCTGAGACTGCTGCTGCAGTGCAGTCCCGCTCGGCGAAGGGCCGCCGCCCCAAGGTTGGGAGCGGCGGAGGCGGCGGGGGTGCGGGTGGGGGTAGTGGTGGAGGCGGGTCGTCCGGTGCCGGTGCGGACGTGGGGACCCTGCCCGGTCCAGCTGCCCCGCTGCCTCCACAGTTGCAGCAGCAGCAGCAGCAGTCGCCGCAGCCGCAGCCTTCGCAGCAGCCGCAGCAGCCGCCGCAGACGCGGCAGGCGAGTACTCTCCCACCTGGGTGGCCTGGAGCTGGTGGTGGTCGTGCGCGTGGTGGTGCACCGGGTGGTGGTTCTGGAGGCGGGCCCTGTCAGTACCAGATCCAGACCGGTCCTCGCCGCGGCTTCGTTTGCGGTAAGATCGGTCATTCTACTCCTCGCTGTTTTCGTCGTCTGGACGACCTGTTCCGCCAGCGCTTTGGCCCGGCGCCCGACCTCCCGGACTGGCACAGCTTGCTTAGGCGTAGCATTAGGATTTTTGACTTGGACATGGATGCCATTGTAGCGGCCTTGCATGTGATGTATGCTGATGACTCTAGTGTGCTTCCCTCTTATTACCCCGTGTTGCCTAGTGTAGCGGTGCCTAGCGTCGACTCCCCTGGTGCGTCAGGCGTAGGATCTCCTGCTTTGCTTAGCCTTGGTGCTTCCACCGCTTCACTGCCGCCTCGTGCGACTGCTGCGCTTTCCTTCACCTTGGACTCTGGCGCCTCCCGGTGTTTCTTCCGCGACTCCACGACGCTGACGCCGCTGCCTGTTCCCGCTGCAGTTACTCTTGCTGACCCCTCCGGTGGTCCCGTCGTTGTCCGCAGTTCCACCTCCCTTCCCTGTCCGGCGGTTCCTTCAGGTTCGCTCACCGGTCTGCATATCCCCTCGTTCTCCAGGAACCTAGTTGGTGTCGGCTGCCTCCAGGACCTTGGCGTCACCACTACGTTCCCTGGTCACGAGCGGTATGCTGTCTGTACCGAGGCCGCCACTGGTGCCCCCCTTACCACTTTCCCCCGGGACCCGGTGTCCGGCCTGTTCACACTTGACACCGCGACGTCCCCGGCTGGGTCTTCCCCCCCGGTAGCTGCGTCCACCCAGGTTGCTGCCGCGTGCTCCTGTCGGTCCCTCACTCACCCGACTCTCCTTTGGCACCACCGCCTTGGTCACCCTGCACTCCCACGTCTGCGTCACATGTCCCAGCACGGTCTCGTCCTTGGTCTCCCCGGTTCGTTCCCCGAGTTTCCCTCCTCCCCCGCCCCACCGTGCACGCCTTGTGTCGAGGGCCGGCTCCGCCGTGCCCCTCACTCCTCCTCTTTTCCCCCTACCACCGCACCTCTGCAGACTCTGCACATGGACGTCTGGGGCCCAGCCCCGGTCCATGGGCCGCGTCGCGAGCGCTTCTTCCTAGTGCTTGTCGACGACTTCACGCGCTACACCTCCGTCTTCCCCCTGGAGCGGAAGGCCGACGTGCCTGACGTTCTCATCCCCTGGCTTGTCTCTGCTCGTGTCCACCGCGGTCTCCCTGCCTTGCGCCTTCACTCCGACCGGGGTGGCGAGTTTGCCTCAGGTGTCCTTGGTCGCTTCTGTCGTGCGGAGGGCATCACCCAGACGTTTACCCTGCCGGACTCCCCGCAGCAGAATGGGGTCGCTGAGCGACGCATCGGTTTGGTCATGGAGGTGGCTCGCACCTCCATGATCCACGCCGGTGCACCCCATTTTCTGTGGCCGTTCGCCGTGCGCTACGCCGCTCACCAGCTTAACCTGTGGCCGCACCCCCAGCGGCCGCAGGTTTCGCCGACCCTTCTGTGGACCGGGTCCCCTGGTGACGCGTCTGCGTTCCGCGTCTGGGGCTGCCTTGCTCACGTTCGTGCCTCTGGCACGGACAAGCTCACTGCCCGCACCCTCCCCTGCGTCTTCCTCGGTTTCCCCCTTGACGCGTCCGACTGGCACTTCTACCACCCGCCGTCTCACCGCTTCTTTCACTCTCGCGACGTCACCTTTGACGAGTCCGTCTCCTTCTACCGCCGCTTTCCCCACCGTGGTCCCCCGGTTACTCCCCCCCTGTTCCTGGTTCCTCCCTCCCTGGTGGTGCCTGCCCCTCCCCCCCCCCCGCCCCCCCGTCCGGCCCCCTCTGGTGTGTCTCACGTCACCCCCCTCCCGTCGGTCGTCCCGGTCGACGAGTCTTCTGACTCTGGTAGTCCTCCGGCGCAGTCCTCGCCGTCTGTCCCTCCCCCGGTGTCTCCTCCTCCACCGCCTCCGCAGCCGCCGTCGCCGCAGCTGCTGCAGCCGTCGTCTCCACCGCCGCCGCCGTTGCAGCCGTCGTCTCCGCCGCCGCCGCCGTCGCAGCCGTCGCTGCAGCCGCCGCCGCCGCTGTCGTCGCTGCCGCCGTTTGTGGACTCTGGGGGTGCTGGCGTTGAGGTGGGTACTAGTCCCGGGGCTCCTGTCGTGGCTTGTCCCGGCGGACCTGGGGGTGGTACCGGTGCTGGCGGGGTTTCGGGCTCTGGGGGTGTCCCTTCTGGGGGTGCAGGTGTGGAGGGTTCGGGAGGTAGCCGTCGCGCAGCTTGCGGCCCTGGTGTTGGTGTTGTGTCGCCGCGGCCGCAGTCCCCGCCTGTGTCCGCCCTCCGTCTGCTCGGCCTTCCGTCTCCTGACCCTGCGCCTGTTCCTCTCCTGCCGTCCCCCCATCTTCCTGTCTACGGCCCCGTGTTCCCTCTACCAGACTCGTCCCCAGCTCGTCTTCCCCTCGTTCCCCTCCTGTGTCCCCTCCTCTGTCTCCTGACCCGACGCCGCCCTCACACGTCTGGTCTCGCCGCCCCTCTCGTGCTCGTCCTGTCTCCCCTGTCCCCGCTCTCACCTATGTTGCTCCG